GCGAGGGGGTCTGGTTGCAGTTGACCTTTGGAGTGCCCGGAAGTCTGACAGTTGTGGCAGAACGGCGGCACGATGGTGAGTCCTCGGTTGTCGCGTTGATCTTGCTTGCTGCGTCGGTTGTAGTTGTTGTCATTTCTTCTTTGAGTGTAGAAGACTAACTGCTGTTGCTTCCTTGGTTGTCTTTCCTCGAACAGATCCATCTCCTGTTGTTCAGCGTGAAGCTCGGCGCAGAGGTGCATCTCCGAAATTCTTCCGTGGGCTCGAAGAAGTGATCGTGTGGTTCTCCATTCTGGCCCGAGCCCGGCGAGGACAAGTGTCACGAAGCTTTCTTCAGTGATCGTTCCTCCGCACCGAAGCAGGCGGTCGCGGAGGGTCTGGCAGCGACTCATATACTGCATCGCCTTTTCCCCGGTCTTCATCTGTATTGTTGTCAGCTGTTGCATGAGTCTGCTTTGTGTCACGCTGTCGTTTGCTTGGTAAAGGCATTGAGGTGGTGCCATGCGAGCTCCGCGGAGTTTCCATAACTCCGATACGTTCTGATGCTCTGCTGCTCTTGTGGTGACAGGTTTCTCAGGAGTACCGTGTACGCCAGCAGCGACTGATACGTGAAGATCTCTTGTTCCTTCCCAGTGCCGTTGCTTGGGAATGGCAGGGACCCGTTGAAGTATCCCAGAAGATGCGCGGCCTCCATCAGCAGCTCGAACTCGAAGCTCCAGGTAAAGAAGTCGTGTCCGTTGAACGGTGAAGATGTCTGAAGTTTGATCACGTGTGAGAACTGCGCCTGTAAACTTAAGATTTCATTCGGTGTTTGTTGTGAAGCAGCTGCTGTTGGCTGGGCACGGGGCGGCATGAATTCGAACGTCCCCGGCGAAGAATGATAAGGCGCAAAGGTAGCGCTTGGTTGTGTCGCCCGAAGGATGAGTTGTCGAGGCTCATCGGCGCTAATCCCATATTCCCTCCATTGCTCTGTGTTGAGTGCGCAGGTGTCCTTGTCTGCTGCTGCTGGTCGAAGTGTGACATGAAGCTGAAGAATCTCTCCATGAGATTCGGGTCCACACTTGAAGAGGGAGACGGAGTCACCATCTCTGGTACTCTTCCGTTGTTTCTTGAGTAGTCCCGGTCTCTGTCTGCAGTCCTGAGGTGTGCAGACCAGAGTTGCCGTGTTGAGTTTCTTGGGCGCTGGGTGAGCCCGTAGAGACTTTCTTGCCCTTGTTGTCCATGTCTTGTAATCAATGGAGTTGTTGAATCAAGTTGAGTTGCAGGTCGTTGATGGAGCGTAGTTGCTGGGAGTTTGGTCTCTGACCAGCTCTCATACCATGTTGGGCTGAGAAAAGCCCTTAGGATCTTTTGCAGAGACTAAGTCCCAGCTGTAGAGACTTGAGACTTGGAGTAGTGCAGCGGAAGTTGAGGCAGTTGAACCCTTGTACTAGTATATGAGAACAAGTGATTGATTAAAGAAACAAGCATACAGCAATATATAGAAGATAAGAAAGCAGTTGCAGAGTACAGTTACAGGAACGGTTTATCGAGTCGCATAGCGACTCGATTGCCGCTTCGGTTACCATCCGTGATGCTGTAACGGTCAGTCGCAACCTCCAGTTGCGACCCTTTGAGTCCCAGACCCTTCGTGTTCTTTGTCCGCCCCCTCGTGTAACCTCCGTTGACTCGCGTACCCCTTGCAATCTTCCTCGAGTGTAGTGTTACACTTCAGAAACGCTTAAGTCTTTTGATGTACTTTCAACAATTCTGATACGGACAGCACATGCATGCACATCGCACACTGCTTGATGCTGGACTACCGTATGTCAGCGGTACTGCAGACCAGACTTTCCGGCATCAAGCTACCATATTTCTGTATGTGCAATAAAGAATGAACGTATACCGTACTAGGCGGCGACCTAACATATTATCATGGCGCTTGTGATACCTAATCCTTGAAAACATCTTGAAGCCTTGAAGCGACCTCTGACGCAATGTTCCTCTGTACAGTTGAGTGGCTCAGCAACTGCAGGAACGCCCCTTAGGAGATCAACTCCCTTCTCCCATGGCCCTGTACCACACCCATGCACACCCTCATCCTCCCCTCAACCGCCCCACCTACACTCCCCCCTCCCTCCCCCATCCCCTCCCATCCTCCCCATAAGTTAGTCGCTACCTATCTGCTACCCCGCACCGCAACACGCTCTCTTACGAGGACGCTCTCTACTCCCCTTAGTATCAACAACCCTCAGTGCAGGAGTCCCCGTCTCCATCTATCTACTGGCCAGCCACGCGTTCTCCAGCTGCTGGTGCACGCCCGGGCCAAAGCACCGCGCACGCGTTATAGAGAACCGCGTGGCCGTTAACGAGGACGCGGCGGAGCACCGCGTCGTCTTCAGAATGAAGCACGCGTGCCGGTGGCTTGATCGCCCCAGCACCACGAGCCCCCACACCCCCGTCTGGCACACGCTACCCGGCCCTGGCGCCGCTAACGGCTGCTCCACAACGCCCGCCATCTCGTCGCCGTACCGCCGCGTCAGATCCGTCGGATCTAGCCGGTGCACGAGGATCAGGCCGTCAGGATTGTCGCCGGCGACGGTTTTTCTGACGGACGACCAGCTGTCCGGGTGCTCCACGACGCCCTCCGGTAGCCGCTGGTACGCGGCGCTGCTAGTAGCGGTAGGAGCGCGCTGACTCAGCTGACGCGCGTCGGACGCGGAGCCTTGGCGCGCGGGGCCGTCGAAGATGAGGTGGAAGAAGGGCGCTTCGTCCAGGTGGCCGATGATCTGGCAGGGGTTCCATCCCGATATTGCAAACCAGTGGTAGGGGAGATGGGACGGGACGCGTGAGTGTTGGGGTGGTTGATTCGCGGACGGGAATTAGATGGCGGGAAAAAAAGGGGGAAAGAGTAATCAGCAGCGAGCGCGGGGAGAAACGACACGTGGCAAGCGAAGGTGACGGGATCGGGGTGCGAACATGAGCGAGAAACAGCAGGCGAAGAATAGTCCGCGGGGGTCGCCTCGGACGACCGACTAATAGTAATCACCCGGCTGGCTTCCTTTCCCCGTCATTCCTGATTTTACTCGACCGTGATTCTCGCCTCACCTCGGCGGCCGATCGCTGCAGCCACGACTCCAGCCGTTCCTTCGTCACGGCGGGCCCCACGCTGCTGCAGTCATCCGCGTGCGGGTGCGCCAGCTCGTGCGCTAGCTCCCCCGCCACCGCTGGCAGCGCGAACAGCGGGCCCGTCGACCGCGGCCGTAGCGCGGCCACCGCGATCCGAGCCCGACGCCGCGCTGGAGCCTCTGCTGCGGTTCGTCCCGCCGATCCCGCCGATCCCGCCGATCCCGCCGTTCCCGCCGTTCTCGCTCTCTGGAGCCCTCGCCTGTGCAAAGAAAGAGGCAATTGTCTTCTCAGGTCGGGTAAAGACGTGATAAGTTATAAGGAGATCTCGAAAAGCACGCGGAAGAGAAGCGAATTGGCGGCGTGGAACTCGTGGGAAAACGAGGGACTCCGAGTCGGTAGCATGACGCGTGGCGAGAAATTGACTCGGGCTATTTACCGCGAGGAGCGTAGGCACGAGGGCAGCAGTCTGTCGCCGCCATTCACGGCGAGCAGCGACGGCGCCGCGAGTGCGATGGACTCCGACATGATCGCCTGGGCGAGGAGGAGAGCAATCGGGCCAGGAGGAATGGCAACGTGGCTTGGACGTGAGGAACCCACCGCCTGGTACAAAGATGGGACGCAACGCAACACAACGCAAGCCGAGCAACTGATGCTCTTGCATCACCTCACCAACCTCGCATTTGGGGGGCCTCAACCCCCTCCCTCCCTCCCCTCACACTCAATCTCCCTCCACTCACACTCACTCTCCCTCCCCTCACACTCACTCACAGACATTTGATCTGACTGATGTGACGATGATCTGCGCTCCGTGGTCTCGGGAGTTTGGGCTGCGCGCATTCGCTGCAATTCTCGCGGCGTAACGGCGGGTGTCGGTTGGTGGAATGCACTACCGTACAGGCCCACCTGCTTCGGGTTCTGTTCCCGTTGGGAAATACGCGTCATGTGTGCGGCCGGATAAGTGTATCATAATTCTATTCGGGTTAACATCGCAATGTGCATTCACCATCTATTCATGGTAACAAATGCCGAAGAGCCTCCTCCAAGTTACTTCGTTAAATGATCAATTACAGTTGAATTAGGAGACAAAAGGATACTGAAAGCGACCAATAAGTGTCCATCAGCTACTTTTCAACACCATCATCAGAGGGCAATTGAGCGCCATGTGCTGCTCCCTGTGCCCCCTCCTCCCGCCCCTCTGCAATGTCTTGCAGCACATCTGGAATGTCGTAGTCTATGTGGTTCAGTGGCACATGGAAGTCCGCATCATATGCTTGCCTCACAATCTCGATTGTCTCCTGCCATGCCTCAGCAGCAAGCACAGGCACCCACACGATGAGAACGACATGCCAATGGCCCCACCCAAGCACCGGTACTAACCCAAAGTGCACATAAACCACGCTGGTGGGACGAAACCCTTGAGCAGCAGCACAACATACGAACGCCCAAACAGACGAACACCCAAACAAACGAACGCCCTAACATACGAACACCCTAACATACAAACGGTCTAACATACGAATGCCCAAACATACGAAAGCCCTAACATACGAACACCCTAACATACGAATGCCCTAATATACGAACGCCCAAACATAGGAACACCCTTACCTGGCGAGAGAGGAGAGGCCTACCGGGCGAGAGAGGAGGCCTACCGGGCGAGAGACAAGGCCTACAGGGAGAGAGAGGACGCCTACCCGGCGAGAGAGGAGGCATACCGGGCGAGGAAGGAGGCCTACCGGGCGAGAGATGAGGCCTACCGGGCGAGAGAGGAGGCCTACCGGGCAAGAAAGGAGGCCTACCGAGCGAGAGAGGAGGCCTACCAGGCGAAAGAGGAGGCCTACCCGGCGAGAGAGGAGGCCTACCGGGCGAGAGAGGAGGCCTACAGGGGCGAGAGAGGAGGCCTACCGGGCAAGAGAGGAGGCCTACCGGGCGAGAGAGGAGGCCTACCAGGCGAGAGAGGAGGCCTACAGGGCGAGAGTGGAGGCCTACCAGGCGTAAGAGGAGGCCTACCGGGCGTGAGAGGAGGACTACCGGGCGAGGGAGGAGGCCTACCGGGCGAGGAAGGAGGCCTACCGGGCGAGACAGGAGGCCTACCGGGTGAGACAGGAGGACTACCGGGCGAGGGAGGAGGCCTACCGGGCGAGGGAGGAGGCCTACCGGGCGAGACAGGAGGCCTACCGGGAGAGACACGAGGCCTACAGGGCGAGAGAGGAGGCCAACCGGGCGAGAGAGGAGGCCTACCGTGGAGAGAGGAGGCCTACCGGGCGAGAGAGGAGGCCTACCGGGCAAGAGAGGAAGCCTACAGGGCGATAGTGGAGGCCTACCAGGCGTAAGAGGAGGCCTACGGGGCGTGAGAGGAGGACTACCGGGCGAGGGAGGAGGCCTACCGGGCGAGGAAGGAGGCCTACCGGGCGAGACAGGAGGCCTACCGGGCGAGACAGGAGGCCTACCGGGCAAGACAGGAGGCCTACAGGGCGAGAGAGGAGGCCTACCGGGGAGAGAGGAGGCCTACCGGGCGAGAGAGGAGGCCTACCGGGCGAGAGAGGAGGCCTACCGGGCGAGAGAGGAGGCCTACCGGGCGAGCGTGCAGGCCTACCGGGCGAGAGAGGAGGTGTACAGGGCGAGAGAGGAGGCCTACCAGGCGAGAGAGGAGGTCTACCGAGCAAGAGAGGAGGCCTACCGGGCGAGAGTGGAGGCCTACCGGGCGTGAGAGGAGGCCTACCGGGCGTGAGAGGAGGCCTACCGGGCGTGAGAAGAGACCTACCGAGCGAGGGAGGAGGCCTACCGGGCGAGAGAGGAGGCCTACCGGGCGTGAGAAGAGACCTACTGGGCGAGGGAGGAGGCCTACCGGGGGAGAGAGGAGGCCGACCTAGCGAGAGAGGAGGCCTATAGGGCGAGAGAGGAGGCCTACCGGGCGAGAGAGGAGGCCTACCTAGCGAGAGTGGAGGCCTACAGGACGAGAGTGGAGGCCTATCGGGTGAGAGAGGAGGCCCACAGGGCGCGAGAGGAGGCTTACAGGGCGAGAGAGGAGGCCTACCGGGCAAGAGAGGATTTCAACCGGGCGAGAGTGGAGGCCTACCAGGCAAGAGAGGAGGCCTACCGGGCGTGAGAGGACGCCTACCGGCAAGGGAGAACGCCTACCGGGCGAGAGAGGAGGCCTACCAGGCGTAAGAGGAGGCCTACCGGGCGAGGGAGGACGCCTACCGGGCGAGGGAGGACGCCTACCGGGCGAGAGAGGAGGCCTACCGGGCGAGAGAGGAGGCCCACAGGGCGACAGAGGAGGCCTACCGAGCGTGAGAGGAGGCCTACTGGGCGAGAGACGAGGCCCACATGGCGAGAGAGGAGGATTACAGGGCGAGAGAGGAGGCCAACCGGGCGAGAGAGGAGGCCAACCGGGCAAGAGTGGAGGCCTACCAGGCGTGAGAGGAGGCCTACCAGGTGTGAGAGGAGGCCTACCGCGCGAGAGAGGAGGCCTACAGGGCGTGAGAGGAGGCTTACCGGGCGAGAGAGGAGGCCCACATGGCGAGAGAGGGGGCTTACAGGGCGAGAGCAGAGGCCTACCGGGCAAGAGTGGAGGCCAACCGGGCGAGAGTGGAGGCCTACCAGGCGTGAGAGGAGGCCTACCAGGCGTGAGAGGAGGCCTACCAGGCGTGAGAGGAGGCCTACCAGGCGAGGGAGGACGTCTACCGGGTGAGAGAGGAGGCCTACCGAGCGAGAGAGGAGGCCTACCGTGTGAGAGGAGGCCTACAGGGCGAGAGAGTAGGCCTACCGGATGAGAGAGGAGGCCTACAGGGCGAGAGAGGAGGCCTACAGGGCGAGAGAGGAGGCCTACCGGGCAAGAGAGGAGGCCTACCGGGCGAGAGTGGAGGCCTACTGGGCAAGAGTGGAGGCCTACCGGCTGACAGAGGAGGCTTATAGGGCGAGAGAGGAGGCCTACCGGGCAAGAGAGGAGGCCAACCGGGCGAGAGTGGAGGCCTACCAGGCATGAGAGGAGGCCTACCGGGCGAGAGAGGAAGCCTATAGGGCGAGAGAGGAGGCCTACCGGGCGAGAGTGGAGGCCTACCAGGCGTGAGTGGAGGCCTACCGAGCGTGAGAGGACGCCTGCCGGGCGAGAAAGGACGCCTACCGGGCGAGGGAGGACGCCCACCGGGCGAGAAGGAGGCCTACCGGGCGAGAGAGGAGGCCTACCGGGCGAGAGAGGAGGCCTACCGGGCGAGAGAGGAGGCCTACCGAGCGAGAGAGGAGGCCTAACGGGCGAGAGTGGAGGCCTATGAGGCGTGAGAGGAGGCCTACCGGGCATGAGAGGAGGCCTACCGGGCAAGAGAGGAGGCCTACCAGGCGAGAGAGGAGGCCTACCGGGGGAGGGAGGAGGAGTACCGGGCGAGAGAGGAGGCCTACCGGGAGAGAGTGGAGGCCTACCGGGCGAGAGTGGAGGCCTACCGGGCAAGAGAGGAGGCCTACCGGACGAGAGAGGAGGCCTACCGGGCGAGAGAGGAGGCCTACCGGGCGAGAGAGGAGGCCTACCGGGCGAGAGAGGAGGCCTACCGGGCGAGAGAGGAGGCCTACCGGGCGAGAGAGGAGGCCTACCGAGCGAGAGAGGAGGCCTAACGGGCGAGAGTGGAGGCCTATGAGGCGTGAGAGGAGGCCTACCGGGCGTGAGAGGAGGCCTACTGGGCGAGGGAGGAGGCCTACCGGGCAAGAGAGGAGGGCAAGAGAGGAGGCCTACCGGGCGAGAGAGGAGGCCTATTGGGCGAGAGTGGAGGCCTACCAGGCAAGAGTGGAGGCCTACCGGCTGACAGAGGAGGCTTATAGGGCGAGAGAGGAGGCCTACCGGGCAAGAGAGGAGGCCAACCGGGCGAGAGTGGAGGCCTACCAGGCATGAGAGGAGGCCTACCGGGCGAGAGAGGAAGCCTATAGGGCGAGAGAGGAGGCCTACCGGGCGAGAGTGGAGGCCTACCAGGCGTGAGTGGAGGCCTACCGAGCGTGAGAGGACGCCTGCCGGGCGAGAAAGGACGCCTACCGGGCGAGGGAGGACGCCCACCGGGCGAGAAGGAGGCCTACCGGGCGAGAGAGGAGGCCTACCGGGCGAGAGAGGAGGCCTACCGGGCGAGAGAGGAGGCCTACCGAGCGAGAGAGGAGGCCTAACGGGCGAGAGTGGAGGCCTATGAGGCGTGAGAGGAGGCCTACCGGGCATGAGAGGAGGCCTACCGGGCAAGAGAGGAGGCCTACCAGGCGAGAGAGGAGGCCTACCGGGGGAGGGAGGAGGAGTACCGGGCGAGAGAGGAGGCCTACCGGGAGAGAGTGGAGGCCTACCGGGCGAGAGTGGAGGCCTACCGGGCAAGAGAGGAGGCCTACCGGACGAGAGAGGAGGCCTACCGGGCGAGAGAGGAGGCCTACCGGGCGAGAGAGGAGGCCTACCGGGCGAGAGAGGAGGCCACGGGCGAGAGAGGAGGCCTACCGGCGAGAGAGGAGGCCTACCGAGCGAGAGAGGAGGCCTAACGGGCGAGAGTGGAGGCCTATGAGGCGTGAGAGGAGGCCTACCGGGCATGAGAGGAGGCCTACCGGGCAAGAGAGGAGGCCTACCAGGCGAGAGAGGAGGCCTACCGGGGGAGGGAGGAGACGTACCGGGAGAGAGAGGAGGCCTTCCGGGAGAGAGTGGAGGCCTACCGGGCGAGAGTGGAGGCCTACCGGGCGAGAGAGGAGGCCTACCGGGCGAGAGAGGAGGCCTACCGGACGAGAGAGGAGGCCTACCGAGCGAGAGAGGAGGCCTACCGGGCGAGAGAGGAGACCTACCGGGCGAGAGAGGACGGCTACCGGGCACAACCCACCCACCCACCCACCCACCTACCCACCGAAGGAACAGACAGCCTCCTCAGGTCCACCCACCTGCCCACCCACGGTACCTTATCATAGGCGGCTCGCATGCGCTGCTCCGCACGTGTCTTGTGGATCTGCGAGCCGAGCTTGAAGACTTGAGCAGGGTCGACGTCGGAGCGGTTGAGGCGCGCCACCACGCTCTGCACGTCCTCTTGCAGGCTCTCAAAGCGCCCCACCACGTCGTAGCGGATCATGTGCAGCCCACACAGTTGCGCCTGCTCACGAGGGGGAGGGGGGAGGAGGGAGGGAAAGGTGGGAAGAGAAATGTGGGGGGAGAAGGGGGTGTGGCCACGACGTGCTGCACGTCCTCGAGCCGGGGTTTAAACCGCCCCACCATGTCATACCGGATCCTGTGCAGCCGGCACAGCTGCGCCTAGGGGAAGGCAGGGGAGGCAGGGAGAGGGGGCGGTGGGTGGAATGCAGGCGGGAAGATATGGTGTGCCACACAGCTGCGACAGTGGGGCAACAAGAGAGTGGGCCGGTGGGTGGGAGAGTGAGAGGGAAGGTGGGAGTGACGTGGGGAGGCAACAAAGGCCGTCTGGCACATTGCACATAGGGAATGAGCAGGTGTAGAGGAGTGTGAGTTAATAGAGGGTTAACAGAGGGTTCACCTGGGTGGCGATGTGTGCGTCCCCGTTGCCGCCTGTCTCGCGCACTATATCCGCCACCATGCGCACGGCCTCCTTAAACCCCACTGGCTCGTCCATCCTCCCGCCGCGCTGCTCCAGCCGCTCCCGCCCGAATATCCGCTGCAGGGTTGAAACGGGGTAGTGCCGGTGCACGGGAAGAGGGAGAAGAGGGGTTTGGGAAGAGGGATGAGGCAGGGATGGGGATGGGGATGGGGATGGGGATGGGGGTGGAGTGGGGGAGTGGAGGAGGTTAAGGGAGGAGGAGGAGGGAGGCCGTTCAAAGAAGGGAGGGATAGTGGTGCATGTTGACGTTGTGTGTCTTCTCTGCTACATTCGACAGCACTATGGTACAGAATCCTACATGACATTGTTTAACTACCCACTTGCACTCTCTGTGTCTACCTTTCCCACATACCCCACATACCCCACATACCCCACATACCCCACATACCCCACATCACCACTCACGCACCCTTTAGTCACAACACAACCCCCTCTCCCCCCCCCCCCGCCCCTTCTCCCCGTGTTCACCCCCCACATTTCCCCCTTACTCCTTCCCCCAAATCTCCTCCCCCCACCTTCCCCCCCCCCACCCACATGATTCCACAGCGTGACGTTGTGCTTCTCTCCCCCGTTCACCAGCTTGTCAGCATGCGCGCTCAGCAGCCGTGAGAACGGGTTGCGCACGAACACAAACTTCACCAGGTCCCTCCGGGTGAGCTGGCGGATGGCATCGTCCTCGTCCAGGTCGCGGTACATGAGCGTGAGCCCGTTCAGCTGCGCGTGGTGCGTGTAGTTGTAGTCCGTGATGTTGCTGAACCCATGCGCTGCCCGCAGCCACATCTTCCAGCTCGTGCAAGCGACTTTTTCTACAAAGCAGTAGATCAGACCCAGTTGCTCTGGGAGCGGGGGAAAGAAGGGAGGCGGGTGGGGAAGGGCATGGGGGGAGGGAGGGAGGAGGGGGGAGGGGAGAAGGTGGAGTGGAGTGGGGAGGGGGAGTGGAGTGAGCGAGGGATGTTTACAAGAGCCTGTCGGAAGCGAGAGGCACAGACGGCAAGGTGGGAATGTGCGCCGCCCGCAGCCACATCTTCCAGCTCGTGCACGCGACTTTCTCGATGAAGCAGTAGATCAGACCCAGTTGCTCTTGGGGGGGGGGGGGAAGAAGGGAGTCGGGTGGGGAAGGGTAGGGGGAAGAAAGGGGAAGAAGGGTGGGGACTGGGGGGGGAGACGAGGGTGGTAGGGTGCGTTTGAGAGGGGGAAAAGTGGAATTATAAAAGTGGTAGGGATTTACTTCTGAAGATGCGGACCAGACGAAAGGCCCAGTCAGCATCTGGGCCACAATGGAACCTTCTCTCCCTCTCACCATTCGGTCTTCTCACTCCCATACCCTCTCTCACCATTCCCGCACTTAGCCCGCAACATAACCCCCCCTCTTACGCCCCACTCTCTCCCCCCCCTCTTGTCTCTGCACCCCCCTCTCACCGTCCACGATCATCTGGTACGCAAATCGCAGGCTGGCGAGCGGAAACAGCTTGGGCGACGTGCACACGGGCGCCTGGCGGAAGGGCGGGCCCGCTGCCCCTCGAATGGCGGTGGAAAGCCCCGTGATGAGCTCTGCCTCGGGGGAGAGCGGCACGGACGAGAAGAAGGCCGGCGCCTGGGCTAGGGCTAAGAGCTCCGCCACCTGAGAGGCGCGTCAAAAATGGGAGGGGGAATATTTTCAGGGCACGTCGAAAATGGAGGGATGCACAGACGAGAAGACGGCCGGCAGCGCCTGGGGTAGGGCTAGGGCTAAGAGCTCCGCCACCTGAGAGGGGGCGGGAGGGGGAGGGGAGGAGTGGTGAGGGAAAGGAATGTGGAGAGAGAGGGGAAGAAGAGAGGAGGACGAGGAGGAGGAGAGGGTGCGGGGAGTAAAGAGAAGGGACCTGGGGAAGAAAGCTGAGGGTTTCGGGCATGTAAAAGGAGTGGAACTGCGAACACCCGCTGCTTGCTGAACTTCCAACGTCCAGTTTCCGATTGCTGGCACACCTCCAGCTCAGCACCCAAGTCTCACCTCCAGCTCAGCACCCAAGTCTCATCTCCATCTCAGCACCCAAGTCTCACCTCCAGCTCAGCACCCAAGTCTCATCTCCATCTCAGCACCTAAGTCTCACCTCCAGCTCAGCACCCAAGTCTCACCTCCAGCTCAGCACACTCGGCCCTCCTGCCGCCTCCAACCAACCCCCCACCACTCCCCTCCCCTCTCCGCCGCACCCCGCTCCCCATGCACTGCAGCTGCGCCCTCCTCTTGCTCGCCTCCAGCAGCAGGGGCGCACGGGACGCATGGAACATGCCGGCCGCAGACACGGCCGCAGAGGGCAGTGCAGAAACAATGGTGAAGTCAAGTGAGGGGTCTCTGAGGAAGTCGTAGGCCAGGCGGCGGGCCGTGCACGCTGCAAGGGAGTGCGTGAAGCGGCGCGTGTTGCAGACCTCACAGAATGGTGGGATGATTTGAGAGAGGTTCGCGGGGCAGCCGGAGCAGGACTCGAGGGGGGTGTCCTGGTGTGGGAAGAGGGCGAGGAAAGATTGGCAGAGGGTGTGTGGTCGAAACAGCAGCCGGAGCAGGACTCCAGAGGGGTGTCCTGGAGTGGGGCGGGGTGGTGGTTGGGGGAGGAAGGATTGATAGGGAGTGTGTGCTCGTGACAGCAGCGGGTGGCTTTTGGCAGGCATCACGAGGCGGCAGTGGCTGGCAGGGCGCGGCGAGGTAGTGACTGGCACAGGGGCTAGTGGCACGGGGCGTAGTGGCACGGGGGGTAGTGACACGGGGCATAGTGGCACGGGGGGTAGTGGCACGGGGGCTAGTGGCACGGGGGGTAGTGGCACGGGGGCTAGTGGCACGGGTGCTAGTGGCACGGGGGCTAGTGGCACGGGGGCTAGTGGCACGGGGGCTAGTGGCACGGGTGCTAGTGGCACGGGGGCTAGTGGCACGGGTGCTAGTGGCACGGGGGCTAGTGGCACGGGTGCTAGTGGCACGGGGGCTAGTGGCACGGGTGCTAGTGGCACGGGGGCTAGTGGCACGGGGGCTAGTGGCACGGGGGCTAGTGGCACGGGGGCTAGTGGCACGGGGGGTAGTGACACGGGGGGCTGGTGACAGGAAGAAAGGGGCAAGGTGCTTTTGGAGAAGAGGTGTGAGCTGACCTCAAGGTAGGCAGCCGTGGAGCGCTGCACTCTCTGTGTGTCCTCTGCGACCAGTAGGCGCGCCACCGCTGCTGATGGCTGCAGCGAGTGCAAGCATGCTGCCAGCTCGTCCGACATCCAACACGGGTCGTCTGACTGGGGAGGTGAGGGGAGGGTGTGGTGTGGGGGGGAAGCAGGGGGATGGTGGAGAGAAGGGACGGAGGGGAAACGTGAGGGATGGTGGGTTTTAGCGCACAGAAAGGGTAGATTAGACGCGTGGGAGATATGACATGCCTTGAGCTAGAGAGTATTGTATATAGTCCAATCTGACAGATATCCCATCCTCCCCACATCGTGCAGCTTATACCCATCCCTTGCCCCATACCCATCCACCCCATCCCTTGCCCCATACCCATCCACCCCATCCCTTGCCCCATACCCATCCACCCCATCCCTTGCCCCATACCCATCCACCCCATCCCTTGCCCCATACCCATCCACCCCATCCCTTGCATCATACCCATCCATCCCACGTGCTGGCTCGAGCGGACAGCAGCAGTCTGACTGGCATGCGGAACACCCCACTCGCTGCACTGCCGCCCACGCCTGTTGCCGCTCCACAGTCACCCACCGACGCCTGAGGGGGGAGGAGGAGGAGGAGGAGGAGAGGTAAGAAACTCCGGGACGAAGGGAAGACGTGGGTGGGTGATTTTTGGGAATTCTCAAAAATTACCAACAGGACGAAGGGAATACGTGGGTGGGAGCATGCGGTACCGTAAAAGGGCAAGGCAAAAACAGTACCGGCACCTGTGCACTGGCTGGCACTCTAAGCACGGACGCCCAACCCAGGTGCGCTGGTGCCTGTGAAGAGTGGGCCAGCTGCAGAGACTGGGAGGGATCATGCTGTAGGGTCCTCTCCCTCAAGCGGTCCGTGTATTAATGGTCAAGCAGGGTACTTACTGCTTTGTACTTGAAGCTGAGCGGCGGTGACTGCAGCAGTGATCCTGCCACGCACTCGGGTGATGTGTCCTGCACTGCCCATCTGGCCGAGGGGGGTTGCAGGGGGAAATGGAGAAGGAGAGCGTGAGAGATGGAACGAGGGCCAGTGAGAGGGAGAGACGGAGAGGGACAGCTTGAGAGGGAGGAAGGAGGGTTAAGAGAGGTGGTAGCAGCAGGCTTAGAGGCAAGATACATACCACTAGGAGGAAATAACGAAAGAGCACATCCGGAAAAGCCGCCGGCCCGGTAGTCACCTGAGATCCGCCCCCCTCCCTGGTCACCTGAGATCCGCCCCCTCCCTGGTCACCTGAGATCCGCCCCCCTCCCTGGTCACCTGAGATCCGCCCCCCTCCCTGGTCACCTGAGATCCGCCCCCCTCCCTGGTCACCTGAGATCCGCCCCCCTCCCTGGTCACCTGAGATCCGCCCCCCCTCCCCTGGTCACCTGAGATCCGCCCCCCTCCCTGGTCACCTGAGATCCGCCCCCCTCCCTGGTCACCTGAGATCCGCCCCCCTCCCTGGTCACCTGAGATCCGCCCCCCTCCCTGGTCACCTGAGATCCGCCCCCCCCTCCCTGGTCACCTGAGATCCGCCCCCTCCCTGGTCACCTGAGATCCGCCCCCCTCCCTGGTCACCTGAGATCCGCCCCCCTCCCTGGTCACCTGAGATCCGCCCCCCTCCCTGGTCACCTGAGATCCGCCCCCCCTGGTCCCAACCGCCCCCCCCTGGTCACCTGAGATCCGCCCCCCCTCCCTGGTCACCTGAGATCCGCCCCCCTCCCTGGTCACCTGAGATCCGCCCCCCTCCCTGGTCACCTGAGATCCGCCCCCCTCCCTGGTCACCTGAGATCCGCCCCCCTCCCTGGTCACCTGAGATCCGCCCCCTCCCTGTCACCTGAGATCCCCCCCCTCCCCCCCCCCCCTGGTCACCTGAGATCCGCCCCCCTCCCTGGTCACCTGAGATCCGCCCCCCTCCCTGGTCACCTGAGATCCGCCCCCCTCCCTGGTCACCTGAGATCCGCCCCCCTCCCTGGTCACCTGAGATCCGCCCCCCTCCCTGGTCACCTGAGATCCGCCCCCCTCCCTGGTCACCTGAGATCCGCCCCCCTCCCTGGTCACCTGAGATCCGCCCCCCTCCCTGGTCACCTGAGATCCGCCCCCCTCCCTGGTCACCTGAGATCCGCCCCCCTCCCTGGTCACCTGAGATCCGCCCCCCTCCCTGGTCACCTGAGATCCGCCCCCCTCCCTGGTCACCTGAGATCCGCCCCCCTCCCTGGTCACCTGAGATCCGCCCCCCTCCCTGGTCACCTGAGATCCGCCCCCCTCCCCTGGTCACCTGAGATCCGCCCCCCTCCCTGGTCCACCTGAGATCCGCCCCCCTCCCTGGTCACCTGAGATCCGCCCCCCTCCCTGGTCACCTGAGATCCGCCCCCCTCCCTGGTCACCTGAGATCCGCCCCCCTCCCTGGTCACCTGAGATCCGCCCCCCTCCCTGGTCACCTGAGATCCGCCCCCTCCCTGGTCACCTGAGATCCGCCCCCTCCCTGGTCACCTGAGATCCGCCCCCCTCCCTGGTCACCTGAGATCCGCCCCCCTCCCTGGTCACCTGAGATCCGCCCCCCTCCCTGGTCACCTGAGATCCGCCCCCCTCCCTGGTCACCTGAGATCCGCCCCCCTCCCTGGTCACCTGAGATCCGCCCCCCTCCCTGGTCACCTGAGATCCGCCCCCCTCCCTGGTCACCTGAGATCCGCCCCCCTCCCTGGTCACCTGAGATCCGCCCCCCTCCCTGGTCACCTGAGATCCGCCCCCCTCCCTGGTCACCTGAGATCCGCCCCCCTCCCTGGTCACCTGAGATCCGCCCCCCTCCCTGGTCACCTGAGATCCGCCCCCCTCCCTGGTCACCTGAGATCCGCCCCCCTCCCTGGTCACCTGAGATCCGCCCCCCTCCCTGGTCACCTGAGATCCGCCCCCCTCCCTGGTCACCTGAGATCCTCCGCCTGAGATCCGCCCCCCTCCCTGGTCACCTGAGATCCGCCCCCCTCCCTGGTCACCTGAGATCCGCCCCCCTCCCTGGTCACCTGAGATCCGCCCCCCTCCCTGGTCACCTGAGATCCGCCCCCCTCCCTGGTCACCTGAGATCCGCCCCCCTCCCTGGTCACCTGAGATCCGCCCCCCTCCCTGGTCACCTGAGATCCGCCCCCCTCCCTGGTCACCTGAGATCCGCCCCCCTCCCTGGTCACCTGAGATCCGCCCCCCTCCCTGGGTCACCTGAGATCCGCCCCCCTCCCTGGTCACCTGAGATCCGCCCCCCCTCCCTGGTCACCTGAGATCCGCCCCCCTCCCTGGTCACCTGAGATCCGCCCCCCCTCCCTGGTCACCTGAGATCCGCCCCCCTCCCTGGTCACCTGAGATCCGCCCCCCTCCCTGGTCACCTGAGATCCGCCCCCCTCCCTGGTCACCTGAGATCCGCCCCCCTCCCTGGTCACCTGAGATCCGCCCCCCTCCCTGGTCACCTGAGATCCGCCCCCTCCCTGGTCACCTGAGATCCGCCCCCCTCCCTGGTCACCTGAGATCCGCCCCCCTCCCTGGTCACCTGAGATCCGCCCCCTCCCTGGTCACCTGAGATCCGCCCCCCTCCCTGGTCACCTGAGATCCGCCCCCCTCCCTGGTCACCTGAGATCCGCCCCCCTCCCTGGTCACCTGAGATCCGCCCCCTCCCTGGTCACCTGAGATCCGCCCCCCTCCCTGGTCACCTGAGATCCGCCCCCTCCCTGGTCACCTGAGATCCGCCCCCCTCCCTGGTCACCTGAGATCCGCCCCCCTCCCTGGTCACCTGAGATCCGCCCCCCTCCCTGGTCACCTGAGATCCGCCCCCCTCCCTGGTCACCTGAGATCCGCCCCCCCTCCCTGGTCACCTGAGATCCGCCCCCCTCCCTGGTCACCTGAGATCCGCCCCCCTCCCTGGTCACCTGAGATCCGCCCCCCTCCCTGGTCACCTGAGATCCGCCCCCCTCCCTGGTCACCTGAGATCCGCCCCCTCCCTGGTCACCTGAGATCCGCCCCCCTCCCTGGTCACCTGAGATCCGCCCCCCTCCCTGGTCACCTGAGATCCGCCCCCCTCCCTGGTCACCTGAGATCCGCCCCCCTCCCTGGTCACCTGAGATCCGCCCCCCTCCCTGGTCACCTGAGATCCGCCCCCCTCCCTGGTCACCTGAGATCCGCCCCCCCTCCCTGGTCACCTGAGATCCGCCCCCCTCCCTGGTCACCTGAGATCCGCCCCCCTCCCTGGTCACCTGAGATCCGCCCCCCTCCCTGGTCACCTGAGATCCGCCCCCCTCCCTGGTCACCTGAGATCCGCCCCCCTCCCTGGTCACCTGAGATCCGCCCCCCTCCCTGGTCACCTGAGATCCGCCCCCCTCCCTGGTCACCTGAGATCCGCCCCCCTCCCTGGTCACCTGAGATCCGCCCCCCTCCCTGGTCACCTGAGATCCGCCCCCTCCCTGGTCACCTGAGATCCGCCCCCCTCCCTGGTCACCTGAGATCCGCCCCCCTCCCTGTCACCTGAGATCCGCCCCCCTCCCTGGTCACCTGAGATCCGCCCCCCTCCCTGGTCACCTGAGATCCGCCCCCCTCCCTGGTCACCTGAGATCCGCCCCCCTCCCTGGTCACCTGAGATCCGCCCCCCTCCCTGGTCACCTGAGATCCGCCCCCCTCCCTGGTCACCTGAGATCCGCCCCCTCCCTGGTCACCTGAGATCCGCCCCCCTCCCTGGTCACCTGAGATCCGCCCCCCTCCCTGGTCACCTGAGATCCGCCCCCCTCCCTGGTCACCTGAGATCCGCCCCCCTCCCTGGTCACCTGAGATCCGCCCCCCTCCCTGGTCACCTGAGATCCGCCCCCCTCCCTGGTCACCTGAGATCCCCCCCCCTCCCCCCTGAGATCCGCCCCCCTCCCTGGTCACCTGAGATCCGCCCCCCTCCCTGGTCACCTGAGATCCGCCCCCCTCCCTGGTCACCTGAGATCCGCCCCCCCCTCCCTGGTCACCTGAGATCCGCCCCCCTCCCTGGTCACCTGAGATCCGCCCCCCTCCCTGGTCACCTGAGATCCGCCCCCCCCTCCCTGGTCACCTGAGATCCGCCCCCCCCTCCCTGGTCACCTGAGATCCGCCCCCCTCCCTGGTCACCTGAGATCCGCCCCCCTCCCTGGTCACCTGAGATCCGCCCCCCTCCCTGGTCACCTGAGATCCGCCCCCCCCTCCCTGGGTCACCTGAGATCCGCCCCCCTCCCTGGTCACCTGAGATCCGCCCCCCTCCCTGGTCACCTGAGATCCGCCCCCCTCCCTGGTCACCTGAGATCCGCCCCCTCCCTGGTCACCTGAGATCCGCCCCCTCCCTGCCCCTGAGATCCGCCCCCCTCCCTGGTCACCTGAGATCCGCCCCCCTCCCTGGTCACCTGAGATCCGCCCCCCTCCCTGGTCACCTGAGATCCGCCCCCCTCCCTGGTCACCTGAGATCCAGCCAGTGCATACTTGAGGTCGGGCTTGGAGATCTTGGGGTGCGCGGGGAGCGAGAAGAGCGAGGCGAAGGGCGCGGCGTGCACGGGGTGGTCCGTCAGCCACAGCACCTTCAGGGAGAAGCCCGCCGCCACGGCCAGCGCCTCCATGCCGCACAGCGCCACCAGACGCGAGGCCATGCTGCCCTGCCGGGGGGAGGGGGGGAGGGGGGGAGGGAGGGGGTGGGGAGAGGGAGAAGGCGAGAGGGCGAGATGGGGAGGGTTGGGTAAGGAGAACGTTGGAGAGGAGAGGTTATGGCTTTTGAGTCGGCTCAAACACACCCTCAGCCGCACAGCACCACCAGACGCGCCGCCATACTGCCCTGGGAGTGGGGTGTGCGGGGGAGGGGGAGGAGGGTGGGGGTTGGGGGGGAAAGAGTTTCTTGTGAAGTGAGACGGAGGGTGGGGGCAGAGGGACTCTGAGGGTTTAAGTGCGATTGGTAGACGGGGGGAGGGGGGACAGGGAGTGAGGGGGGGGCGGAAGCTGAGTGAGGTGGGAAGAGAGTGGGTGGGGGATGATGAACATGATGAGGATGATGCGGTGGGGTGGGGTTGAGGGGATTGACGTGAGAGGCACGGCTAGAGGAAGCAGCGCGTGGGGGGGCGAGGGAGAGAGTGAGGGGTCAAGGACAACAGTCGTGAAAGTCCAAGATTCAACATTTACGGCCAGGGTTGGCAAGTGGGCGGCACAGTGCGCGACACTGTGGGCGACACAGTGGGCGACCCAGTGGGCGACACAATGGGCGACAGAGGCGTCGCACGGACCTCGGCGATCAGCACGAGGTCGTATTCCGCCAGGCTGGTCGCAGCGGGGCAGTCACGGCTAGCGAGTCTCCTAAGCAGCTGGTCGGGCCTAAGAACAGCGCTCGCGACGAGCAGCGCGAAAGCCGCGACCATCACGGTGGCGGCGACGGGCCGCTGCTGCGCCGCCGGATGGTGCACGCGCGGCGTCGTCGGATGGCGGCGCGAGCGCGGCGTGGACGGGTGGCGGTAGGACCGGCTCCCGGGGCCGAAGAGGAGGTGCATGGCGGGTGGGAGATGCTAGAAACGGAGCGCGCTGATGGGAGAACGAGAACAGAGAGAGAGAGAGAGAGAGAGAGAGAGAGAGAGAGAGTGTGTGTGTGTGTGTGTGTGTGTGAGAGAGAGAGAGAGAGAGAGAGAGAGTGTGTGTGTGTGTGTGTGAGAGAGAGAGAGAGAGTGTGTGTGTGTGTGTGTGTGTGTGTGTGTGTGTGTGAGAGAGAGAGAGAGAGAGAGAGAGAGAGAGAGAGAGAGAGAGAGAGAGAGAGAGAGAGAGTGTGTGTGTGTGTGTGTGTGTGTGTGTGTGAGAGAGAGAGAGAGAGAGAGAGAGAGAGAGAGAGAGAGAGAGAGAGAGAGAGAGAGAGAGAGAGAGAGAGAGAGAGAGAGAGAGAGAGAGAGAGAGAGAGGAGCGGGTTCAGCTTTCAGAGTCGCGGGACGGTCGACAGGGATGCGACTAGCGGACTCGGCACGGCACGGCGCAAGTGGTGGTGACGATGGCTGGATTCCTGGATAATTGCTTCTTCGGACGGAGTAGGGGAGAGGAATGAAGGGAATCCATGGCTAGCCGACTCTGGCCAGTTCTGGTATATTCTGGATGGAGGATAGCAGCACATATGAAGGGGCGAAATGGAAGTGAAGTGAAGAGCCTTCGGGCATTCGGTGGAAAAGCAGGTGTGGGTGGTTGAAGACGCGACATGTAACGGTACGAATCAGCATCAATTGGTGCATCCTTCGTGATTACTCAAATGTTCTCAAATCGTGCTTCCATAAATATTTGCCCTTCTTGAACCCTAATAATATGATGTATTTGAACCCATTTACTTTGCGCCAGCAACACACTCTGAAATAAATAAAATACGGGCAGATGCTGTGCAATTCCTCTTGAGCTAGGTTCCTTCCGCATATCCTCTAAACTAAAACCATCTCATGTATGATTACTCACGTGCATGATGCACCATAGCAAAGCAAGTTCAATACTTTTAAAGTATGATATTTTTTGAAAGTGTAAAAATCTCAGCGTAGCACAATGAACTAGAAAGAAGGGTACACGGTAGTTTTTACCTATTGAGCTGTACTCTCTAAGGCATGCCCCTATCTAGACTACAGAAACATATGCAAATATGTTTGACACACCCCCTAGACTAGACAAGAGGAAGTGCATGGCAAGAGACAAGCAACTCAGGGCAGCACTACTAGTCCAACCTCTGAGACAAGGGTCCGAAGACCAGTCAACAAGAGTACAAACTCGACAAAAGCTAACCAGGGTGGCACTACTAGTCCGGCCATTGGAAGAGAAGCCACAATGCCAGTCAAGAAGGTATCATAGCAAGTGAGGAGCTACAGGAACTAGACCAAGCTGCAAACAGTGCCGCTGATGATCTTTAGGTGCCAGCGCCTTACTAAAGATATCAGCTGTGTTGGCACCGGAGGCCAAGTGTACTACGCGGGCCTAGCAGCGCTGCTGTAGCTCACATAGGAGGAAGTACCGCAGCTGGATGTGCTTTGCTCTGCCCTCGAGTCAAGGCTCCTGACACAGGAGGATCACGGCAGAGCTAGGCCGCTCACCTAAGTCGGTGAGCAAGAAGGTCAGCCAGCGGAGCTCCTGTGCCGCCATGGCACCCGCCTAGATCTCAACCTCGCAGTTAGACTGGGCAACAGACAACGAGCGGGTGGACCTCCGCAAGATGGCACCTGAACCACGGCTAAAGCAGTAGCCCCGGGAGGACCTGAGTGTCTCAGCGTCGTCTGCCCACGAAGCGTCTGTGTGCCCTGTAAGGACCACTAGTCTGCGTCCTCCTAGCACAAGTCCCATGCCCAATGTACTTGCTAGATAACACAAAACCCTCTTAGCTGCCGACCAGTACTGTGGTCAGTGTCTGCCTGTGGCCACAAAGCAAGCCAGAATGCTGAGAGGGTATGCGAGATCTGGACGAGTGCAAGTCATCAGTTTTATAAGGCAACCCACCAGCTTTGCGTAAGGACCACTAGGCTCTTCTGACTTCTTTGGAACTATAGCAGATAGCCAGTGATCTACTAGCAGAGATGTGGGCTGTCCAGATGAGAATTGAAGACCGAACCTCTCAAGCACCTAGTGCACCAAGTGTGACTTTGTGAGAGTGATGGTGTACGTTGCTCTGTCCCTGGAGATCTGCAGGCCAAGATAACGGCGCAGCTCTCCTAGGTCAGTTCAAGTGTGTCTCCTCTCCGCTCAGCCTTCACAGAGGCCAGTGCGTCTCTGTCTGCAATAGCGAAGACCAGGTCGCATACGTAGACAATGATGTAGAACGGGGTCTGGCCAGAACGAACGAAGAGCGAGGGGTCTGCAGACGACGGGAAGAACTGCAGGTCAGCTAGCATAGCACACAGTGTGTCGTGCCACTTACAGGGTGCCTGCCGCAGGCCGTAGACCAGGCGCCGGAGGAGCCACTGGGTCCCAGGAGGGAAGGTACCAGTGAAGCCCTGTGGACGGCGCATGTAGACCTGCTTGTGTAGACTGCCATGGAGAAACGATGAGGAGAAGTCGAAGGAGTGTAGCTCGTAGTCGTGCTGTGCTGCTACGAGTAGCAGCGCCTGAAGAGTAGTCATATTCGGGGTCGGGGCGAAGGTCTGAAAGAAGTCCACACCATCGCGCTGACTGAAGCCTCTAGCCACGTAGCGCGCCTTGAAGACAGGCGGCTCTCCAGGGGGGCGCTTCATCTTGAAGAGCCACCGACCATCGACTACGCTCACCCCAGGTGGGGGAACTGAGTCGACAAAGGTGCCGGTGGATCTCCAAGATGTCATTTCCTCCTCCATGGCAGCTATCCACTGAGAAGCCCAAGGTCCCGAGGTCGCCTCAGCATAAGTGCGAGGGGTCGGGATTTCAAAAGCGCTTGGGTCAACCTCAAGTACTAGCAGTATGAAACTGAGATGGGGAGCGGCCTCGAATAGGAAAGCAAGCTCATACTGCCTGTCCTTTAGGACGTCACTGCCAAGATCAGGAGCACCCCCGATGGACGGAGGGCAGGAAGGGCCAGAGACCAGAGCTGTGGCGTACTCAAGGCGACAGGCAGAGGCGAAGGTAGCGACAGCAGCGACAAGAGCGTCAAGACTCGAGACAAGAATATACGGATCGGTAATGAGGGAGGCAAGGACCTGAGGAACAAGAGGACGAGCAGCACGAAGGTTATCAGACGGAGAAGGCGGAGCGACAACGAGCAACGACGGAGGAGGCGGTGGGAGGAGTGGAGGACGGGACGCGTGGGAATGAAGCAACATGGGGTGAGAGCACTGGAGAGGAGAGACAGGACGAGCACAAGAGGGACAGCGAGACCAGAAGTGGGACGGAGGCGTCGGGTCAGGAGACACAGGAGGAGTCACGGGAGGGAACGAGGGGGAAAACGAGCCAGGGATGAGTCCGACGGAGGAAACACAGGGCCGTAGACAGGCACGGGAGGTGGCAGCGGGGGAGGTGCAGGCGAGTGGTCAGGGGAGGGAAGGCCGAGCAAGCGAAGAGCGGACATCGGTGGCGAATGCTGCTCCTGCTGCTCCACGCTGACACCAGAACCTCCAGCTGCACCATTGCTACCTCCGGAACGCTCCACTCCAGCACCCCCAGAACTAGAACCCTCTCCTGTACCGGTGCCACCCCCGAGACCGCCGGGACAAGCCACGATAGTAACCTCAGGACTAGCACCCCCAGAACCAGCACCCCCAGGACCAGCACCCTCCTCAACGCCCGCATCCCTAGGGCTCGCGGGCACCTGATGCCGCTGCGGTGGCGGCAACGGGTGCTACTGCGGTTGCAATGACGCCTGCGGCTGCTGCTGCGGCGGCGACGGCTACTGCAACGGCAGAGGAGGGGACACTGGGGGAGAAACAGGCGGCAAAAACTGTGCCATAGGGCCATCAGATTCAGCCGACTCCTCGACCGGGACAACCGACGGGAGGGGAGTCACGTGAGACACACCAGGCGGAGCAGTACGGGGAGGGAGGGGAGCAGGGCCTACCGGGGGAGTGGGTACCAGAAACAGGGGCGGGGAAACTGGGAGACCTCGGTGAGGAAAGCAGTAATAGAAGGAGACGGACTCGTCGAAAGTGATGTCACGCGTGTGAAAGAATCGGTGAGACGGCGGGTGGAAAAAGGGCCAGTCTGACGAGTCAGGGGTGAAATCAAGGAAGACGTAGGGGACGGTGTGGGCACTTAGCTTGTCCATGCCAGAAGCACGAACGTGAGTGAGGCAGCCCCAGACGTGGAACGCGAACGCGTCACCAGGTAACCCGGCCCAGAGAAGGGTCGGCGAAACTTGCGGCCGGTGGGAGTGCGGCCGCAGGTTAAGCTGGTGAGCGGCGAAGCGAATGGCGAACGGCCACAAAAAATGGGGTGCACCAGCATGGATCATGGAGGTACAGTATGAGCCACCTCCATAACCAAAACGCTCAGCGACCCCATTTTGCTGTGGGGAGTCCGGGAGGGGTCAGCAAGCGCGACAGCAGCAGGTGCTGCAAGTGGCGTCAGCGCAACGTGGTTGCGGAAGAAGCAGACAGACACGCCAGAGTCAATCGTAAAGGAGAGCAAAGTGGAAGCTGCGGCTGATGGAGGAGCGAGCGTGGCGGTTAGACTAAACTAGGCAGAAGGTCCTACGCCTGACGCAGCAGGGGAGTCTGTAGTAGATACAAAAAAAATACGTAAACTAGGCAATACAGGGTAATAAGATACAGGCAAACAATAAAGACCAGGATACAGGGAATGCAGAGCAGAAGAAATCTGATCCACATCTAGCTCAAAGACAGGCACACCATGGCGCAGCAGACTGGCCCAAACTGGGAGGTACGGCGCCAGGCCGAAGCGGTGACGAAATAGGTCGTCGAAGCGGCGGAAGCAGTGGGCAGTAGGGTGCGGGCGACGACGCACAGTGCCGTGGAGAGGGCCAGTCTGGAGCTGGTACTGGCAACCCCCAGCGCCGAAGCTACCGCCCGATGCCGAGCTGCGAGAGCTGCCAACGCGGCCACCACCAATGGAGGCACCGGGCCACCCCGGTGGGAGGCGGGCCCACGACTGCTGCTGCGACTGCTGCTGCTACTCCTGGGCACCAGCCCCGATCCCCTCGTCGTACCCACTGTCCCCGCCGCCACCACCACCACCCCCACCACCACGCCCCCCTTCGGGGCAGCGGCCCCGACGTTGGCGTGGCTGCGCGAAGGCCACGGCTGCGGTCTCAGCAGCAGGGGCTGTCGCGGCGACAACGGCAGAAACGCCATCGTACGTGCACTGGGAGGGCGTACAGCCCTGGAAGATAGGAACAGCGGCAGTACCGCTCGACTGAGGGATAGTGCGCTGGTGAGTCTCTCAGGCAGGGGGGTGACAAAGGTTGTAAGGGTAAGGTCACCTGGGTGCTGACTAAGAAAGTGGTCTCGGGCAATGGCTAAGCGGTCCTGAAGGCACATGGCAATGAGGTACAGGGTAGCGCAGAACGGCGGAGGGAAGACAGTAAGCTGGGCCTTAGTGCTAGCGGCATGGTAGCTAGCCTCTAGTGCACGGAGGTGAGTGGCTAGGTCAGCTACAGTGAGGAAGGCGGCGAGATCAGGGAACAACATGAGGAGTATCAAGCGGCCAGCACAGGCGGAGGCGGGCGTAGAGTAGTGCGCAACTACGGCATCTAAGAATTCCTTGGCGTTCGTGACAGCAGTAAAGCACGGACTCTTAGACATGGGAAGAGCGTGATTAATGGCAAGCTGCCCTATGGCATCGCGCGAATCCCAGACACTGAGAGCAAGTGCAGCAGCAGAAAATGCCTCATGCTGAGCAGTGGTGGGGTCAGCAGGGAGGGGATCAGGCACGGAGGGGTGGGGAAGCAAGCCATCGACATGCACAGCCAGGGAGTGACCATCCTGGCGCTGACCTGTCAGGTGATGGCGTAGATTGACAAGCCAGGCGGCGAAGTCGAGGGCGTGCCCCTCTGCGTCTATGCGGAGTACAGAGTCCGCCATCTTACGACCTCAGCTACTCGACGCCACGGCGGTACGGCGGCACAGCGACACGGCGGCACAGCGGCACGACGACACGGTGGCACAGCGACTCAGCGGCACGGCGGCACGGCTCCACGGCAGGAAGGAAGGCGAACACAACCGAGGCAAGTGGGGCGCACCGACTGGTGGGGGCGCGTAAGGTCGGGCGTGGCTTACAGGGCCAGCGGCGCACGGAAAGAGCCGGCGGGGCGCAATGGGCCTGCAGGGGCGCGGAAGGGCCGGCGGGGCGCAATGGGCCAGCAGAGGCGCGGAAGGGCCGGCGGGGCGCAACGAGCCAGCGGGGGCGCGAAGGGGCTGGCGGGGCGCTAAGGGCCAGCTGAGCGCGATAGGCCTGGCGGGGCGCAAAACGGCCAGCGGGGCGCGAGGGGCTGGCGGGGCACGAAAGGGCTGGCGGGGCGCGAAAGGGCCAGGCGGGGCGTGAAGGGCTGGCAGGGCGCGAAGGGCCTGGCAGGGCTCGAAGAGCCAGGCGGGGCGAGAAAGGGGCCAGCGGGGCGCAAGGGGTCGGCGGGGCACGAAGGGCCTAGCGGGGCGCGAAGGGCCTGGCGGGGCGCGAAAGGGACCAGCGGGGCGCAATGGGCCGGCGGGGCGCGAAGGGGGCCAGCGGGGCACGAGGGGCCGGCGGGGCGCAAAGGGCCTGGCGGGGCGCGTAGGGGACGGCCAGCGGGGCGCTAAGGCCAACGGGGCGCCAAGGACAGTGGGGCGCTAAGGCTAGGGCTAGGGCGAAAGCTGGTGGGCGGACCTAATCTAAGCTGATACCATCTCAGAGTAGCAGAATGAACTAGAAAGAAGGGTACACGGTAGTTTTGACCTAATGGGCTATACTCTCTAAGGCATGCCCCTATCTAGACTATAGTAACATATGCAAATATGTTTGACAAAAATCACTTCCTAAAAATCTGTATTGTGAAAGCGCAGCTGCTTGTAATGCCGCAAGCACAACTTCCCACCCACCCACCCTTGCTACTAATCATTAATATTTTGTTAATTGGACGAGAATGTTGTAAATTGCCCGCTTGAAATGTAGCAAGTTGCCATTGCAAATACAAGCAACCAAGCTTTCTCAATAGGCTTTCAGATTGCACTAAAAAAAAAATACACCACCACCGCTAAAGCTTATTACCAATCTATGTACTTGTACACCCAACTACAACTGATGCCTAATGAATCGTATGACAACAACCGCTGCAAGGAGCGCGTCTACACTCATGTTGCAACCGGTTGGATCGCAAGCACCGACCTCACAGAGTGGCCATCACCATCCTTCCAGGTGAGGCTCCCAAACTGGAAGTCCTTGGAAGGCGTTTTTACCGTGAGGGTCACAACGTACTTGAGCCTCTGACCCGCTGCAATGGTGAACTTCTTGGGCGATACTGTAACAGACACACCCTTGGGAGCCTTGATCTTGACCTTGTAGGTTGACTCGGACCCAGCAACGTTGGTCACCAACCTCGAAACCGTGAGTGTACCCTTCAGCCGGGACACAGAGATGCTCGCCCGGTTGAGGTTCCGAGGAGGCATGCGCACAAGCCTGGCATTGGGAAACTCCAGCTTGGCCTGCTTAAGGCTCTGCCCGGCAAGGAAATTCATGTAGTAGGCTGCTCGGGCATCATAAGTGAGCCCGGGGTCCAGCACCTTGGGCGGGTACACATGCCCCTGGCCCATCTCCCAGGGGGTTGCCGTGTTGCCGTCTACATCCTTGATATTGCTGTCGTCAGTGTTGGAGGTGACAGCTGTCGTCATGATTGCTGACATCACCTGCGCAGGGCTCCACGTGGGGTACTTTTGCAGGATCAGAGCCCCAATGCCGGCCAGGTGAGGCGTAGCCATGGAGGTACCGGACTTCTGAGAATAAGTCCCAGTCTCCCCCACTGTCTTTCCTGGCGCTGCGGCGTAGAGTTTCACCCCAGGGCCGACAACGTCGGGCTTTAGGATGCTGTTGGTGGCTTGTGCGCTGCTCGCGTCCGTCCAGGGGCGACAGAGGGGGCCGGCGGAGGAGAAGCTTGCGATCTCAGGGGCGGCGGAGGCCATGGGGTATGTGGATAGGATGGCGGAGGAGGAGAGGTTGTCGGCCTTGGGGAGAACAGCACCATCGCGCAGAATGGAGCTGCAGGAGACACGGACAAGACATGGCAAACATAGTATAGTTTGTCATACAACCACCAATGAGAGGAGAACTGCAAAGCAAAAACACATCACGGGTTCGATTCTTGAAGCGCATGTCAACGTTGGGCCCATAACAGAAATCCGCACGGGTGTGCCGCATGCCGTACACCCTTTGGCATGGCGTAGCGTAGCGTAGCATTGCTCACCTTGCCCCAACGGTGAGGTAGAAAGGTGCAAAGTTGGCGATCTGCCGGTACGTGTCGAAATTGGTGCCCTTGGGGGAGCCGGAGTTGCCCGCAGCAAACGCCACAAACACCCCCGCCAGGTTCGCATAGAGCAGCGGCACGTCGTCGAAATACGTGGCCGTGGGATCCATGGTGCCCAGTGACAGCGAGATGACATCTGCACCGTCCGCCACTGCTTGGTCTATTGCCGCCATGACGTCAGTAGTGCTGGCCGTGTTTCTGCCAGACGCCTTCGTCCAGAACACCTTGTAGATTGCCAGCCTGGCAGCCGGCGCCATGCCGCTCGCCTTGCCGCCCGCCATCGACACGTCCTTGTTGCCTGCCGAGGCACTGAAACACAGTGCAGCGCGGAGAGAGAGAGAAGAGTTCGGTGAGAGTGAGTGAGAGAGAGTGTAGCAGAGTGAGGGGGGGCATGGGGGCATGAGGAGCGAGGGGGAAGGAGAGCACGCACCCCGCACACCAGGTGCCGTGGCCTTGGGAGTCGCGCGGCGAGAGCCAGTCAGCGGAGAGGTCGGGCGCGCCGTTGTTCTCAGTGAAGCCGGCGTACATGGCGCGCGCGCCGATGACCTTGTTGTTGCACTTGAAGTCAGTCGTCGTGTCGCACTTGCCCGTCCACCCCGCCGGCTTGGTCGAGCTGAATCCCTGCTCGGTTGGAAGGGAAGGAGGAGGGGAAGGGGGGGTGGGGGGGGGGGGGGGGGTGGGGAGGGGGGGGGAGGGGAAGAAGCGCAGGAACGGGGGGCAGCGGAACGGAAGCGGAGGAGGAAGGGGAGGGCGAAGTTGTGAAGCTGAGACGTTTGTCGGTGTGCCGAGGCGTATTGTTTCACTGTATCCATGGTCGCAATCTCGCATTCAATGCATCCCAAGAAAGAAATCCCAACCACACGCACGCGCACTCCTCTCATCCCACCATATGCAATCCCCCACTTTAGTAACGCCGCGTTACTCACCGAGTCGCTGAACGAGGGGTGTTCCGGCCAGATGCCCGTGTCCACAACCGCGATCACCATGCCGTCGCCCGCCTTGCTCTGCCCGCCATTGCTGCTCCACAGCGACCCGCTGCTCCCCATGCCCAGGAACGTCGGCGAGTCCGTCGTCAGCCGCTGCACCTCGCGGCTCTCCTGCACTGCCGCCACCGCCGCGTGCCGCCGCAGCCGCCGCGCCTGGAGCGGCGTCAGGGACGCCGAGAAGCCGTTCTGCGAGTACTTGAACCTGGCGGCGGGACGAGGCGCGGGGAGGGGGAGGGAAGGGGGGGAAAGGGGAGCGGCGAGGAGGATCGCGCGGCGCGACTTGAATTCCTGTGCATGTGAAATTGGCCAACGCGGGGATTGGCGAGAAGGGGATAAAGAGCTCACCCAAATTCCGGAGAATTCAGTAAAACTAACACCACTGGGCAAAAACGTTACACACTGTCGACTCGAGGTCTTTAAGAATTCTCAAATACCTGTATGCGATGCGGTCCGCGGAGAGCCCCACGGAAGCGGCCACCGTGGTCTGCTGATACTCCAGCAGGTCCGCGTGCGCGCGGATCTGCGGGTTCTCCATGCTCAGCCGCGCGCGCCGGGGGATCCCGCGCCCGACCATCGTCCGCGCTTCCGCCGCCAGCGTGGTGGGCGCGGCCGTGAGAGCGGCCGGCACGGAGGCGTTGCCGGCCTGCTCGTCGTCGGTCCACCCCGGGAAGATCGAGAATCCCCCCCGATACGCGGCGAGAGGCAGCGCGGATCGGAGGCGCACGTTGTAGTGCTTAAGGAAGCCCTGACGCGCTGCTGAAGAGGTGAGAGGACGAGAAACGGGGCAGGAACAGAAACGAAGCGGCAAATGATAGGGAGTCGTACTTCAACTGAAAGTACTACTTTAAACCAAGACACACAGAATTCGCGCTCGATTTACTTGAATGCACGACGCTTTAGCTGTCGGGCATGCAGAACGAAGGCGGTCGGTATCAGGAGGCGGCGATTTTCCGCGATGGACGAAAATCGTAACTTCATCGTCGTTCGCGCTACGCCGGAGGCCCGCGGGCGAATTCTAAAATTGGAAACGCTTCGAAAACGGCAATTTGAAAAATATGATGGGATCGCGACGAAATTTCGGTGAGACGGCTTACCTTGGAGCAACGCGTCGCACTGGCCGACGGCGACAGCGAGCAGCACGAGGAAGACGATGGCGGTCATCGTGTCGTGGCGGCTGAATGGCTTGGACCGATGCAATCTCCAAGATTGGCGTCCCGCCATCTTCAAATATGGGTGATCTGCCGCGACACAGTAGCGCCTGTTAGCATGGGAGGCCGAGGATGCATTATAACTAAGCCAAAGGGGGAGGTGTTACCATAAGGACTTACAGAAAGCAAGTCGAGAGGCGAGAAACAGGAAACTTGGACACAGTGCCACTCAGCCCAGGGGCTTCTGCCACCAAAATCGCGTTTTGGGGAAGGAAGTGAATTGTCACAGCAAAATGGATGAATGTGGATCGAGGAGTGATTTCAATGAATCTTTATGCGCAGCGGAACCAAGGGCTTGCCTTGCCATGGCACTGCGGGCGCTGTTGTCCCCCTGCTGTCCTGTCCCCTCACCCTCCATAACCACCTGCACAGTGCTGTAAACAGTGTCGCCCTTTGTGGTGTTTTTTGCTTTGTTTTTTGTCCAATAGCACCCTGCAAAATCACAGTTGCTTCAGATGCGTCACGGTCGACAGGGAAGTCATTTGTTGCAATGTCAACAAAGCTCTCAAAGCAACATTGCACTACAGCTGTTGCTAGAAACGAGAACTCCTTCACAGCTACACTGAAGAAGCTCATTACGCCACTTAAAATGTCAGAGGGCCCTAAGGTCGGTCTCCTCCCACTCGCCCCTGCTCCTTGAAAGAAGGTTAGAGACTAATTCGAAAATTCAGGTTTCTTTTTTGGGCTTGAAAATTAGGCGATCCAATGGGTGCGCCGCTTTACCGCAGCGCATCTGGTTGCCTAGGCGAGAAGGAAGAGAACCAACGTGTCGCGTCCCGCTGCTTGGGCAGCGGCCCGATGTCGATGTCATGTACGACATGAAATGAAAGGGGAGATGGCATGGGTTGGGGAAAATTGCGGCACCCAAGCAGGGGAGGGAAGGGAATGGGTGGCGCGGTTGGGAGAACAGTCACACAATACAGCACAAGGAGCGGCAATGAGCAGTAAGGGCGGGTTAGACTGCGTGTCAAGCACGTGGTACAGCCCTACCTGTACCGTGTAAGCAGACACAGCCCGGGTGTCAGGCGAGTTTGACGCTGGCGCAAACATTTCGTGCTTTCTGAGATCGGTTAAACTCGCGTCTACCAGTCAACTTCAGCGTCGCATAAAATGACAGTCCAAAAGCCACGAAATAAGGCGATCCAATTAGCATGCCCCACGACATTTATTTGCGACTAGCGAATTGTGAATAAATCTGGTCGTCCAGAGTGGCAGCCGCTTGTTTCGCGCGGGACCTCGCTAGTGCCAACTGGCGACACTTTCAGAGGTCCAGGCGTCAATGGTCGCGCAGTGGCCGTTGGTCGACCTGTCTCGCGGGTCAGCTCGACAAACTTGTATCAACGACCTGACATGCGGTCTAGCTCGCCCTAAGATGGATGGGCTAGCCATCCATCCGTGCGTGCGACCATCCGCTCCGGGAGAGTGGGAGCTTTGGATGGAGCTGAACAGATTTCGCTCAAGTACCGAAAACGGGCTAAGACCTATTACAAATGTGTTTCCAGAGTCTATCAGATGTGTAAGAATCGGAAGCACATATGAGCCGTAGGGACCCCCCCCACATTGACGACTGGCGCTACACGTTATAAGCGTTGGAAGTTGTCGCTGTTCAAGGAGTTGGGAGTGAAGTTTTGCGGTGTTGAACGTGGGAATCGTGCAGCAGCAATGACACGTTCAACTCATTGCTGCTGCTGCAATTCGGATGGCACCTCCCGCCCATGCCCCTGTACTCGGGTCCACGCCACCTGCAGCTGGGCAGGTGGGGCCAAGTTCGGGCGAAGACTTGGTGGTGCCTCATCCGTTACGAAGTGAACAGATAAGCTCTTAGGACTGTAAATATGACTGCAAGCAAAACTTCAACATGTTTCTCTTCTTCTCTCGAACTAGATTCATTGGGGTAAGGGAACCTTCGGTTGAGTCACCAGCTACGCCCATGAAACTACATTAGAATGACTAGGAACCCAATGCATCCAAAGCGAGCTGAACCATGTTTGTCGCCGTTCCCACCCTATAGTGGGATTCCCAACGATCAAACAAGTTCTTGCATTCAGTATTGATGCAAGCTACCGTAGCCAGTTCCCCACCGGAATGGCAGCGGGTGCACACCTGCAATGCTTGCTGCCTTTGTGCTTCAAGTGATGCCTGGACGTGCTGCAGTGCAAGGGTGAACGCGAGGCTCCTAGAAGCCCCTTGGCATGCCGCACAGAAAGACTGTGCCGAGTTGAGCTGCAATGGAGCCCTGCAAACAGAAGCAGGGGAGGATGGTAGTAACAATATACAGCTTAATATCTATATTTAGTAGAACACTTTGTTGCATGCCCCTACAATGAAATATATGCAAGTCCGGCAATCATCCACACACAAGACAGTCACATACACACCAAGCAATCACCTGCACGTCAGACATGTTGGCTGCTTCTTGAAAAAGACGGTTACAGACAACTGCTGCGGCCTCCCTGATGCAGGGCTGGCGTGAGGTGAGGTGAATGGCGGAGGAGCGGAGAGTGAGGGGCTGGGGAAGGCAGGGAAGACGGCAGGGCGGAGGGCCGAGGGGACCGGTGCAAAGATGGCAGCCAACTCTGACGGGGGCAGGAGATGCTCAAAGATCTGCATGGCAGGGAGAGAGTGAGAGCACGGGTGACGTTGGGGTTGAGGGGGGGTTGGGGGGGATCAGAAGGGTTGTGAGGGCGTGGCAGGGGGATGGGGAGGGGTGCAAGGGCAACTTCCCACCTATCAGTAAATACAAGTCGAATCAAAAGCATACAATGTGACGTGGAGCCTGGATAGAATCGCATGTGGCGCGCGTCGATTGGGAGCAGGGTGGGGTGTATGCAACAGTGAAATAGTCACGGAGTTTCTTAGCCAGGGGGAGTCGCGGCTGGGAGCCAGATGGGCCAGGACGAAGCAGAAGCAGAAGCGGAAACGGAGGCAGAGGCAGAGGCAGAAGCAGAAGCAGAAGCAGAAGAACATGGAGAGGGAAGAGAGTGTGGGTGGACGCACGGAGAAGAGTGGCTTCTGCAGCTTGTTGTGTGCGTACACAGTGGCGTTGGGGGGCGACTGGGACAGCAGCGCAAGCAAAGGCTCCTCCGCCATGTCGTCCTGGGAGGAGGGAGCAGAGCAGCGGCATTCCATCAGTACAAGAAACAGAAGCAGGTCTAGAGATTGGAAGGCAAACTTGATGTAGTATGATACGGCGGTGACTGAAAGATGTAGCAAAAGAAAAAGTGATAAACTTGCAGCCATGGTGGTTACCTGCAGCCGTGCACCATTGTCAAGGAGAACAAAAGGGATCCGCTCCCCTATCAGAAACCGACGGTCAGGATCACGCGCCTTCAGTCGAGCCGCCAGAGCCACATGTGGGCCCCGCCCCTCCTCAGCCGTTGCCGGTCCGCCCCCCTCCCTACCAGCGGGCCCCCCTGCTGCTGCTTCCGATCTTTGCTGAGGGGAGTCCATTCCTCTCTTGGCCGCATCTGCAGCAGCGGCTGAAGCCGTGGCTGACTTTGCGATGGCTGAGAGGTCGTTGTCGTTCACACGCCATAGGCCCTGGGGGAGACATGCCCAGGACAAGCCGCACAGCACCGCACCACACAGCACAGCACAGCACTATGAGTAACGGTGCTCTCTGGTATTACGACCACCATTGCCATCTGTGACATGGCCTTGCTGCCTTGATTCAAATGGCAATGGCATTTCCGCAGCATGGCAGCAAGGCAGCATGGCAGCAAAGCAGCACGGCAGCACACATACCCCAGTCATGACGAGTTCGAACATGCTACATCCGCCTGTCATCAACCGAACCACAGCCGCCCTCGCCTCCCTTGCAGCGCCCGCCACGTCACCATCCGCCAGGATGCGGCGAATCACATCGCGACACGTGGCGCGCACAAACAGCGGCACGTCTCTGCGGTCTGTCTCAATGCCCTTCACGAGCAGCAGCGGCGCAGAGCCTGGCGCTTCTGCTGGTCTAGATGCTGGTGGTGCTGCTGCTGCTGGTACTGGTACTGGTACTGGTACTGCCGCTGGTGGTGGTGCGGTGCTGCCTTTGGGCTGATGGGATGCAGTAGGTGGTGGAGGTGGTGGGGGTGGTGGGGGTGATGGGGGTGAGGGCAAAGGATAGACTTGTCTTCCTGCATAGCGATTGACCTGCAGGGGGCGGGAAAACGCAGGACAAGTGGAGGAGGTTGACAATGGGCGAGGTGATAGAGAAAGGGAGAAAGGAGAAGAGCAGGGGGGTTGGAGATAGGAGGCAGGGAGGTTACACATTGGGTTAGAAGAAAGAGGCCGAGAGGCCGAGAAGCAGAGACAGAGGAGCGCAGCACGAATACCTGCAGCAGCATGCACTCCCGGAAGGGGCAGAGCACTCCCTCAACCCTCACTGCTATCGGCGCTGGGAATGGCTTTTGAGTGGACTCAAGAATTTACCTGCAGCAGCATGAAGGGGCAGAGCACCCTCTCCAGCTTCATGGCTATCGGCGCGGGGAAGAGCTCCGAGAGGCGCAACGCCAGCTCAGCGCCCATATCTGCTGCCTCTGCCAGGGTGCGCTGAGGAAAGAGCACGAAGATGCTGTCCGTCTGGCCGTATATCACCCGGCACGCCCCGGGGAAGATCTGTGTGGCTGCTTCCTTGGCGTGCATGCACGCAGCTGCTCCCAGGCTGGAGAGGAGGGATGGAGAGGGAAGGGGGGAAGAGGGAGAGATGAACGCGGGCTGGGAGGAAAGCGGAGAGGGGACGATGTGGAGAAGTGTGGATTCGTAATCAGATTATGTAAGTTGTGAGGCACAGGGAGGACGGGGGGACGAAGGTGAGATGCCACAAGCCATTGTAGCAATGCCACCCACCTCTCACCCAGCCTTACCCCGCCTCACCCCAGGCACGAGTCAGCTACGGCCACGGTGCGCAGCGGCGAGGCATTCGACCCCGTGAACCCGTACAGCGCATTCGCGCACAGCTTCAGCGCGCGCTGCCGCCCGTCCAACGCCGCACGCTCCTGCGCACCCAGCAGCACCGTCGTGGCCGTTGCCATGGCTGCGCTGTGAGCATGGCGTGCGAGGCGGCGCTGCGTGTCCTTGCGCGCCGCGATGAGCGCAGCGCAGATGCGCGGGAGCACGCCACGGTGGAGGGACGCACGGGTGAACGCCGCTCCTGTGGGGCTAGTGGAGCGGAGAACAGTCGGGGAGGGATGCAGGGGAGAGAAGAGGGAGAGGGGAGAGGAGCCAGGGAGCAAAAAACCACCTCTTGGACACTGTAGAGAGAAATCGTATCCGTCAAGCGTGGGCAGTGAGGCTCACCTGACGAACACATGCTCCTCAGGCATGCAGTGCCAGTGCTATTGTAGCAGCAGCGTCGAGAATCACAGGTTGTACGCAAACCACAAAGTGGCTGACACTCTACCAAAAACCCCACCCGAGCTCTCTCCACACTGTCCCTCGCCCCCTCACCTAACAAACACGTGCTCCTGCGGCACGCGGTGGCGGTCCTCCGGGTGCAACAGGGACGAGCAGCACAGGTTGTACGCCACGAACAGCGACGGGTACAGCGACGCAAAGTCCAGCACTGCCACCGGTTCAGAGCGGTACAGACCGGCCGTGCGCGCGTCCTTGGGGTGCAGCAGGAAGGGGGACTGCGTGAGCTGGCCAGAGGGGTCAGCGCCGCCTAACAGCCAGCCGTGGGGGCCGGCAGTGCGGAGCAGCAGGCTGTGTACTCGCGCCATCTGGGCGCGGTAGAGCACGTCTGAGAGGAGCAGGCCGGTGACTCGCGCCATCTCGACTGTCTCGGTGATGGTTTGTTGAGACTGGAGCAGCAAGTGCACCACCTGATGGGGTGGAAGGAAGGAGGGGACGGGGTGGGGAAGGGGGAAGGGGAAATGCAGTGAGGAGAATGGAAAGGGGATGGAAAATGGGGTGGGTGGAGTGAATGAGCGAGATTACTGGAGTGGCTCATGACCCCCTGTCCCCCCATACCCCTGTGCGCCACTCCCCTGTCTGCCATTCCCATCACACCACATCACACCACATCACACCACATCACACCACATCACACCACATCACACCACATCACACCACATCACACCACATCACAACTTATCTCGCCCCACCTTGGCGTGCTCAGCAGCGTATCGAAGCAGCCGTGGCCGCCCTCCAATGAGGCCCTGCCACATGGCAGCGATAGAGGCGGGCGACAGCAGCTCCAGTGGCCGGTTCAGAAACACCTGGTGGGGGTGTGATCATGGGGGGGGGGGCAGTTAACACAGGGGCAGTGTGTATGGATGTGGAGGGAAGGGAAAGGAGAAAGGGACGGAACGAGGGAAGAGGGAGAAGGGTATTGGGGGTTAGGAGTTGCATGGGCTTGGCAAAGTACTGCATTGGCTCATTCATTCAGTTTCCAGTCCCTTCCCCCCCAACCTCCCCATCACCCCACCCTTCCCACCTTCCCCTTCCTCCCCCCTCCCCATCCGTCTCCTCTCTCGAAAGAGTGACACATGCTGACACTCACACATCCCCCACGAGCACGCACTGCATCGCACGGCACCCCTCTCATCCACATTCTCCCCCCCCAACCACCCCCCGGTCACCACACAGTGCGCACCTGGCAGCACTCGTGCAGGGAGAAGGTGGATAGCGTCTGCGACGTGAGGATGGAGCGCAGCAGGTCCAGCACGCACCGCCCCTCCACCAGCACCTGGAATGTCTCCTGGTTGGACGTGGCGGACATGCGCAGCTGCTGCCGCACCCACTGCTTCCCGTACGTCACCACGCCCTTCACCACCACGCCCCTCCCTGCCGTGCCCCTGCCAGCTTTCTTCTCGCCCGCTCCTCTCCCTCTGCCGTTGTTTGCCTGTGCCCATGTTCTCTCTGCGCTCTCTCCTTCTTGCCTGCCTGCTCCATCTGCGCATGCCCGTGCTGCTCGCCTTCCCTCCTCCCCCTCTCCCTCCTCCCCCTCCTTCTCCCCATCCTCCCCCTCCTCCGCCGCCCCTCTCCTCCCCACGTCCAGCTCTCCCATTCCCAGCGCTGCCCATCGCTTCTTTAAGGCTTGCCAGCTGTCACGAGCCTGATGGGGGCACGCCAAGCCATGCCACGCCACGCCACGCCATGCCACGCCATTCCACGCCATGCCACACCAAATAATTAAATCATGGCTAGGCACACATATAGCATGCCATCCCACAAAAATGACATGACAGCGAGCCACATGGCATACCATAACACGCCATGCCATGAGACGCCACCCGATCACATGCGGATTCAGTGTCACAGCGCCATCGGCGCAGAAGGGTCAGTAAGAAACAACACCGCACCCTCACTTCCTCGACCCACATGTCACACAGCACCACATGCCTCACATGCCTCACATGCCTCACATGTCTCACGTGCCTCACATGCCTCTCACCTGGAAGACGACCACCACGTCTGGGTCCAGCTCATGCACAAAGAACCGCCGCCACTGCTGCAGCATCTCCCTCTCGCTCGCAAACACCCGCTCCTCCTCCCTCCCCCCCAACCCCCCCCTCTCCCTGCCCTCTCTTCTTTCCCCCCCTCCCCCTTGGCCATTCCCTCCTGCTCACTCGTCTGCTCTCTCTGCTGCTCCCTGAGCAGTCCCCAGCCGTACATCTCACTCGTCATATACCCCACGCCCTTGTGCCCCTCCCTGCACCAGTCAGGCTCCGTGCCAGTAGCAGCAGCAGCAGCAGCAGAGCCACCAGCAGCAGTGGAGTGAGTGAAAATGATCACTCGATGCTCTGTTCCTGATCTCCTGCCATTCATCTGCCCTGAATTCCCTTCTCTACTCTCCCCTTCTTTTCTCTCCCCTCCACTTCCCCCTCCTCTCTTCTCTATTCCACCCCCTTCCGCCCCTCCTTCCACACCATCTGCTGCTCCTCTTGCTCCTCCTCCTCCTACATGCCTTGTGCCACTAACAATGTGCACTATAGCGAGGACAGGATCCCGGCTAGCCAGAGTGGTACCTCCCCCCAGCATGAGGCCCAGAGATTCCATGTCACCAGGGGGCGGAGCAGGGGGAGGAGCGGATGGGGGAGGGGAGCGATGGGGAGGCGGAAGAAGAGAGTTCGCAGGGGAAGATAGGCGGTGGGAATGGGGGAGAGGGGAATGGGCGGGATTAGTGGAGGCCAGGGCGGATTGGGAGGAGGAGGAGGGGGACGGGTGCACAGAGGCAGGCGAGTGGTGCATGGAGGCAGAAGGAGGGGCGGCGTGTGAAGGAGGGTCGGAGCGGACATGATTGGTGTCACCGCTGCTTCCATTCTGTTCCTTCCCCTCCCCTTGTCGCTGCCCAAACCACCAATGCACTGGTCGTTCCACCCTCTCTGCTTCTCTCCCTCCCCCGCTCGCTCCTGAAACTGGACTCATCCTCGCTCCCACACTTCCTCTCCCTCTCCCAGTTCCTCTCTCCCCCCTATCCGTCCCCTTCCCCTTCCCCTTCCCTCTACCCACACCTCGCTTTCCTCCCCTTTCCTTGCCCCCTCTTGCCGGTCTTCCCCTCCCTTCCCGTCCCACCAGACCTGCACCACCTCTCCCCCTGCCACTCTCACCACCGTCGCGCCTCCTCCACCATGCGTCACCACCTGCAGCTCGCACCCCTAGCTGCGACCCCTTGATAATGCTGCCACCCTCTGCCACCGGAACGGCGTCCTCTGCCTTTCTGCATGCCTCGCCTGGTCTGCTGCCCTCTGCCATCGTGCCAAACAAGCCACGCGCCGTGGCTGTCTTTTCCTGGTCCTCCTGCCCCTCCTCACTCGGCTCACTCACGGCACCTCCCTCCCCTACCTCTGCCTCTACCCCTGCAACCGTGGCACTCGCTTCCCTCAACTGCCCTGCTCCCTCCTCCCCCTCTCCACCTCGCTCCCTTGTCACCCTCTCACCACCCATGCCTATCCATTCATCCGCCAAATCCCTTCCCCGTTTCGACTGCCTCCCTCCACCTCTCCCCAACCCGTTCCCTGCACCACCAAACCTCCCCATTCCTCCCCCTCTACCATTCCCCCCCTCCGCCCGCCCTTTCCTCCCCATGCCGCCCCGCCGCTCACCCTCCCTCCAGCACCGCACACTACGTGCATGCAGACCACGACCATGGGTGCAAGTTGCAGCACAGATTCCTCCACCTTTTGAGGGGGCTCAAGGGGAGCCATCTGCAACACAGACCCCTCCACCACCCCAACCCCCCTGTCCACCCCTCTGGTTCCCATAACCTCACTCGTACCGGCTTCCATGCCAGGCTTTGCCTTCCTGCCTGCGGGCTCAGGCTCGGACTCTGCATTATTGTAGCGTGATTCAGATGATTCCATCCTGGGTTCTGTTCCAGGACTAGGACCTATGCTGCTGACGCCGACACTGTGCTTACTTCCTTGGGTAACTGCTGCTGGTGCTGCTGCTTCTGGTACAGCTGGTACTGCGGGTCCTGCCAGTGCTGGTGGTGTTGCTGCTTCTACTGCTGTTGCTGCTGCTGTTGCTGCTGGTGCTGGTGCTGGTGCTGCTTCTGCTTCGGGTGCCGCCGTTGCTGCTGTTGCCGGTGGTGCCGCTGCTGCTGCTGTTGCTGCTGGTGCTGGTGCTGGTGCTGGTGCTGGTGCTGGTGCTGGTGCTGTTGGTCCTGCGACTCCCTGTGTGGCATCCGGGCTGCCATGGGTGGAGAGGACGTCAGGAGAGAGGGACTGCAGGGAGCGCCACGAGGAGACGCACTCAAGCACACAGCGGGATATACGCCGCAGGGACGAAGGGACCAGGAGAGGAGGTGGTGCTGCAGTAGTGGGTGCAGAGCCGCGTGTGGTACCGCTAGTTGTAATGCGGTGCTGTGCGGTGCCCGCGGCTGCCATGTCCGCACCACACAGTGTGCAGTGGTTGTTAGGCAGCGTGGCGTTGCTGGCAGGCAGATGGCATGCTGACACGTTGGGTGTCAGGGTAGGCGGTGGTGCATGGGCTGAACGGGCAGATGCTGCTGCAGCAGAGAGGGAGCGCGGCAGCATGCAAGGCGCGTGCAGCACACACCATGCACCGCCCGCTAGAGAAGTCTCGGCGAGGAAACGCATGGGCAGCTGGGAGAGGGGAGATACGAAGACAGGGGAGACGACAGGGGGTGAGCACACAGAGAAGGCGACAGGGGGGGGGAGACGGGGAAAGGGGAGGGGAGAGAAGGGTGGTCCACAGAAGGAACACAGTAAGGGAGTCACCAAACACTGTATGGTATGCGGGTCATGGGCAACAGTGCCTCAGTGCACCATGAACTATGCAAGGGGCACAAACAAGAGACCAGGGACCAGGGACCAACCTAACCTACCCGTCCCATGCTAGAAGGCAACACCAAGAGGAAACTGTTTGTGCTGCCAAGCCTCCCTCACTCATCATGTTTTTACTTACCACCTCCCACTCTCACCTTGATGTTGTCCTCCAATGGCGCACTGCCACGTGGCCACTGCTGGCCCTCAGAGGCCATGAGGCCCTTCTCCGCAGCCTCCGCCAATGCCTTTGCGACAGCTGGCATGGCACGTGCATGGTACACAAACACCTGGCATGTAACCGTTATGGTGGTTGGGGTGGGACAGGGGGCCGAGCGATATGATGCATGGGACATGAGGGCAGGAGACATCAGGGAGACGCGAGGGCATGGGATACGCGGGCAGGAGACATGAGGGCATGGGATATGGGAGCGCATTGGATATGGGGGCACGGATTTCGGGGATAGGAGAATAGGGATGCGGGGAGATGGATATGGGAAAAGGGATAGGAACATGGGGGTTGGGGATATGGAGGATACGGATAGGCGACCGTTGCAGCCATGGCTGCCACGTGTGTGGCATGGCGTGGCGGTGGCATTTCACCCCACCTTAAGATAGCACGAGGGGCCGTCAGGGCGGTAGTAGACAATGGGCGTGCGGTGCTCCATGGCAATGTGCGCCACCTGGGGGGAGCATCAGTAGGAGCATTGGAGAACAGGAGAACAGGAGACTTGGAGACCTGGGCCCTGGGACATTGGAGAAAACAGGGTTGTGAGACACAGAGCATTGGAACAGGTAGTGGGTGACAGTACTGGCTAATGGTAGTGGTTATGGCAGAGGTTGGTTACATGCTAATGCTAGGGAGGACGCGGCACTCACCGATTCACCGTTCATTCGGTTCTGACCCTTGCTCCTTCCTCTGCCAGCTGTGCTCAGTACGTATCCATTCACCCATCGCTTCACCCGCTCACACACCTCCCTCACACGCTCTCCCTCGTCACCACACAATCCCTCCCCCTCACCGCCCTCTCCCCTCTCCTTGCCACCCTTCCCTCCATCCCCTCCTCCCCCTCCTCTCACCCCTGGCCCCTCCTGCTGCTCTATGTCTCCCAAACCCTCAGCCCCCACCAACAACTGTGCCTGGCACGCCTCACTGCCTGAACCCAAACCCAAGCCTGTGCCTGTGCCTGTGCCTGTGCCTGTGCCTGTGTCTGTGCCAACTGCGCTCGTCCCTCCAGCCTCCGCACTCTCTTGCACTGCTTCGTCAGCAGCATAATCACCTTCGCTGGTATCACTGCCCCCCTCACCACCATACTCCTCCTCATCTCCGTCATCAGCGCCAAGAGCATCATCGATCTCGCCACTCTCCTCCTCACTCTCTCCCCCTAACCCTGCAACAGCTGGACCACTGGCATCACCGTGCCTGAATTCGCCCACAGCATTGCTGCTGCCGCCTTTGCCAGAGATAGGAGCAGCAGGAGCAGCAGGAGCAGCAGCAGGAGCAGCAGCAGCAGAACTGCCACCACCGGGGCTGAAAGCCTGAGCAGCAGAAGAGGCGGTTTCTGTGGGAGTTTCAGCAGCTGCGGGAGGTGGGTTATCTGTGACTGTGCCTGTGACATGGGTGGATGCTGGCTGCGGTTGTGGCACGGAGGGGTATGGGAACCAGAAGAAAGGGAGGAAGTCTGCAGCGTTGAGGGGCAAGGGAGGAGCAGGGGGGAGAAACAGGAGAAGGTCAGATGAAAGGATCAGTGCGTTTCACAGAAGTAAGAAATGCAAGGCAGTGCGTGTGAGTCACATGCACGCCATTCGTTCACACCACAACTGCTTGAGCTACCGCACCAAGCCAACTGTTGCGGGCGCTCGAAGAGAGCAGCTTGCAGGGAGGACATGCAGGGGAGGAGGTGCAGGGGAGGAGGTGCAGGGGAGGAGGTGCAGGGGAGGAGGTGCAGGGGAGGAGGTGGTGGGGGAGAAAGTGGCGGGGGAGGAAGTGGCGGGGGAGGAAGTGCTGGGGGAGGAAGCAGCTGCCCAAGGCCTTCTGCCCAAGGCTCGCCGCCCGAAGGATGCCCCCCGAGGCATGCCGCCTGAGGTTTGCTGCCCAAGGCTTGCTGCACAAGGGATGCTGCCCAAGGCATGCTGACCAAGGCATGCCACCCGAGGGATGCCGCCCAAGAAATGCCACCCAAGGGTTGCAGCCCGAGGCATGGTGCCGAAGGCATGGTGCCCAAGGCTTGCTGCCCCAGGCTCGGGCATGCCGCCCGAGGGATGCCGCCCGAGAAATGCCGCCCAAGGGATTCCGCTCGAGGGATGCCGCCCGAGGGATGCCGCCCGAGGCATGCCGCCCGGGGATGCCGCCAGGGGGATACAGCCCGAGGGATGCCGCCCGAGGCATGCCGCCCGAGGGATGCTGCCCGAGGGATGCCACCCAAGGCATGCCGCCCGAGGCATGCCGCCCGAGGCATGCCGCCCGAGGGATTGCGCCCGAGGATTGCCACCCGAGGGTTGCGGCCTGAGGCATGCTGCCCAAGGCATTCTGCCCAAGGCATGCTGTCCCAGGCTCGGGCATGCCGCTCGAGGCATGCCGCCCGGGGGATGCCGTCCGCGGCATGCCGCCCGAGGCATGCCGGCAAAGGGATGCCGCCCGAGGCATGCCGCCCGAGGGTTGCCGTCCGAGGGATGCCGCCCGAGGGGTGCCGCCTGACGGATGGCGCCCGGGGGATGCCGCCTGGGGTATGCCGCCGAGGGAATGCCGCCCGGGGGGATGCTGCCCGAGGGTTGCCGCCCGAGGGATGCTGCCCGAGGGATACGCCCAAGGGATGCCACCCGAGGGTTGCCGCCCAAGGGTTGCCGTCCGAGGGATGCCGCCCGAGCCATGCCGCCCAAGGTTTGCCGCCCAAGGGTTGCTGCCCAAGGCATGGTGCCCAAGGCATGCCGCCCGAGGGATGCCGCCCGAGGGGTTGCCGTTCGAGGGATGCTGCCCAAGGGATGCCGCCCGAGGGATGCCGCCCGGGGGATACCGCCCGAGGGATGCCGCCCGGGGTATGCCGCCCAGGGGATGCCGCCCGGGGGATGCCACCCGAGGGATGCCGCCCGAGGTATGCCGTCCGAGGGATGCCGCCCGAGGATTGCCGCCCGAGGCATGCTGCCCGAGGGATGTCGCCCGAGGGATGCCGCCCGAGGGATGCCGCCCAAGGCATGCTGCCCGAGGGATGTCACCTGAGGGATGCAGCCCAAGGGGTGCCGCCTGAGGGGTTGCCGTTCGAGGGATGCCGCTCCGGGGATGCCGCCCAAGGGATCCCACCCGAGGGATGCTGCCCGAGGTATGCCGCCCGAGGGATGCCGCCCGGGGTATGCCGCCCGGGGGATGCCGCCCGGGAGATGCCACCCAAGGGATGCCGCCCGAGGGATGCCGCCCGAAGGATGCTGCCCGAGGGATGCCGCCGGAGGGATGTCGCCCGGGCGATGCCGCCCGGGGGATGCCACCCGAGGGATGCCGCCCGAGGGATGCTGCCCGAGGGATGCCGCCCGAGGGATGTTGCCCGAGGCATGCCGCCCGAGGGATGTTGCCCGAGGGATGCCGCCCGAGGGGTTGCCGTTCGAGGGATCCTGCCTGAGGGATGCCGCCTGGGGGATCCCGCGCAAGGGATTCCGCCGGAGTGATGCCGCCCGGGGTATGCCACCCGGGGTATGCCGCCGGGGGTATGCCGCCCGGGGTATGCCGCTCGGGGGATGCTGCCCGGGGGATCCCACCTGAGGGATGCCGCCCGAGGTATGCCGCCCGAGGGATGCCACCTGAGGGATGCCGCCCGAGGCATGCCGCCCGAGTGATGCCGCTCGAAGGATGCCCCCGCGGGATGCCGCCCGAGGGATGCCGCCCTAGTGATGCCACCCGAGGCATACCGCCCGAGGCATGTCGCCCGAGGCATGCGCCCGAGTGATGCCGCCCAAGGGTTGCTGCTCGAGGCTTGCTTCCCAAGGCATGCTACCCCAGGCTCACTCATCCTGGGGATGCCGCCCAAGGGATGCCGCCTGAGGGATGCTGCCAGAGGGATGCCGCCCGAGGGATGCGGCCCGAGGGATGCCACCAGAGGGATGCCGCCTGAGGGATGCTGCCCGAGGTATGCCGCCCGAGGGATGCCGCCCAAGAGATGCTGCCCGAGAGATGCCTGAGGGTTGCTGTCCGAGGGTTGCCGCCCGAGGGATGCTGCCTGAGGGTTGCTGTCCGAGGGTTGCCGTCCGAGGGATGCCGCCCGAGGCATGCCGCCTGAGAGATGCCCCCCGAGGGATGCTGCCCGAGGGATGCAGCCTGAGGGTTGTCGCCCGACGGTTGCCATTCAATGGGTGCCGCCTAAGGGATGCCGCCCGGGGGATGCTGCCGGGGGGATGCCGCCCAGGGGATGCCACCCGAGGGATGCCGCGCGAGGGATGCCGCCCGAGGGATGCTGCCCGAGGGATGCCGCCCGAGGGATGCCGCCCGGGGTGTGCTGCCCGGGCGATGCCGCCCGAAGGATGCCACATGAGGGATGCCGCCCGAGGTATGCCGCCCGAGGTGTGCTGCCCGAGGGATGCCGCCCAAGGGTTGCCGCCCGGGGTATGCCACCTGAGGGATGCCGCCCAAGGGATGCCATCCGGGGGATGCCGCTCAAGGGATGCCGCCCGGGGGATGCCACACGAGGGATACCGCTCGAGGGATGCCACCCGAGGGATGCCGCCCGAGGGATGTCACCCAAGGGATGCCGCCCGAGGGATGCCGTCCAAGGGTGCCGCCTGAGGCATGCCACCCAAGGGATGCCGCCGGATGGATGCCACCCGGAGGATGCCGCCCAGGGTATGCCGCCCGGGGGATGCCGCCCGGGGGATGCCACCCAAGGGATGCCGCTCGAGGGATGCCGCCCGAGGGATGCCACCCGAGGGATGCCGCTGGGGGGATGCTGCCCCGGGTATGCCGCCCAGGGGATGCTGCCCAAGGGATGCCGCCTGAGGGATGCCGCCCGAGGGATGCCGCCCGAGGGATGCCACCCGAGGGATGCCGCACGAGGTATGCCGCCCGAGGGATGCCGCCCAAGGCATGCCGCCCGAGAGGTGCCGCCTGAGGGATGCCGCCCCAGGGATGCAGCCCGAGGGTTGTCGCCCGACAGTTGCCATTCGAGGGAAGCCGCCTAAGGGATACCGCCCGGGGGATGCTGCCCAGGGGATGCCGCCCAAGGGATGCCGTCCGGGGTATGCCGCCCGGGGGATGCCACCCGAGGGATGCCGCCCGATGGATGGTGCCCGAGGGATGCCGCCCGAGGCATGCTGCCCAAGGGATGTCACCCGAGGGATGCCGCCCGAGGGATGCTGCCCAAGGCTTGCTGCCTAAGGCATGCCGCATGTCGCCTGAGGGATGCCGCCCAGGGCGTTCCGCCCGGGGGATGCCGCCCGAGGGATGCCGCCCGAGGGATGCCGTTCGAGGGATGCCGCCCTGGAGATGCCGCCCGAGGGATGCCGCCCTAGGGATGCCGCCCGGGGGATGCCGCCCGAGGGATGCTGCCCAAGGCTTGCTGCCTAAGGCATGGTGCCGAAGGCTTGCTGCCTAAGGCATGGTGCCGAAGGCTGCTGCCCCAGGCATGCCACATGCCGCCCGTGGGATGCCGCCCAGGGCATTCCGCCCGAGGGATGCTGCCCGAGGGATGCCGCCCGAGGGCGTGCTGTGTGTGACCTACCAGGGACGCGGCAGCACACGGAGGCACCGTCATGGGCCACACCATAGAGCACAACCTGCACGGCAGGCGCAGGGCGGTTGGGGGGTGCAGGCAGCAGGTGGGAGAGGGCGGGCGGGGGAAGCATGGGAGGGGATGGAAGATGAGGGAAGGCGCACTGTGCTGGAGGGGAGAGCTGACTTTTGAGTCGACTCAACGACGCACTGGGCTGGGAGGGGAGAGCGAGGAGGAGGAGGCATGGATGAGAACCAATGTTTGAAATCTCAGAGAGGAGGCAATTGGAATTGCTGGGTTTCAAATCGCAGCGCAACGCACAGCATGGATGAGGTTCTTTTTTTGCTGTTTCTCTCAACGCCTAGAGTGTGAATCAGTGGGCGGTGGTGGTGGTACCTCGTTGGGCGTGCGGGCGCGGTCAGCGTCTTCAACCACCATGTCCAGCACCATCATTCGCACACACGCCGCTGCCCCTGCCGCTGCTGCCGCTGCCGCTGCCGCTGTTGTGGGTGCAGCAGCACCACCCATGGGGGTGGTCATCGTGAATTATGGTGAACGAGAGGGCCCGCGCCCACCACCAAACGGACCACGCCAGCAACACCTGTTGCGAGAGCCCGCGCGCGCCTTAGCGGTCAGCCAGCAGCGGCTTCCAAGCCGGGCACGGGCGCCTTCACCGTGCGAGTCGGATCGGAACCGTGCTGAGCAGAATTCCCCGCACTGAGGAGGAGGAGGAGAAGGAGAAGAATGCGCGGATCGCCTCGTCAACCGCGCCCACCGCCCCTCGCACTAACCGCCTTGCCGCGCCTTCCTGCTGGCCGTTGCCCGCTCGCCGCCGCTACGGCACCCAACCATGATGCGACCTTGTCCGGTGCTGCGTTCTCGCCGCCACGCGTCGTCGACAAACCGAGCGCGGTTCTAGTTACCAGCGCGCATGCCGGCGGAGCTGCGCGCCGGCCGTCAGCGGATATAAATTCTCGGCGTGGCGTGGTTAGAAGCGCGCGAAATGTGCAGATGAGAGAGAGGCAGCGCTTTCGGCGCATACTAGCCGCCATACCCCCCGAATTTGCAGTGACGGCGTGTACGACCAATGTATGCAATCCAGCTGCCATGCGGTGCCATGAGGCATGCAGGGACGGAAAGATTTTGCACGGACTCGGTATTAGATGGCTCCTCTACTACATAACGGGTGCTATTAACGATTGATGTAAAACCTTTGATGCCAGGTGCAATAAAAGGTACAGCACTACATGATATATTTACAAGCATTCTTATCAATTAATCCACATCCATTGACTTACATCTAGAGAAGCAAGCTCACAAGCCTACTTCTGGTTTTGATGCCACCGCTTGTGCTGCAGAATCTGCGGCGGAGTGAAGAGAAACGTCTTGCCACCGCACTCACTGCACTCATACTGCCTCCGACCCACGGCTGACTTCCCACCCACACCATCGCCGTCGCCAACTGCTGCCACCGGCACGTCAACTTCACCCCCTCCACCACTCCCCTCCACACTCTCCACCACTCCCCGCATCCTGCCACCAGCTTCGAGCGTTTCAAAATTGGGTCCAGCGCCTTGAAGGAAGCCCTGGGAAAGAGAGGCGGCGGAAGGCTGATGCAGCTGCTGGGGTTGACGGGGCAGGTTGCCGCACGCTCGCAAGTGGTCCACAGTTTCAGGCAGCGTGAGGATGAGCTTGGAGGAGCAGAGGGGGCACTGCCAGTGGCTGCGCATGTGCAGCGACGCCTGCGTGGCCATGCTTGACTCGTGTGAGGGCAGCGAGCCGAGGCGCAGGAATGGCGTCACGAGGACACCCCCCTTGATGATCGGCTGGCCGCTGGCAGGTGGGAGCAGGACAAACAGGAATGCGAGGGGGAGGATCCGGGAGCGGGTGGAGGGGGTGGGAGGGTGGGCAGGTGGGTGAGGAATGCACATGGTATATTTTGAGGTTCTTTGTGGTTACGTGGGAAGAGGGAGTATGGGATGATGATAACCAGTGAAACGGCAAAACGGACACGACAGCCGTGGCAGAGATGAGGCAGAGGGAGTGTGTATGGGTATGTATAAGTCATGGAACTCCTGGACGCCCACCTCTTAGACGCCTCTGCTGCCAGCAGAGCAGCCTCAGCCTCCTCCACAAGTGCGGCTGCCGTTGCCACCGCTGCACTCCCTGCATTCCCTGCACCCCCTGCCACTGCTTGCTCACCACTGCCCTGTTGAGCTTCACCGAACACACCAGGCGTGCCAGCTGGTGTTCCAAGATGTGTGCCTGTGTGCGTGGCTGTGTGTGTGCCTGTGTGCGTGCCTGTGTGTGTGCCTGTGTGCGTGCCTGTGTGTGTGCCTGTGTGTGTGCCTGTGTGTGTGCCTGTGTGTGTGCCTGTGTGTGTGCCTGTGTGTGTGCCTGTGTGTGTGCCTGTGTGTGTGCCTGTGTGTGTGCCTGTGTGTGTGCCTGTGTGTGTGCCCCCCGGTGCTGCTGACACGACTGCCTGGGAGAGCAGGGCCGCAGCAGCCATGGGGGTCAGCTGGCGGCAGGAGAAGGTCACAGGGGACTGCAGGAAGGTGGCAATGCGATCTGTATCGGGGAGATTGGAGGACGGGGAATGGAGGATGAGTTAGGGATGGCAAGGGAAGGTAACCGAAATATTATAGGCCCGCTCCCTAGTCCCTTTCACCTTCTCCCTCCCCTCCTCCCTCCCCTCCCTCCCCTCCCTCCCCTCCCTCCCCTCCCTCCCCCCACCCGCTGCTTCTATCCCCCTCTCAATCCCCTTCTCCCCCTCTCCTCCACTCCCACCCTTCGTCCCCATGTCCAACCCACCATACCTGCGAGCTCCTTCACCTGCTCATCCGCATCTCCCTGCTCCTCCTCCTTTCCCTCGCCCTCCTCCCCCTGGCCCTCACAGCCGGCGCACCACTCACACAGCGCCTGGGCGAACTCCCGCACATCACCACCCAGAGCAGTCTGGCTCAACCCTGCAGGCCCCAACCACCGCACCCGCCCCCCTCCTCCAGTGCTGGATTCGTGTTCTGTGCAGCTGGGCATGTGTGACTGCTGCTGCTTCTGTGGCACGGTGTGTGGGTTCAAGGCTGAGAGGCGCTGGTGAAGGAGAGAGGAGATGTCCTGACGAATGGCAACTGCCGTCTGCAGAATAGTTGTACACACTCGCATGTATGCAGGCATGCACACATACATGCACACGTGCGTGCAGACAACCATACACGGCCAGACACACAAAGAGACAGGCCGAGGTGCGAACACAGTGAGTTGTGACGCCCTGAGGCACACCAGCAGGCAGCATCAAAGCTCCAGGTGACACACACACACACACACACACCCCTCTCTGCCCTCCATTCCATCCATCCCTCGTAACCAACACCCGTTCCTCGCTCACAGAAGAGCGAAATGCGCTCACGAAAGCAGCCCGTGCTTCAAGACATCGCACAACCGCACCCTTGCTCACCACAAGCAGTGTGCGGGCATCCTCCATGGAGATTGGTGCAAGGCGCACGAGCAGCCAGTCGTCAAAGAGCAGGCGGGAGCAGTCAGGCGAGGCGTCGATGGACAGGCATGTCAGCAGCAGTGCTGGCAGCGATGGGACACGCATCTGATGGCATGCACACAGGAACACATGCACGCATGGACGCATGGATGCATGAAGGCATGGACGCATGGACGCATGGATGCATGAAGGCATGGACGCATGGACGCATGGACGCATGGACGCGTGGATGCATGAAGGCATGGACGCATGGACGCGTGGATGCATGAAGGCATGGACGCATGGATGCATGGATGCATGTATGGCATGGGAGAAAGCACATGCACGCACACGATCAGCACAGAGGAGCGTTCAGAAACAGGCAGAATTGTGACGACGCACAAGTTGGAGACAGTGGAGCGGGAGAGCACACCTGAGGGCACGCACATGCGATGCTGGCAGCAAAATAAGTTTTCGAGAGCAGGCAGTACTGACCAGATTGGAGAGGTACAACTTGGTGGTCTCCAACAACGTGCCATACACTAGGAGCTCGCTCTGATGATGGGGCAAGGTGGGGTGAATGGTATGGGATGTGTGGGGGGCAGAACACAAAGGCGACACAAGACCATGGAAGACAAACGAGAATGGAGATATAATCTAGCAATAAGGCCTCTGCGATTGAAGCACCACAAGAGCCACTGGCAGCAAACAGTGCGTGAATACTAGCAGGATGTACAGTAGCAGCATGAGCATACGGCAGTGAAGGGAGCATCAGAGCTGCACGGGGTGCTGCAGGGGTGGATGATCCTACGGCATTGATGGCAGCATGAGCCTACCGCAGTGACGGGAGCATCAGCGCCGCACAGGCTGCTGCAGGGGTGGATGCACGCGCTGCTGACATGCCTCGTGTGGAAGAACTGGTCGCTCTCCCGCCGCATGCCGTTGTGAGCATCCGCGATCGCCAGGTTCGGATACAGAGCCGAGCCTGGAGGGATGAAGATACAGGCAGCAGTGTAGGAATGGGAGCTTGGCTCGAGCGATGCAGACCATACGTGTTACAAGCGCTTTCAGGGGGCAGAAAGGGGAAGGGGGAGGGGGCAGTGTGGGAGGGAGGGATAATGAGGAAAGCTATGCTGTGCCGCTAACGAAGGGCCTTACACACAATGAACTTGATGAGGTGAATGTCGCCACGTGTCAGCTCCCTATTGGCCAGCGATGCCACATGGTCCATGTCCACAGCCAGCTTCAGCTCCAGCCCTTCCAGGTCGTCCTCCTCCATGCCCCCATACCCCTCCTCCACGCACTCTTCCTGCCGCCTCCCCCCCTCACCACCCCCTGCAGTCTCCCCACCAATCCTCAAACCCTCCTGCTGCTCCTCCCCCTCCCTTCCACTCCCTCCCCCTTCGTCATCGTCGTCCTCCTCGTCGCTGTTTGCCCCCAGCCGCAGCTGCTTCTGCCCCCTCTCCCTCTCCTGTCGCAGGCGCTGCACGAGCAACACGCAGGTGCGGGGAAGAGTCGGACTGTGATCCCTGAACGTGACGACATGTCAAGGCAATCATGTGTGACTCAAAAGTGCCTGCGTGGTTACCAACCCGTCATGCTTCAACCTGCCAAGCAACGCACCTGAACGTGCATCAGCTGTTGCCGCCGCTCGTCCCAAGCCCATCTGCTCTGCCTTCCTCCCCTCCTCTCGTCCCTCCGCCCCCCCTCGCCCCCCTCACTCCCCTCTCCATCCCACCTGCTGCGCTTCCTCCCCTGCTGCTCCTGCTGCCGCCTCTGTGCTGCTCCAGCAGAGGGACGAATGGGAGGAGAGAAGGGGTTCAGCACGGCACGAGTGCATCGTTAACAGGAGTGAATGGGCATGTGGTCGCCGTAAAGGTACGCACAAGCTGCACACAGCCTCCTCCGAGGGATCAGATCAAATCAGATCAGATCAGATCAGGCCAGACCAGACTACATCAACATGCTCTCTCTCATCTTGGCCCATGCTCTCATCGCACCTCTCGGGTGCAGCAGGCGAGTGGAGAGCAGGATGTGGGAGAACTGCCGGTGCAGCTTCGCCATCTCCATCAGCCGCTGGGGCTCCACCCCATGCCGCTTGCACCACCTGGCAGGGTGAGAGATGCGAGATGCAGGGAATTGAGGGAGGGGATTGGGGACAGGGAGAGGAGAGTGGGTGGGATGAGAGGCATGGGTGGTGGGGAAAGAATGGAGCGAGCAAGAAATCATTGCAAGTGTGATCCTGTGTACATCCACCAGAGCACATCCATGTCCGCACCACCACACCGCATCATTACCCTCTCCTCTGGCCACACTCACATCCATGCATCCGTTCTTCCCCTACCTGCGTGCCGCTCTGCTTGACTCCTGCTGCACCTTGCTCCACTCCCCAAACACCGCCATCAGCGTGAACGGATCCCCGTCAGCGCTGCTGAGCTGGCGCTGAGCTGTGCGGATCTTATCCCCCTGCTCGGTCTCGGGCAGGCGGACGAAGGGCGAGGGCACTGCCAGGGCTGCTGCGAGGAGAGCAATGAGCGGCGCGATGGGCGGGAAGAGAGAGCCAAGCACCTGGTGGCGCAAGGGGGGGCGGGGGAGGACATTTGGGAGGGAAGGGGAGTTGGGAGGGGCAGAACAGAGCGGAGATAGATTCAGAATGCACAGGACAGTGAAACGGGCTGGAAGCGGTCGATCAGTGGAAGCAGCCAGTGGCAGGGTCGGTGATGCGGTGAGAGGGCAAGGAATGGCATGAGATAAGACAGCCAACCAGCCAGCCAGCCAGACAAACAAAGAAACCAACAGACCAGCATCTTGCCGAGTGGAATGTCCACAGGCAGCCCCGCCAGCACACGACCCAGAGGCGTCACCATCAGCCCATCACCACTGCCCGCAGCACTTCCCCCTCGCCCTCCCGCTCCCTCCCCTCCTTCCCCAACCTTCCAGCCACCTCCCCCATCCCCTTGCTGCGCCCCTGTGGTCAGAGTCCCTTGTGGGGAGAGAGCTCCGTGGTGAGTGAGAGCCAGCACGGCCCGATGCAGGGAGGACAGGGACGGTGGGTCGAGGAAGCCAAAGTGCGAGAGGGGGCAGGCTGGACACAGCATCTGTGGGGCGGGCGGACATGAGGAGGGACCGAGGGAGAATGGGGGGTGGAAGGCGTGCAATTGGGTGAAGAGAGGATGTGGGCTGAGAGCAAGGCTAATTGGGGGGAAGAGGGGGGGAAGAGGGGGGGAAGAGGGGGGGAAGAGGGGGGAAGAGGGGGGGAAGAGGGGGGAAGAGGGGGGAAGAGGGGGGAAGAGGGGGGGAAGAGGGGGGAAGAGGGGGGAAAGAGGGGGGAAGAGGGGGGGAAGAGGGGGGGAAAGGAAAAACGAAAGTAGAGATGGGGAGTGGCGAGGGTAGAAAGGGAAAGACGAGCATACCACGCATACCGAACATACCAAGCATACTGAGCATACCGAGCATAACAAGCATACCGAGCATAACAAGCATACCAACCATAACAAGCATACCAACCATAACAAGCATACCGACCATAATTAGCATAGTGAGCATAACCAGCATACCGAGCATACCGAGCATAACAAGCATACCGAGCATAACAAGCATATGTATACCAAGCATACCAACCAAGCATACCGAGCATACCCAGCATACCCAGCATACCAAGCATACTGAGCATACTATGCTGAGCATACCAAGTCTACCAGGCATACCAAGCATACCAAGCAGAAAGTGAAGGCGCGGAGGGAAGGCGAGGAGAGAAGGCGCACCTTCATCTGCAGCACAACGGACTCTAGCGGCACGCGGAGGATCTCTGGAATGGAGAAGTGCCGGAACTGCCAACACACAGCGCACCAAACATGCCGGGAGAACGCACGATAGCATGGCTGGGAAAGGGTGCGCATTGGCGTGGTTGATTAGAGGGCTATCGGAAGCAGAGCAGGGACGATTGGCTGGGTGTGAAGGAACAATGAGCTGCTTTCAGACGGGTTCCTGGCAGGTACGCTCTTGACAACATGTGCTGCGATTGGGAGAACGTTCCAGAACAAGAGCTCGTGTGGTTCTGTTCGCAGGGACAGACAAACGCCTGGCAGGTTTTCTCAAGCCATGGGGCACCAATGTGCAGGCATGAGCAATCACGAGCAATCATGAGCAACCATGAGCAATCCTGAGCAACCATGAGCAATCATGAGCAATCATGAGCAATCATGAGAAGGCATAAGCAAGCAAGGCAGGCCTTTTGTGGCTTGAGTGCTCACCGTGTCAAACTGTCCTCTGGAGTAGAGTCGGAAGCAGTGCCCAGGCCCAGTTCGTCCTGCCCTGCCGGCTCTCTGCGCTGCTGATGCCTTGACAGGGAAAGGGGATGTGGAGAGAACGCAGAGATGTGGAGAGGGGAAGGTATGGGACACGACAGTCAATCCCCCCCTTGACAGTCAATAACCACCCTTGACAGTAGACATGGGCATGAGCCGAGCCTGGCTCGGCTCGGCTCGTTTTGGGGTCGAGTCGAGCCGGCTCCCTGCCGAGCCGGCTCGGCTCGCCACGAGCCGGGACCCCGAGAAGCCCGGCTCGGCTCGCCCCAATGTTGGCGAGCCTGCTCGGCTTGGCTCCCCTTGCTGTTTTTTAGGGGTTAGTGGGTTTTTGGGACACCTGTTTGAGGCCGCCAAGCCCTACCTAAATCCTAACCTAGACTAGGTAATGCTTTAAAACTGGCTAAGGCGCTCGCTAGGTACGAATGATGTAGTTGCTGGCTAGGGCTAGTGTGATTGGGGTGAGGATGGCGTGGTAGTAGTTTGTGAGGAGAGTGTTTTGTCAATCTACAAACTGTACCTTCGCCAATCCCCCCGAATCCCCCAAAACCCCCCCAAATCCAGAGGCACGAGCCACTTGGCTCGAAATCGAGCCGGGGGCGAGCCGGCTCGTCCCGGCTCGCCGTCAAGAACGGCAACGAGCCGAGCCGAGCCAGCTGGCTCGACCGAGCCGAGCCGGCTCAGCTCGCCAGGAGCCGGGTACAAAAAAAAGAGGCTCGGCTCGCCACAAGTGCGAGCCGAGCCGAGTCGAGCCGGGTGTGGCTCGGCTTGTGCCCACGTCTACTTGACAGTCAATCCCCCCCTTGACAGTCAATCCCCCCCCTTGAGAGTCAATCCCCCCCTTGACAGTCAATAACCGCCCTTGACACTCAATCCCCCGCTTGACAGTCAAACCCCCCCTTGACACTCAATCCCCCCCTTGACAGTCAATCCCCCCCTTGACAGTCAATCCCCCCCTTAGACAGTCAATAACCTCCCTCGACAGTCAATAACCGCCCTTGACAGTCAATCCCCCCCTTGGCAGTCAATCCCCCTCTTGACAGTCAATAACCTCCCTTGACAGTCAATAACCGCGCTTGACCGTCAATAACCGCCCTTGACAGTCAATCCCCCCCTTGACAGTCAATCCCCCCCTTGACAGTCAATAACCGCCCTTGACAGTCAATTACCGCCCTTGACAGTCATTAACCGCCCTTGACAGTCAATTCCCCCCTTGACAGTCAATCCCCCCCCTGACAGTCCACCCCCACCTTGACAGTCAATCCCCCACCTTGACAGTCAATCCCCCACCTTGACAGTCAATCCCCCACCTTGACAGTCAATCCCCCACCTTGAGACAGTCAATCCCCCACCTTGACAGTCAATCCCCCACCTTGACAGTCAATCCTCCCCTTGACGGTCAATCCCCCACCTTGACAGTCAATCCCCCACCTTGACGGTCAATCCCCCCTTGACAGCCAATCCGCCCTTGAAAGTCAATCCCGGCGAGCGCTGTGTGGTGCGTGAAGAACCCTCACCCACGTGGCTGATCCATCGTTACCCACCGCTACCAACCAACCCCACAACCCCACCCCACCTGGCTGACCCACTGCTCCTGCAGCGAGCTGCCTCCAATCTCAGCGAGCTGCCCTGTGGTCAGTCACGAGCCCTCACCCAAGTGGCTGCTCCATCGTTACCCACCGCTACCAACCAACCCAACCACCCACCTCCACCACCCACCCCCACCTGGCTGACCCACTGCTCCTGCAGCGTGCTGCCGCCGATCTCCGCAAGGTGCGTCATGGCCTTTTCTTTCCCGCTGTCGACCACAAAGCGCACGCCGTCGATCGTCACACTCGTCTCCGCTATGTTGGTCGAGAGAATGCACTTGCGCACGCCGGCAGGGGCCACCGCAAACACCTTGTCCTGCGCACACGGGAGCGGGAGAATGCCAGGAGTGGCAGCGAGAACCGCGAGAGAGAAGAACAACAGAGAACACCGGCAGTGTGTGGTGTGGGCTTTTGAATGATGGTAGAACCACATAGGCCTGGTAAAGCGACAGGAGTCAACGGAGAAGAACCAACAAAGGCGCCTGATACTATGAACGAACCTGGTCCCTGGAGGAGAGGGAGGAGTGCAGGAGCAGCACGAGCCACCTCTTGGAGTCCTGGGCGTACTGCTGCAGCGCTGCTGCCACCGCTGTTATCTCCTGAATGCCTGCGGGCGAGAAAGGAGAGATCCGCGATGGAAATGGAAAGTCGTCTACTCAGCCATTAGCGAGTTCAACAAATGGATGGGAAGGTTCCTTGCCAGACCCAATTCAGTGGAAGCAGTCGGGTACTGAAGTGCAGCCCACCTGAGAGGAAGACGAGCAGGTCGCCCCTCTGGTCCGCAGGGAACTGCTGGTCAATGCGCTCCAGCACCTTCACATACGCCGCACAGCCCACCCTCCCGTCCCTCCCCACCCGCCCTGTGCCTGCTCCTCCTCCCGCTCTCCTCAGACCCAACCCAGCCGCAGCAGCAGCAGCCACCGTGCCAGCGGTGGCAGTGGTGGTGGTATTGGCAGAGTCGGTGGGGGGAGCAGAGGCGGGAGGAGCAGCTGGGCCTGTCTCGCCTGCTGGTTGCGGCAAGTGCTCTATGGTGATGGGGTAAGTGCGACCAGGAACCTGGCATGTGGGGAGACGATGTGAAGTGAAGACACGGAGATAGAATTTAAAAACGAGTCCTGGGGGGGACAGGGTGAGGGAAAGAGGGAGGGCGAAGATTGGGATGTTGCAGGGCGTACCGGGGGAAGAGAGGAGAAGTAGGACAGGGGGGGGAAGTCGCCATTCTGTAACGTGGTGAGAAACGAGAAGTAGTACCATTTTCGCACAAAAGAGCAGATAGAAGGCACTCTTGAGTGGTGACGGGCAGGGCGGTGGCAGGCGATGAGTGCTTTCGACCCGAATGCTTTCAACCGGAGTGCTCTCGACCGGAGTGCTTTCGACCGGAGTGCTTTCGACCCGAGTGCTTTTGACCGGAGAGCTTTCGACCCGAGCGCTTTCGACCGGAGTTCTTTCGACCGGTGTGCTTTTCGACCGGAGTGCTTTCACCGGATTGCTTTCGACCGGAGTGCTTTCGACCGGAGTGCTTTTCGACCGGAGTGCTTTCGACCGGAGTGCTTTCGACTGGAGTGCTTTCGATTGGAGTGCTTTCGACCGGAGTGGTATCGACCGGAGTGTTTTGCAATTCTGTAACGTGGTGAGGAGCAATTTAGGCCGCAGGTGTGATTTGCAGCAAGTTTGCGGTGCGCAGCCATGGTGACAGGCCATGATGCCATGCCATGATGTCATGTCATGGTGTCATGCACGCACGGTCATTGTGTCATACGCAGTCCTGGTGTCATACGCAGTCCTGGTTGTTGTAAAATATATATCTATACAACATGCATGCCTAGATTAGGAGGTGTAGTCATTATAAATATTGGGGGGTTGTTGGTTGGGTTGACCAACCCCACATTTGGGTTGGTCAAGATTGGATTTGGTCCTAGACATTTGGTTGGCACTATTCCAACCAAATGGTCCTTGGTCCTAGGAACCAACCAATCACCAAGCACCACACTTTGTGGTTGCTTGCCTTCCAAGCAATCTCTCTCATTGGTCCACATTGTGACCAATCAGAGAGCACCACACTTTGTGGTTGCTTGCCCTACAAGCAACCTCTCCCATTGGTCCACTTCATGGCCAATAGGAGAGCTTCCCTTCCAACTCTTCCTTGCTCCTTGTTTTGTACAAAAGAGCTTCTTGGCTCCCTACTCAATCAATCTTTTCTCTTCCAAGCTATTTCCTTCATGGTATTCAGAGCCACAATGGCTCACGCCACCTCTAGTCGATCCTAACTAGCACGGCCCTATGCCGTCCCTCCTCGTCATCGAAGCCTAGCCCTTCTTAGGCTATTTCGCGCGCCGTCCGTGCGCCCTCTCCCAACGCGATCTCCCATTGCGCACACTCTCTCTCCCGTCGCGCGCCTCCTATCGCGCCCGCTCTCCCTTCCGTTGCGCACCTCCCCTCGTGTCTTTCGACGCCCTTTTCCTCCTCGCGCGGCTCGTCGTCGCGTCGTCCCGTCGTGCGCCCTCCGGCACCGCGCGCACCCGTTTGTCGCGCTCTCGCACCACGCGCCTGTTCGTCGCGGCACTCGCGTGCACCCGCCGACGAATCCGTCCATCGCGAACGTGCTCGCCGCCGCAGCCATCGCCGATTTCGCCGCCGTCGCGTGCGGCTGTCCGTCGTCGCTTCCGCCGACCGCGCGCGGCCGTCCGTCGCCGCATCCCGCCTTCGGCGACTTAAGAGCTGCGCTCCGTACACCTATCCTTCTCCTCCTCCTTTCCTTTTCCTCCTCCTTTCCTTCTCCTTCTCCTTTCCTTTTTCCTCCTCCTTTCCTTCTCCTCCTCCTCCTCAATGGCGTCCGATTCCTCGGTGGACCTTACCTCCGTCGACGCTCTTGAGCTGCTGCCCGACAACACCGCGGTCAATTGGCATTCCTATGCCCAAACCGTCAGGGTACTTCTCTCCTCGGTGACGGTCAACGGCTACAACCTGAAAGCCGTTGTCCATCTCGAGGAGCGCGGTCTTCAGCCTGCCCAGCCGATTGCTCCCGCGGGCCCTGCACCTCCTCCTCCTGGCGATGCTCCCGTCAGCCCTGGCGATCCTCCAACCTTCGCCCCTGACGTCAACGACCCTCAGAGCTCCGAGACCGCCATTCGCACCTACCGTGCCGGCCTCACCGACCACGTCCACCAGCAGCTGCTCTTCGAGGCTTTCCGCGCCGAGCATGACGCCGCCACTGCCGCCTACATGTATCAGGCGGAGCTCGCGGAGTACGTCAGGCGCGAGCGCGCATACATCACCGACCTCGCCGCCTGGCGTGTCGCTGACCGGCGCGCGCTCACCGTCCTCCTCGCCACCATTCCTCCCACCCTCAAGCGCGAGCTTGCTCCCACTTCCTCCTCCCACCTCTGGCGCCTCCTCGCCAATCTCTATGATCGGCAGGACGTTGCCACCCTCTACTCCCTCATCAAGGAGTTCCAGAGCCTCACCATGGACTCTACCACCGGCGCAGCTGCCTTCACGCGTCGCGTCCTCGACCTTGCTCGGCGCCTGGCGGCTCTTGGCGTGCCGTACCCGGACCTAGTGCTCTGCTGCCACCTCCTTGAAGGCTTGACTCCTGCCTTCGACACCCATAAGATCGCCTACATGCAGCTGATCGACAAGCGCATCACCCCAACTGAAGTCGCCCAGTGGATTATCACCACCGAAGCCGACCTCTTGCGCCATTCCTCCTCAACTGCCGCTGTTGCTCAGCAGCGCAACACCAGGGGAGGGCGCGGGGGTGGGCGTGGCGCTGGTCGTGGTGGTGGTGCGGGTCGTGGTGGCACCGGCGCAGGACGTGGTGCAGCAGCCGCCTTTCCTCCTTGTCAGTATCTCCCTCGCTATGGCCCCACGCGGGGTCAGCGATGCAGCCAGACCACTCATGCCATTGACTCTTGCTTCAAAGCGCTCAGTGATGAGTGGTTTGCCCGCGGCAACACCGGCACCCCCCCCCCGCTGGTCCTCTCTCTCCCCTCGCCCCACTCCTCAAGAGGTTCGTACCTCCCCTCTTTTCCAGCCCGTCTCCTCCCCCTTGGCCCACCAGGCCGTCTCTCAGCAACAGCAGCAGCAGCAGACTCCGCAGCAGATCCTGCCGCAGCCGTTTCAGCAGCAGCAGCAGCAGTTCCACCAGCAGCAGCAGCAGGGGCAGCAGCACCTCTTCTCCCAGTTGCAGCAGCAGCTCCTGCAGCTCCAGTCGCAGCTTGACCTCCAGTCGCAGCTCCCCCTTGCACCTCCTCCTATGGCTCCCCCCCAGCAGCCCTACCCCGCTTGGACCGCCGGCACCGCCGCTTCCGCAGCTCACCTCTCGGGCGCGTCTCCCGCGCCCTCAGCCACAGGCAGTGTGACTCCTTTCCCCTCCTCTACTTTTGTTGGCATGGTTAGTCAGGCTGGAACCCCCGCCCCTTCTATGTATTCGGCTGCTATTAATGAGAATGTGATTCAGTACTCCGTCCCACCTCCTCCCCCACATCCTCCCCCCTCCACCACGCTGGACTTTGTCCTTGACAGTGGAGCCACCGAGTCCGTCCTTCGTGATGCTGGTACCCTTCACCCCCTCCCAGCCCCCACCTCCCTCCTTGGTGCCGATTCCAGCTTCTCTATTCCCTGTCGCCACACCTCTACCCTCCCCTGTCCCCTCTTCCCCTCAGGTACCGTCACTGGTTTACACATCTCCTCCCTCCGTACTAACCTCCTCTCCCAGCGATCCCTTCAGCAGGCTGGTATCACCACCGTCTTCCCAGGTCGCGCTAATCACTGCCTCCTATACCATCCCACAGGTCGCCTCCTCTCCCGTATTCCCTTTTGTCCTCGCTCCCACCTATATACCCTTCGGGTTCCTCGTCTTCCCTCTGCCCAGACAGTCTCCCGCTCCCTCCCCCCACCTCACATCCCTCCCCCTCCTCTCCCTTTTTCTAACCCAACCATTCCCCCCCTCCCCCCTGACCCAACCTGCTCCTGTCGATCCCTCTCCCATCCCACCGTCCTCCTCCACCACAGGCTTGGTCACCCCAACTTTGCCACCCTCCGCTCGACCGTCTCCTCAGGTCTCCTTCGAGGTCTTCCCCTCACCCTCCCTCCCCTCCCTCCCTCCCTTGCCCCTCCCTGCTCCGTCTGTGTCCAGAGCAAGCTCAAGCAGTTGCCGCATCGGAGTTCCCCCTCCGCTGCTGCTCAGCCGCTTGATCTTGTTCACATGGACCTCTGGGGCCCCAACCCCTCCCCTTCCCGCCAGGGCCATCGCTACATGCTTGTTCTGGTCGATGATCACAGCCGATATTCGTCCGTCTCCCTTCTTCGCTCGAAGGGTGACGCTCCGGCTGCGATCATCGCCTGGCTCAAGCAGGCGAGCACCCACTTTGGCCGCCCTGTGCGCCGCCTTCACTCTGATGGCGGTGGCGAATTCCTTAATCGACAGGTAGCCTCCTACTGTGAGCTTCATGGCATTCGCCAGACTCACACCCTCCCCCACTCCCCCCAGCAGAATGGTGTGGCCGAGAGCCGTGTTCGGGAGATCACCAAGATTGCTCGGTGTCTCCTCGTCCATGCCTCTTGCCCCCCTTCTCTTTGGGGCTATGCCCTCCTTCACGCCACCCTCCTTACTAACCTATACCCCCACCCTATTCTTCCCTCCACCACTCCCACCGAGCTCTGGACGTCGGCCAAGCCTGACGCCTCCTCCCTCCGTGTGTGGGGCTCCAGGGCGTATGTCCTCATTCACCCTGCGGACCGCCCCCGCACCATGGGAAAGCTCGCCTCCCGTACCCTCCCCTGCATCTTCCTTGGTCATAATCCCTCCTCCCCGGACTACCTCTTCCTTCACCCCCCCTCACGTCGTTTCCTCTGCAGTCGGGATGTAGTCTTTGATGAGTCCACACCCTACTACTCCACTCCTCCCCCCACTGACCCTCTCGCCCCTGCTCCCAGGCCCCTCACATGGTCCGACACTATCCCACCCCCTCTTCTCCCTCCCCCTCCCATCCTCCCCCCCGCTCCACCTCCTCCATTCCCCGCTGCCTCGGTCCCTAGTGCTCCCCCCTCCTCTGGTGACATATTTGACCCGGACCCTTTTTTTCCCCCCGCCTCCCCGTCCCACTCCTCCCCCTCCGCTCCCTCCCATCCTCCCCCCTCCCCTCCTCCCCCTCTCCCCCGCGACCCCCTCCCCCCTTGCGTCCCACCCGCTCCATCCTCACCCGGTATCCCCACACCAGGTCGCGTGACGCAGTCCTAGGTGCCCCGCCTCCTGTTATCCTCTCTTCCTCTACCTTGCCTCCTCTCTCCCCTCTCATGGACCTCCTTTTACAGACAGTCTTACAACAAAACACTAGCCCAACCCTGCCGTCGAGCTCCAGTACAGCAGTCCCAACAGCAGCAGCAACAGCTGCAGCAGCAGTTCCACCCACCGCAGCAGCACCAGCAGCAGCACCAGCAGCAGCAGCAGCCGTCGCTCCTTCCTCGCCTTCACCCGCAGCAGCAGCAGCGGCGGCAGCAGATGCAGCAGTAGCAGCCGCCTCAGCAGCAGCAGCAGCAGATGCATCCTCACCAGCAGCAGCCGCAGCACCTGCAGTCCTCCCATTCATTTTCCACTCCTCCCTCCTCGAGGACTCCCATGAGGAGTTCCTCAACCTCCACCTGCATGATCCAGCCCTCCTACCCATCTCCCCTGACCTCAGCGGCACACCAGTCTTCGCCTTCTCCTCTGCCCCCACCATCTTCGTCCCCGCCACGTACGAGGAGGCCATGGCGTGCCCTGACGCTCACCTCTGGCTCGCGCCCATCCTCAAGGAGTTGGAGGCGTTTATTGCCAACTCCTCCTTTGTGGATGTGCCCCGCCCTCCCTCTACCACGAACGTGGTCAAAGGGAAGTGGGTGTTTCGGGTGAAGCAGCTTCCTGGCGAGCCGCCGGTCTACAAGGCCCGCTACGTCGCCAAGGGCTTCACCCAGCGCTACGCTGTCGACTTCTTCGACACCTTCTCTCCCACCGCCAAGCCCGCTACCATTCGCGCAGTCCTCGACCTCGCAGCTCGCCTCAACATGGAGATTCACTCCATGGACGTCTCCAACGCATTCCTCCAAGGGGTCTTGCGCGAGCTCATTTACATGGAGCGTCCTGCAGGCTTCCACCTCCCCTTTCCTTCCGACTCTGTCTGGCAGCTGCGTCGACCAGTCTATGGGCTCAAGCAGGCACCAAGGGAGTGGCATGCCAAACTTGCTGCCACCTTCGCCGAGCTTGGCTTCAGCACCTCTCGCGCCGACCCCAGCCTCTTCCTCCGCACCTCCCCCTCCCCCTTCTACATCCTCGTCTATGTCGACGATATGATCCTCATCACTGCCGACTCCGCCGAGCTCGAGCGCGTCAAGCGTGAGCTTGGCGGCCGGCTCAAGTGTAAGGATCTAGGGGAGCTGCAGCACTATCTCGGCATGGAGATTACCCGCGACCGTGCTGCTCGCACCATCTCCCTCTCCCAGGGCCACTACCTGCAGCAGGTCCTGGAGCGGTTCGACATGGCTCGAGGCACCCCTCAGGTCACCCCTCTTCCTGTTGGGCACCACCTCACTCCCCTCACCTCCCCCTCCTCCTCCTCCCACCCCTACGCTGAGCTCATCGGCTCTCTCATGTATGCCACCCGCCCTGACCTGGCATACCCCATCAGCGTTTTGGCCCGCTTCGTTGGTACCGGCAAGCATGATGCCGCCCACTGGCAAGCGGCCAAGCGTGTCCTCCGCTACCTTCGGGGGACCAAGGACTACGTCCTTACCCTTGGCGGCCCCTCCCCTCCCCTCCTCACTGGCTACTCTGATTCCTCCTGGGCTGACTCTAGGCCTGACCGTCGCTCCTCTCAGGGCTATGGCTTCTCTCTTGGCAGTGGCCTCATCAGCTGGCGCTCCACCCGCTCCTCCTCCATTGCCCTCTCCTCTTGCGAAGCGGAGCTGTATGCCGCTCCCATGGCTGTGCAGGAGGCCCGCTGACTCTCCTTCCTTCTTGAGGAGCTTGGTGCCCCTCAGCACTGTCCCACCATCTGGTGCGACAACGCCAGCACCATCCACCTCACGAAGGATGCCGTGTTCCACGGGCGCTCCAAGCACATTGAGCTTCGCCACTACTTCATTCGCGAGCTTGTGCAGGGTGGCCACCTCCAACTGGGCAAGATTGACTCTGCTGCCAATCTTGCCGACATCTTCACCAAAGCCCTCCCCCACGCCACCCACTCATCCCTCCTTCGCCTTCTTGGACTCGCTCCCCCTGTTCCCTCGTCCACCTCCTGATTCAAGCCCTCTAGTCTTATGCATGTTGGGGGGTTGTGTTGTAAAATATATATCTATACAACATGCATGCCTAGATTAGGAGGTGTAGTCATTATAAATATTGGGGGGTTGTTGGTTGGGTTGACCAACCCCACATTTGGGTTGGTCAAGATTGGATTTGGTCCTAGACATTTGGTTGGCACTATTCCAACCAAATGGTCCTTGGTCCTAGGAACCAACCAATCACCAAGCACCACACTTTGTGGTTGCTTGCCTTCCAAGCAATCTCTCTCATTGGTCCACATAGTGGCCAATCAGAGAGCACCACACTTTGTGGTTGCTTGCCCTACAAGCAACCTCTCCCATTGGTCCACTTCATGGCCAATAGGAGAGCTTCCCTTCCAACTCTTCCTTGCTCCTTGTTTTGTACAAAAGAGCCTCTTGGCTCCCTACTCAATCAATCTTTTCTCTTCCAAGCTATTTCCTTCACTGGTGTCATACGCAGTCCTGGTGTCATGCACAGCCATGTGGTGATGAGCAGCGCACCGTGACGATGGGGGCGCCATGGAAGTAGGAGGAGTAGGTGTGCACGTTGATGGTGGCGCTCATGAGAATGACCCGCACGTCCCTGCGCTGATTCACCACCTGCCAAGCAGTGGAAGAAAGATGGGGGGAGGAGCGCAAGATGTAGGAAAGAGGGAGATTGAACTCTTCGACAGTTAACATGGGAAACAGAGAGATCTGAACTGTGAAAAGAGATGTCCACAATGGAGACGGCCCCAGGACGGGCAACTAGGCAGGCATTAAGAAAGGGTGAGAGAAAATAGGAGGGCTTGGAAACACAACCGCGGAAGCAGAGGAGCGGCGGGGCCCAACTTCTTCAGGGTTTCGGGTTTATAGCACACCTGTTTCAGGAGAGCGAGCAGCATGTCAGTGGTGACGTGGCGCTCATGCACCTCGTCCACTCTGAGCGCAAAGAGCACAACGCGATCGGAAAGCATGAGCTTGGGGGTCACTGTTTGGCAAGAAACCGAATGGGGTTGCAGGGATGGGTTCAAGACATGGGCATGAGCCGAGCCTGGCTCGGCTCAGCTCGTTTGGGGTCGAGCCAAGCCAGCTCGCCGGTCAAGCCGGCTCGGCTCGCCTCAAGCCGGGTCCTCAGGATCCCCGGCTCGGCCCGGCTCGTCAGGGGGGTTTGTGCGGGCTCTCAATTGGGGCCACGGGGTTTGGGGTCTCTAGTCTGGGGCGTGGTCCAGATTGTTGAGCTGATCGTTTGCTTCTACATCTTACAAAATTCTCAGGAGGTGCTGCAGGTTTAAAAAGGGCTGGCTGAGGGCGATAGACGAGGGCAACAGGGTGAGGTTGGCAGACGAAATGGGCGCGGGAGGTTTGTCGATCTGAGATTTGACAATCGCGAAACCCCCCCTTTCCCGAGCCACGAGCCGGCTGGCTCGAAATCGAGCCGGCTGGCTCGAAATCGAGCCAGCTCGAGCCGGCTCGACTCCGGCTCGCCTGATCTCACGTGCGCGAGCCGAGCCGAGCCGAGCCAGGTGTGGCTCGGCTTGTGCCCATGTCTAGGTTCAAGCAATCACAAGATTGGTAGGAAGGCAACAAGAGGCATGAGAGGACAGGAAAAGGCGTGCAAAGAGGTGCATGCAAGATGCTGATTGCACGCAACAACATGGGAGACTGACATGATGACAGAGTAGGCGGTGAGCAGAGGGTCTGACAGCAGCTCCCGCAGCAGCACACCCTGCCAGGCAGCAAACAACCATGACACCCATGAGACCCATAACCATACGGCATCAGCACAGGATAAGACAAGAAGGACACGAGGTGAGGCAACGGGACGAACGCGTGCAAGATGGATGCAGAAGAGCACGTGCAAAGCCACATGGGCACACAGCAGCGCACATGACCACTGAGGGAAACAGCACACACTGCCACTGGCATCCCACCTGACAGCTGGTGCTGGGGAGGGCCCGTGGGGACTAGACTGATGGGTGCAGCATTCATGCAGGGAAGCAGCTATGGGAGACGGGATAGAAGGGAGTGGCAAACCACTCAGAAACCGCTCACAGTAGTGGCAAACCACTCAGCAACCACTCAGGATGGTGGCAAACCACTCAGAAACCACTAAGAATGGTGGCAAACCACTACAAAACACGTCAGGGTGGTGGCAAACCACTCGGGAACAACGAAGGGTAGTGGCAAACCACTCGGCAACAACGAAGGGTAGTGGCAAACCACTCGGCAACAACGAAGGGTAGTGGCAAACCACTCAGCAACAACGAAGGGTAGTGGCAAACCACTCAGCAACAACGAAGGGTAGTGGCAAACCACTCAGCAACAACGAAGGGTAGTGGCAAACCACTCAGCAACAACGAAGGGTAGTGGCAAACCACTCAGCAACAACGAAGGGTAGTGGCAAACCACTCAGCAACAACGAAGGGTAGTGGCAAACCACTCGGCAACAACGAAGGGTAGTGGCAAACCACTCACCAACAACGAAGGGTAGTGGCAAGCCACTCAGCAACAACGAAGGGTAGTGGCAAACCACTCGGCAACAACGAAGGGTAGTGGCAAACCACTCGGCAACAACGAAGGGTAGTGGCAAACCACTCAGCAACAACGAAGGGTAGTGGCAAACCACTCAGCAACAACGAAGGGTAGTGGCAAACCACTCAGCAACAACGAAGGGTAGTGGCAAACCACTCAGCAACAACGAAGGGTAGTGGCAAACCACTCAGCAACAACGAAGGGTAGTGGCAAACCACTCGGCAACAACGAAGGGTAGTGGCAAACCACTCAGCAACAACGAAGGGTAGTGGCAACCACTCAGCAACAACGAAGGGTAGTGGCAAACCACTCAGCAACAACGAAGGGTAGTGGCAAACCACTCAGCAACAACGAAGGGTAGTGGCAAACCACTCAGCAACAACGAAGGGTAGTGGCAAACCACTCAGCAACAACGAAGGGTAGTGGCAAACCACTCAGCAACAACGAAGGGTAGTGGCAAACCACTCAGCAACAACGAAGGGTAGTGGCAAACCACTCAGCAACAACGAAGGGTAGTGGCAAACCACTCAGCAACAACGAAGGGTAGTGGCAAACCACTCAGCAACAACGAAGGGTAGTGGCAAACCACTCAGCAACAACGAAGGGTAGTGGCAAACCACTCAGCAACAACGAAGGGTAGTGGCAAACCACTCAGCAACAACGAAGGGTAGTGGCAAACCACTCAGCAACAACGAAGGGTAGTGGCAAACCACTCAGCAACAACGAAGGGTAGTGGCAAACCACTCAGCAACAACGAAGGGTAGTGGCAAACCACTCAGCAACAACGAAGGGTAGTGGCAAACCACTCAGCAACAACGAAGGGTAGTGGCAAACCACTCAGCAACAACGAAGGGTAGTGGCAAACCACTCAGCAACAACGAAGGGTAGTGGCAAACCACTCAGCAACAACGAAGGGTAGTGGCAAACCACTCAGCAACAACGAAGGGTAGTGGCAAACCACTCAGCAACAACGAAGGGTAGTGGCAAACCACTCAGCAACAACGAAGGGTAGTGGCAAACCACTCAGCAACAACGAAGGGTAGTGGCAAACCACTCAGCAACAACGAAGGGTAGTGGCAAACCACTCAGCAACAACGAAGGGTAGTGGCAAACCACTCAGCAACAACGAAGGGTAGTGGCAAACCACTCAGCAACAACGAAGGGTAGTGGCAAACCACTCAGCAACCACTCAGGATTTGGGTTAACCACTTAGAAACCACTCAGGATGGTGGAAAACCAGTCAGAAACCACTCAGGGTAGTGGCAAACCACACACCAACCACTCACGCTCGTGGCAAACCACTCAGAAACCATTCAGGGTAGTGATAAACCGCTCGAAAACCACTCAGGATAGTGGCAAACCACACAGAAACCATTCAGGCTGGTGGCAAAGCACTCAGAAACCACTCAGGGTTCGGGCTAACCACTCAGAAACCACTCTGGCTAGTGGCAAACCGGTCAAAAACCACGCAGGGTGCTGGCAAACCACTCAAAAACCACTTTGTGTAGTGGCAAACCACTCAGAAACCACTCAGGGTTTGGGTTGAGACTCAAGGCTGGGGGGTACGACCTTGAGGGGGTTAGACCGTGGTGGGTGAGACCCCTTACGGCACGAAAACATCCACCACGCACCACCCATTCCAACACGTGGAGGAGACGGGAGAAAGATGGAGGAGGTATGGCAGAGGCACCGGGGGCGGCGGTGAGCCCATGAGGCAGAGCGGCATCGCGTGGAGAAGCAGGCAGGGAGGAGATGGCAGATGGGTGGCACCTCAGTGAGGAAGAGAATGCGCGAGGCTGCAGTGGCCGTCGACTGGAACCGGATTCGGTACGCCACTCCTGCTCCGTACTCGTTAAGAGACTCGAAGGCCACACGCCTGAGAGTCCAGAGGGCGGGGGACGGGAGGGGCGGAGGAGGACGTCTGACAAAACGGGACTTGAGAGAGGATGCATACCCAGGGGCTTGATGGCTATTGGGGTACAATCTTCACTGGGGAGAAGTGACGAAGAGGGGACGAGGGTGGGGGGGGGGGGGGAGGAGGGGAGAGGGGGGGGGTGGACAGCGGAGGGAGACGGCGGAGATACCTGCAGAGGGGGGAGCTACCTGCAGAGGGAGACAGCGGAGATTCTGCGAGGCTGAGTGCAGGCGATTCGCCTGTAGCCAGCAGCTAGGAGAATCTGAGGCACCTGGGTCGACTGGTAGCAGGGTGGGTCAAGGGAGCATGCACAGATAGTGGGAGAAAGGGGACTCCGGGAGTTGAGACTGGAAATGGGCAGAGGAGGCATTCGTGCATTTGCACATCCAAACGCAGAAATGGTCTGGGTACACACAAACATGCAGATAAACAAACACGAAAAAGAACAGCTAGATGCATGCGTGCCCACAGGAACCGCCTACACTCGCCATGCTCACAACAAAGGTGTGAACGAGCGAGTGGCGATTCGCAGATAGAAAGATTGATAGATGGGTGCATAGGTACCTTGCCGCAGCCGGTGTCCCCGGCAATGACGGTGACTTGCGAGGCGGCCACGGCGTCCACTATCTCCTGGCGGTATGCGTTCACGGGGAGCTTCGCCTGGTCGTCCCGCAGCTTCCTCAGCCTCCCCATGGCACGCTTCTGGGGGGAGAGGAGGGAGCACATTGGGGGCGAGAAGATGAACGGGGGAGAGAGGAGCAGCGCCAAATGCACTCTTAAGCACCTGACAGCTGACACACCCGGCACTGGTACTACACCCAACCACTCCCTGATGCAACCCAGCTCTTCCCCAACCACTCTCTCCCCCCACGCCAATAATTCCTCTCGCAGCCCGCACCTCCAGGAAGTCCTCATACACGTGCAGCATGCGCCTGTACTCCGCCACGTGGCCCTCTGTGAGAGGGCAGTCCCTGCCCAGTGCCCGCATCCTGCCCTCATGCTGAGTCAGCACTGCCACGTTCACACGGTAGCGCCGGTCGTAGCTGAGAGGAGCGGGAGGAGAGGATAGGCATGGGGCGGATAGTGGGGGGAGAAGGGGGGAGGGGAGGGGGGGGTAGGGGTGGGGTAAAGGACTGCTAAAGACGCTCCAAAGTCCGTAAAGTGCTACCAGCAAGGCGCAGATCGTCCAGTCTGTATGGCTGATGGCGATGGGGGGTACGGGAGGAGTGGAGAGCCATGGATGGGACAAACAGTTGGTGGTAGGCAAGGGAAGTTCGTGGCGACAAGGAGGGGGATACGGGGGCGAAAGAGAGTTGGCGTGCCATGATGACGTGACAGCACGCCCGCCTGTGAGCATGCGCATGTGCTGCCATGGTAATTGCTCACAGGGAGAGAGCCACATCCGCATGTGCTGCCATGGTAATTGCTCGTAGGCATGCGGATTCCATGGCAGCTCACTGCAAGGCGTCACCCCGCGGAGTCACCCCACGCCATTTTTCCGTTCCATGTGGTGCTCACTGAGCGCGCTACCTGATAGGCAACCCCAGCTCCCGCGCGGCCTTCTCGCTGAACGCGCTGCTTCCGCCACTCGCGCTCCCCACATCCGCAATCCCCCCCCCGCTGATCCCCGCACGCCTCAGCTGGCTGCGCGCATGCGCGTGCGCCTGGTGCTGCAGAAGCTTGGGGATGAACTCTGGCGCGCAGGGGACGGGGGATGCGGAGGGGACGGGGGATGCGGATGTCAGCACAACGCGATTTGGCATGAGAACGCTTTAGTGGAAGGTTGTGCTCGCGCGACGACGCGAGTGGCAGGGAGGTTACGGACGGCATTCGGCGTGGACGGAAGACGCGGGAAGCGAGCTATTTCACGGGTTTCGGGAGTCAAAACAGAAGAGTGAGCGGCGGTGAGCGAGCTCGACAGGGTACGTCTCCGTTCCTCCCACCGTCTGTGCGAGACAACAGCAAAAGAGTTCGTATGATAGGAATTCATACTGCAGTAATGCTCAAACTCGTGCCTCGTGCCTCGTGTCTCAGGTGACTGTGCGAGACTGTAACCATGCGAGACTATGGCAATGCGTCTCCGACGATCATCAAACGGCGAACGATCGCATACGGTAGTCGCTCGCACGTTGCACCTTATCGTACCTTGCAGTTCCTCGTACTCGGGGCTTCCCACGGGAAACGCGTCTGACGGCTGATGGAAAAGCGACGCTAAGACCGCCTTATTCGCCGCCCAGAATCCCACGCTCAGGCAGCTATCGGCCATTGCAACTCGAGCAGCTATCGCCAATTATCGCTCATGGCTATCGCCCATTATCGCTCAGGCAGCTAACGACAACTATAGCTAGCCGTCGCCTAAAACTCCAGCTCAAAATGCGCTGCAGACACCGGATCACCTACCGTAGAAATCTGGAGGATGCGACACGGTAAGCAAGAGGCGCTGGGCTTCTGGTGGTGTATGCGACTAGGACTGGCGCTGGGCTTCTGGTGGTGATGCTGGGACATGCATGGGGGAAAATGTGGAGCAGAAGGGAAAGAAAAGCACAGTACTGTACAAGCAGTCTCGTGTGTTGCTCGGATGGGTCTGGCTACATCGTCGCCAGGCCAAGGTGTCAGGCTCTGTGTAAGGAAATTCCCATTTCCTTACTGAGCTCGACTACGGCGCGTACGCCCTAGATCTCGGAAGCCGAGGCTCGGCCAACTTCTTCGGGACCAAACCATTTCGCGAACCCAAACCTAGACGCGCAGCGCTTCCATGGCTTTCAACAACCGGACCGCCCCAACCTGTTCGCGTGGTCCTAGGCTAGCTCTTTTCGTGCCTATAAATGCCTAGGCCCTCATTTGTATCGACACTCTTGAATCACGACTCCTTTATTACACTACCTGTTATTACTCTGATTACTCTATAACAGCTGGTATCAAAGCCCCGTTCCTGCCCGCTTAGTCTTCCGTAGAGTAGTCCGTTTATATCAGGAGAGGACCTGACAGAATAGAGGGTTGGCCTGCGGTTGGTAGGTGAGCTCGTTAAAGTTCCTCCAACTTAAAGCGTGTGCACCCTCCGATTCGTCAAGTAAAATTTCCAACATGTCTATCACGTCGGACACCTGTGCCCGTCGTAGTGTTAGGAACGTGACTCAGGAGGAGTTTGACGAGTCGCAAGCCAGGGCGGCTACATTGACGACACTGCATGCCAAGCTTCAACAACTTGCCGATAAGTTCGAGTCGCTGGGAAGCGAAGTGCAGACGCTGCGCAACAAAAACTCATCGCTTCGCCGGACAAGGTGTGAAACGCGTCAGGGGCGGCCTGTTACTCCAGACGAAGACGTTGCGAGCGAGGCAAGGGTGTCAGCGACACCTGAAGCAGTTGAAGAAGTCCACAGTGAACAGCGGGCGGCCATTAAAATCAAACCTCTGTTGCCACTACCGTTCAACTCGACCGACAGGACAACTACAGTGAGCGGGTAGCTTTTCGCCATGGAAATCTTCTTCACAGCAGCAAGTATTAACGACAACGCGTCACGTGTCAACTTGGCTGTGTCGCTGCTGAGTGGACCAGCACTCGACAGATGGCGCATGCACATGGACAAAGGAGGAGCCCTGGCAAGGAATCAACGGGCGGTAGATGGGGAGCACAATTCCTCAAAGGCAAAGGCAGGACCGATCTTTGGGTCGGCCATGATCCGCACATGGAAAGCATGGGGCGACGCGTTGAAGGGCAGATTCGAACACATATCCATGCGCGAAAATGCTCGCACAAAGCTTCAGATGTGGAGACAGTTGGGCTTTGTCCAAGAATACACGGCGTCGTTTCTGGCAATCTGCGACCAAATCGGAGGGCTTAGCGAAGACGAGCGCATCGATCGCTAAGTGGGTGGTCTCAAACCGGAGATTCTGCGAGACATAGTCCTGCGAGCCCCTGCGATATTCAACAAAATAGTTCGCATAGCAGACACGCTGGATGCACGACATGGACTCGTAAGAGCGGGAGGAAAATCGCTTTTGAGGCCAGCCCCAACATACATCAATCAACAGCGTTGACGTGTTTGCAGCCGATATTTTCGGGAACCTGCTTCCACTTCAACCAGCCGAGTCGCATGATGAGGAATGGCCCGCAGCTGAAGAAGAACTTAGCTAACGACAAGAAGCAGCCGGGAAATGGAGATCCTCAGTAGTAGATGGGCCACTTAATGATTTGAGTGCATCGCCCAAACGCCACCACCCCCACCACCCCCACTAGATTATAGTGCTGATTTGGGCTATCGACCATTCTTGGCTGAATAAGGGGGGTGAACCGAATGATCGGTCTGTGTTGGTTGAAGGAAGAGCTGGCGACACCCGCATCAACATATTCGTTGATGGTGGGGCAAGCCACTGTTCGACGGACGTGACAAAGGCGAAAAAATTGCGATTAAAGCTGGAGCGCTGCATGCCGGAAATCGACGCGAGATTGGTTGACGGCACACCACCTGCAATTCGGGAGCAGGTACCTTACGTGCGAGTAACATGCAGCGAAAAAATGAGTTTCACGATGAAGATGTTGGCTATAACTTTGGACGGCTACGACATGCTGCTGGGACGCGATTGGCTGCGCTAATACAACTCGAGCATTGACCGGCGAACGGGCGATTATCGCATAAAATGGAGTGGCGAGAGGCGACGCCTACCCTAGCGGAGCTGTCAAGATTCGACCATATCGACGAACAGCGCAGTGACGATCAAGCGAGCCATGATTCGCAGGGCGCAACTGTATGTCATCCGATGGATCGCATCAATGGCTGTCGACATGCCGATCGACTCGACAAACTTTGCGCAGCCGTACCTGATGACTTGGCGATTGGGATTCGGAAACACGCCGACATTTTTCCAGACGACCTACCAGCAGGTTTGCCACCTGAGCGAGAACATGACCACAAAATCGAACTGGAGCCCGGCACACAGCCTACTATTCGGACTCAAAGGCGGCTGACTCAGCCCAAGCTGGATGAACTTTGAAGACAGCTGGACTACCCGCTCGAGAAACGATCCATTCGCCCCAGTACTTCACCATTTGTAGCTCCGATCCTGTTCATCCCGAAGGAAGATGGCGGACTACGAATGTGTATTGACTATCGCGCCTTGAACCAGGTTACCATCAAGTCTCGATATCCTATCCCGCATGCCGAAGAACTCATCGACCAACTTCGCGGAGCCAACTTCTTCTCGAAAATTGACCTGCGAGGCGATTACCACCAAATCTATGTGAACGAAACTGACTACTACAAGACGGCGTTTCAGACCTGGTACCGGGGTTACGAGTACACGGTTATGCCTTTTGGCTTAACAAACGCACCTTCGACGTTCAAGTTCACAATGAACGAAGTTTTTTTGCCACTGGTGGACAAATGCGTCATCGTGTACCTCGACGACATCCTGATTTAAAGCACTACCCCGGAGCAGCATTTGAAGGATTTAGAAGAAGATTTCTCTATCTTGCAGCAGCACCGACTCATCACCAAGGGCTCTAAGTGCGAGTTTCTAAAACACGAACTTGAGCTTTTGGGCCACGTCATTTCCATCGACGATGTTAAAATCGACCCCAAGAAAATTGCGACGATACAAGACTGCAAGCCGACGGCAAATCTTTGTGAACTTCAAAGTTTTATGGGGTTCGTAAATTACGTCCGCTGTTTCATTCCGAACATGGCGGGGGTAACTTCCCCTCTCACGGATCTCCTGAAGAAGGGCCAGTTTTATGAGTGGGGGGGAGAGCAGCAGGCTGCGTTCGAACAGCTCAAACGTTTCCTGTCTACACCTCCGGTTCTTTGGATTGCAGATCCTCACCGTCCGTTCGAACTCATCACCGACGCTAGCGATCTGGCCGTTGGTGCAGTACTATTACAAGACTTTGGCGAAGGCGTCCAACCCATCGCCTACGAGTCACAAAAGTTGAACGCAGCCGAGCGAAATTATCTGTCCACAACAAGGAGTTACTCGCCATCGTTCACTCTTTCAAAATCTGGCACTGCTACCTGAGGGGTGCTGACGTGATAGTCCGAACAGACCACAAGTCGCTACAGTTCATCCGCGCCCTACCGACACTGAATCCCCAACAGATTCGCTGGCTCGACTACCTCAGTCCACACCGCCGCAGTCCTAATTACCCAAGCCATTTTGCTGCTAACTGACCTATTCACCCACGGATACAGTACTGGCCCATTCTTCACCACTAACAGTCATCCCCAACTAACGGTCACGCAAGGGGCCTATTATCTAAAATCCTGTACTAGTTGGATTTGGGTCTCCGCCTACCGTACCCTACGAGAACTACTAATCCAGGAGGCACATGACTCGAATTTCTCGGGTCACTACGGCATTGACAAAACCGCCAAATTACTGAGACGTAATTATAACTGGCCCGACCTGCCGAGAAACGTGCAGCTGTACGTCACCTCCTGCGCCACGTATCAACGCATGAAGTCTTTCCGGCTTCGACATGCTGGATTGCTGCAACCACTCGAGCCACCCAGCCGACCCTGGCAACAGGTGACGATGGATTTCGTCACAGGTCTGCCAGCTGGTCCAAGCGGTAACGACGCGATTTTCGTCGTCATTGACCGGTTGACCAAGATGGCCCACTTCGCCGCCTGCAGGACGACAATTACTGCCGAGCAGATAGGGAAACTGTTCCTCACGAACATCGTGCGGCTACACGGCATCCCCTCGGCAATCATCAGCAATCGTGACCCATGGTTCACGTCCAACTTCTGGACAAAAACCTTGCAGCAGTACGGCACACGTTTGCATCTGTCCGCGGCGTACCACCCGCAATCGGACGGCCAGACTGAGCGCATATGCATGGATCCGCGACGGCACGGCCCTTCAAGGGCATCAGGTAAAACAATATGTAAAGCATGGGGGCGGATCCTTAATGGTATGGGGCTGTACGTCCTATGATGGGCCCGGGTTCATGTGTTCAATTGAGGAGCGCATGGATGGGCAGCTGTACCGCTCGATCGTGCAGAATGAGCTCTCTCAAACGATCGATTATTACTCTCTGACTAGATCTGATGTGATTTTCCAGCATGATAATGATCCAAAGCACAATAGTAAACTTGTGCAGGAGTTTCTTTCTGAGCAGCCATACGCAGTCCTGCAATGGCCTTCCTCCTCCCCTGATCTTAATCCCATTGAACACTTTTGGGCTCACCTCAAATGTGAGCTTGCAAAGTATGAATGCCCCCCCACATGCATGCTGCAGACTTGGGAGCGTGTGCAGAAGACTTGGGAGGGTATCTTCGCTGATGTTTGTAGGGGACTGATAGATAGCATGCCCAGGAGGATTACAGCTGTTGTTAGGGCAAAGAGGAGATGGACTCGTTACTAATTCAGAACATTACAATGCATTGTTTGATTTGGGAACAAACTGTCAGAATGTACCATGTATAATTCTGCCTTCACAACTTCTATTTTACTAGTCTTAAATGGGCAAGTGGCTGCAGCAAAGATGTGCTAGGCCATTTATCTACCAACCTCAAATGGTCAGGATAACTCTATACTCATAATATTCATGTTTTTTACATTTTACTTAAAAAAATGGCCAATATGCGGACACTTTGTTCCGTCACTGTACGCTCGGCGAACACATAATTGTTAGGGACTAATTACACCGAAGACGTATCCTGAATGTGGGTAGTCTAATCCTAGAAGGGGGGGTGGTGTAAGGAAAATCCTTATTCCTTACCGGGCTCGACTACAACGCGTATGCCCCTGACTCTCGGAAGTCCAGGCTCGACCAACTTCTTCGGTCCCGGACCACTTTTCGAACCCAAACCTAAACGCGTGGCGCTTCCGTAGCTTTCACCAATCGGACCGCCCCAACCTATTCGCGTGGTTCTCGGCTAGCTCTGTTCGTGCCTATAAGTGCCTAGGCCCCCTTTTGTATTGACACTCTTGAATCACGACTGCTTTATTACACTACCAGTTATTACTCTGATTAATTCATAACACATATGATCTGTACCATATTATGAACCACAACTCCGCATCCAAACCCGAGGTCCCGAGTCACTTCTCCCACCACTCCGCTCGCCGCCGACAGCGGCCTTGTGTTGTGCACGGTTGCGGCCCGGAACTGCGAAGCTGCGGAAAGTGGGAAACATTCAGGGGAGGGGCTTGGCCAACCCTATTTTCAAGGCAAAGAATGAATCAGTTACCCAAGTGGGATTAAAAAGCTCGACGAAAAGAGGTGTTTCCGCAATCCAAATTGTGTGCCTGATCGGTTGGCCGTATTCTGGAACCGGTATGGTGTCGAGCAATTTCCAGGGCTGGCTCGGAATTGGCTTAAAGCCAACCAATCTTTTTAAGCACACCAAACCTACTGGAATAGAGGTGTGTACCCATGATCAGATTAGGAAAGGCTGGAATTCGGAATGAGGAAAGGGCACCTAGCTGCTGACTTTGGCGAGATCGTGCCAACCGCTGGTCGATGTGAATTCCAGCTCTTGAATAGTGAAGTGTGGGGCAATTCAAACGCAATAACTAATGCTCTTATTTCGGAAACGGAAAACGTTGAATACCCACTACCAGCCTGTGTCTGACCGCCAAGAAAACAATTTCAGGATCGTATTTAGATATCAAGCCAGATGCAGGCCCAGATGCACAATTTGAAGCCCTGTTTCCCCCCTCCCTTTTGTTTTTCGTGACCAAGATCATGGCGGGCAAGTTACGTAATTCGCCAGATCAGACGCGTCAGTTACATCCGGCAATTTCGCACATAAACCAGCCCAGCTTCTCGAACTACCTAACCTGGCGAGTCAATGCACGCCAGATTGTGGAGGTTGCCCAGCAGTTCCCCCAAATGTCCTGTCCTGACGCGGGGGCTGCCCAGATTTCTGGGGACTAATTCTCCCGAACGCTGGGGCTGCGCGAAGGTTGGGGTGTCGGCGGAAAAAGCTTGCCCAACTTATCGTCATGCTTACACAGCAATCTTTTCGAAATCCAGATCTGCCAAATGTATGGATGTCTTCTATCGATCCAACGGTCATAAATTGTCATGGGTCAATGCTAGGGGTGGAATAGCCGTGGCATGGCGTGTACACCTTCAGCGTGCACCAAGGGTTTCTTCTGACAGGCAAAAGTGAGAGGTCATTCTCGAACCTTGATTGGCTCCGAATGCTCCTCTATAGATTGACTCGTTACCAGCATTCATGCTTGTCCAATACGCTGCAGAAGCTATTTGATGATTGGAGGATGGTCAGAGTAAAAGCAACAGGGTGTTTTGCCTTTTTCCGCAAAAACTAGACCTACAGTGTAGTCAAACTGGTGTGGTCCATTCAATATTGACATGTATGGAGGATCGACGGCGTATTTTTTACCTCCATTTACAAGCGTATCACATCGATGGGGCCCGAGAATCTACTCGTTTCAAGCACGATAACGAGGGTATATCGTCAGAAGTCCACAATTCCCCCGCACTTCATTTTCTTCAAGAGAGCGCGCTTCGTCAGTGAGTGTTTTTGCGAGGGGACTGTTTGCTTGCTGAATGCGAAACCAAGCGACGGGATTTTCATCGCATTATCGCACGGACACAACTCACACACTCACATCATAGGCCACCTCCCGACATTTCTCTCCACATTCGAGCATCCATTTCTTGTCGCTCAGCTCTCCTTCCTGTACTCCTGTGCTCCCGTGCGCCTGTCGTTCCGTGTTTCAAGGCCAATTAGCGTCGCGAGGTCGTGCATCTTTGCTTGTTGCCACCGCCGATCGCGCGAGCATGGGGGACAACGGCGGATCTGACTCCGATTTGCCGAGTCTCGTGAGCGAGAGCGATGTGGAGGTGGAAGCGGGGGAGGAGGACACGAGGTTCGCGGGGAAGGAGAGCGGCGACGACGCTGGCAGTGCCAACGAGAAAGAAAGGCACGAGTTTACCCACGAGGAATATTACGACGACATCTATGGCGACTTTGACGAGGAAGACGACGACGACGACGACGATGACGACGACGATGACGACGACGACGACGAAGACGACGATGGCGACGGCGAAGACCTCGAAAACGAGGAGGATTATTGGGAAGTCGAGCGGGCCCGAGATGGCGACGGCTCTAAGATGGTCACCGGCAAACCCGGCGGGCAGCGCGCCGGCAAGAATGGCGCCGGCGGAGATCTGGGCGCTGCGGCCGTGCGGGGGCTGCGCAAGGGGTTCTTTAACGATGCGGCGGCGGCGGCGGACGAGAAGAAGGGGGCGGAAAAGGGCAGGGGGACGGGGCTGCGCCCGGGATTCTTGAACAGCGCGCGGGGAGGCGGCGGGGGGGAAGAGGGCGCGAGCGGAGAGGAGGACGAGGCGGATGCGAAATGGAACAAGCGGATGAAGGAGATGAGCAAAGGGGGCGGGGCGAAGGCGAAAGGGGGGAAAGGGGGGAAAGGGGGGAAGGCGGGTGGCGGCAAGGGGGATCCGGGTGCAGATTCTGAGGAGAGCGAGGGGGGATTCGACGACGACCACGGAGTCCACGTGGACGGCCACGTCTTCGGCCTCCCCCAAGGCAAGCCCCCGCACTCGTCTCGTGCCGACCACCACGAGCAGCACAAGCACCACCCTGATTTCTCCACCGTCCCCGAATTTTGCGGCTGCCCCTTCTGCTCATCCGCGTTTTTCGGCCTCCCAGGGCAAGCGGGCAGCCCCCGCGACCGCAGCCGCAGGGGCGCGAGTCGGAACCAGGCGGACTGGGATGAGGTGGAGCAGGAGCGCCTGCGCATCCGGCGGAAGGAGCGCGCGCTGGCGAAGCGGAAGAAGGAGGCGAAGGCGGCGAAGGAGGCGAAGGAGCGCGCGGCGGAGCGTAAGGCGCGGAAGGAGACGGCGGCGGAGCGGCGGAGGAAGGACGAGGAGGAGCGGAAGGAGCGGGGGACGGTGGTGCTGGAGGAGTTGGCGGAAGAGCGGCGGCTGGAGAGGGAGCGCGAGCTGGCGGAGCTCAAAGGCGCAGCCGCGGCGGTGGAGGAGGACGAGCGCGCGGACGAGCTCGTGGGGCGCTGCTGCGCGGGGATCAGGCCGGCGGACGGCGCGGGGGCGGGCGCGGGCGCGGGGCAGGGCGCTGGATTCGCGGATGTGGGCAGGACGGGGGAAGGGGGAAGCGGGTGGCGGTGCCCTGGGGGGAAGGCAGCGGTGGTTTGGGCGCAAAGGCGCATGTTTGTGAGGTGCAGCGAGGGGTGCCGCGTGGTGTGGCACTACGAGTGCTGGCAGAGCTGCAAGCGCGAGAGCAAGCGCGGCGAGTGGAAGGCCGGCGAGCAGTGCCCCACGCCAGGTGAGGCAGGGGGGAGAGAGAGGGGCGGGGGGGGGGAAGGGGCGGTGGGTGGGAGGGGGAAGGGCCGCGGGGGAGTGGGGTGGGCGCAGGGGGGAAAGGGAGGGAAGGGAATGAGGGGAGGGGAGGGGCTCCGTTTCTTTATCTTTCTACTCTTCACTCCTCGTCTTCCTCACCATTCGTCCTCGTAACATGTGTACATGTGCATGCGTGTGTGTGTGTGTGTGTGTGCGCGCGCGCGCGCGAGCGTGCGTGCATGGGCGTGTGCATGCGTCTGTGTGTTTGTGGCTCTCCCTTGGACAGATTGTGGCGGTGCTGTCGTCAGTGCATGTCTCATGGAAGAGGATAAGGTAGATTACCATTCTATTGCATCATATCGCATCCCATCCCATCCATCCCATCCATGCCACGCCATGCCATGTTATGCTATGCAATGCCACGTCAGCCCATGTCTCATCAATCTGCAGCATGCCATGTCATCCCAACCCTTGCTCGCATGGCCCCGTCTTTCCATATCATGCTGTCATGCCGCTTTCCATTGCACGTGCTGCACATCATGCCCTTCCCTAATGCGCATGCCCTGATCTGCATCTCTAGCCACAGAGCTCGCACACCCTGACCCTGCCGCACTTTAAGTTCCCTCCATCCGCTCTAAGTTTGCCCTGATTCTGCCCTGATTCTGCCCTGATTCTGCCCTGATTCTGCCCTGATTCTGCTCTGATTCTGCCCTGATCCTGCCTCCCGTGCGCACCAGGTCACGCACTGGGAGGTGAAGGAGGAGAAGTCAGCAGAGGAGCACCAGAGGGAGAGGCGAAGGGCCAGAGAGAGGGAGCGGGAGAGGGAGAGGGAGAGAGGGGAGGGGGAGGAGCGAAGGCAGGGGGGCAAGAGGCGTGATAAGAAGGCAAAGGTGCGTGCAGGGGAGGGGGAGGCAGGTGTGGGAGCTGAGGTAAGGCGAGGGAGGGAGGAAGTTGTGCAATAGTACAGGGATGAAGGGGGTGGTTGGGATGCACCTCGCCAATGCATTGGTTGGCATGTTTGTTGCCCCATTTGTTGCTTTTTATCTGTTGCCTTATTTGTTCCCTCTTCCGGTGCCCTTGTTCCCTGTCTGCTCTCCTTTGTTCCCTGTTGTCTGTCTGAGCACAGGAGCCAGCACCAGTGCAGGGCGCAGCGGCAGCTGAGGCAAAGGCTGGGGAGGCGGTAGGGGGAGGGGCGGCAGAAGCGAAGGAGAAGGAAGCGACGGGGGAAGGGAATGGCGATGGTGGTGCTGGTGCTGGTGCTGGTGGTGGAGCGGAGGGGCCGTCAGGCATTAAACTCATTCCAGTATGTTTCTCTCTTCTCAGCTCCTCTATCCTCTGCTCTTCTCCCACTTCTCTCCTCTTCTCTCCTCTCCTCTCCTCGCCTCTTCCCTCCTCGCCTCTCCTCTCCTCTCCTCTCCTCTCTTCTCCTCTTTCGCACAGATTCTCCAAATGTGTATGTTGAGCATGCCTTTGGTGACTTCCTCCCGGGCTATGTGCGGGGCAGGTGTGGGCGGAGGAGGACATTGAGAACCTGACCATTAAGGTGTACAAGAAGGGGGGGAGCGATGGCGAGGAGGAGGAGAAGTCAAAGAAGGTCAACAAGGCGCATGCCAAGGTGAGGGCAGAGCATGGGGTGCAGTGTGGGCTTTTTGTGTGGGCTTTTTGTGCGGGTTTTTGTGCGGGTTTTTGTGCGGGTTTTTGTGCAGGTTTTTGTGCGGGTTTTTGTGCGGGTTTTTGTGTGGGTTTTTGGTGGTCTGGTTAGGAAGATAGGGGCTCGTAAAGGGTGAGTGGTGAGCATGCACTAGTAGAGAGGGTAGATGCTTCAGACAGCAATCTCGTGTTAGGTTCTGATTTTCCGGCCTTGTTGTGCTATGCTTGTCTCTTTCAGGTTGCCAGATTTCAGTTTTCCCCTGCATGCTGCCTCTGTGGTGTGGGGGTTTTGAGGCGCCTCAAAACTGGTGTGGGGGTGTCTGTGTGTGTGTGTGTGCGTGCACGCGCGTGTACGCACATGCATGTATGTGTGAGCATGTGCAACTCTTCACTGGTGTCGGTGGTGGTTATGTGTGTGTATGCATGTCCCCGAGCAGGCGCAGAAGAAGGCGCGCGGCAAGAAGGTCGTCCCCCTCACGGAGTTCATCCTGCCGTCCGCTCCGCCCCCACCCGCACCGCCCTCCCCAAGGCTCCGCCACATGGTAGCCGACTGGGAGGAAGCAGGGGGCGGCCGTGAAGCCTCGGCTCCTGGGTCTGGGCCGTCCGACGACCCCCATGCTCCTGGACCGTCCAACCACTGCCAGAAGCAGAAGCAGCAGCAGCAGCAGCAGCAGCAGCAAGGACAACAGGCGGCAGATCTGGGGCTAGTGGTTGCAGCCGAAGCAGTGGCGGCAGCAGCAGCAGCAGCTGGAGAATCATCAGCAGGAGCCGTTGCAGCAGCAGCTGCCCCTGCGTCTCAGCCAGGACCACCAACTGCTGTGCCCAGCAGCGGCGGCAATGGTGCTGCAGTGCCCTCGGGGGCGCCTCTCCCTGCGCCGCTGCTGCTGGGCGGCAGTGCGTGGCACCGGGGCAGTCTGGCGGGCGACGAGAGCTGCAGCCGGGAGCGCATGGAGCAGGCGCTGGGGCCCTTTGTGGTGCGGCAGCAGGTGGGGGAAGGGGGGGGGGGGGAGGGGGGGGAAGGAGAAGGGAAAGGGAGGGGGAAGAGGGTAGGTGTGTGAGTGTGAGGGGGAATCGTGTGTGAGTGCTTGGGGGTTCGTTCAGTCAAGTTGAGGCAGCTTCCTGGTTCTCGTTCTCCTCGTTCTCCTTGTTTTGTGGTTCGCTATGCAGCTGGAGCCTGGAGCTATCAGACAGCTTTTTGGCTTGAAACGGGCACAACGGCAAACCTTCCGGCTTTCCGCTCGTCCCTTTCCTCCTGGTTTCCCCTTGCGTTCCGCCTGTTTCCTGCAGGACGAGGCGGCGGCGTGCCACGTGTTGGTGGAGGGCGTGGGAGCGGAGGTGGACGAGGTGGACCTGGTGACGTGCTTCACCAGCGCGCACGAGCACCTTGCAGCTCTGCGCCGCTTCCGCACCCATCACCTCGCCGTCGTCTCCTTCAGGTGCGAGCAGTGCTCCTCAGCAAGGCTCCTCCAGGGCAGTGCAAGGCTCCTCCAGGTGATGATGCATCCGAGGCTCCTCCAGGTGATGATGCATCCGAGGCTCCTCCAGGTGATGATTCATTGGGCTGTTTCGTCCTCTCCGGGTGAAGCTGCCCCCCCTTGCCTTGGCTTGCCTTGGACTCCTGCAGGGGAAGTGTGCCGTGCTGACTAACTACCACCAACCCTCTGCGGCTACCCCTCTGTTGGCGTGTTGACTGCCACTTCCCATTGGTGGCGCCCGTTGCCGCTGATGATTTAGTCCAATGATTGAGTGCCTTCTGCCTTTTTTCTTGGGTCCTCGTGTGAGCATGTGTGTGTGCTTTGGGGGGGTAGTTGGGGTTTGTGCATGGTCCATCCGTGCATCGTCCATGCGTGCGTGGTGCATGTGTTTGTGTCTGCATGCATGTGTTTCTGTCTGCATGCATGTGTTTGTGCCTGCATGCATGTGTTTGTGTCTGCATGCATGTGTTTGTGTCTGCATGCATGTGTTTGTAACTGCATGCATGTGTTTTTTACTGCATGCATGTGTTTGTGACTGCATGCACGTGTTTATGTCTGCATGCACGTGGTGTCTGCATGCATGTGTTTGTGTCTGCATGCACGTTTCTGTGTCTGCATGCATGTGTCTGTTTCTGCATGCATGTGTTTGTTTATGCATGCATGTGTTTGTCTCTGCATGCATGTGTTTGTGTCTGCATGCATGTGTTTGTGTCTGCATGCATGTGTTTGTGTCTGCATGCATGTGCTTGTGTCTGCATGCATGTGTTTGTGCCTGCATGCATGTTTGTGTCTGCATGCATGTGTTTGTGTCTGCATGCATGTGTTTTAGTCTGCATGCATGTGTTTGTGTCTGCATGCTTGTGTTTGTGCCAGCATGCATGTGTTTGTGACTGCATGCATGTGTTTGTGTCTGCATGCACGTGTTTGTGTCTGCATGCATGTGTTTGTGCCTGCATGCATGTTTGTGTCTGCATGCATGTGTTTGTGTCTGCATGCATGTGTTTGTGTCTGCATGCATGTGTTTGTGCCTGCATGCTTGTGTTTGTGCCTGCATGCATGTGTTTGTGTCTGCATGCATGTGTTTGTGTCTGCATGCATGTGTTTGTGTCTGCATGCATGTGTTTGTTTTTGTGCATGTCTGTGTGCCATTCCCTTGTCCCAGCTCGCCTGTGGAGGCATCCCATGCGCGCAAGGTGTACAACGGGGTGCACCTCAAAGGTGCACCCATCACCACACGCTACCTGCTCTCCCAGGTACGCCTGCTCTCCCATGTACGCCTGCTCTCCCAGGTACGCCTGCTCTCCCATGTACGCCTGCTCTCCCAGGTACGCCTGCTCTCCCAGGTATGCCTGCTCTCCCAGGTACGCCTGCTCTCCCAGGTACGCCTGCTCTCCCACGTACGCCTTCTCTCCCAGGTACGCCTGCTCTCCCAGGTACGCCTGCTCTCCCAGGTACGCCTGCTCTCCCAGGTACGCCTGCTCTCCCAGGTACGCCTGCTCTCCCAGGTACGCCTGCTCTTCCAGGTACGCCTGCTCTCCCAGGTACGCCTGCTCTTCCAGGTACGCCTGCTCTCCCAGGTGCACCTGCAGCAACGAAGATGCCCCACAGTGCCTGCGTCGGCTACTGTCTCTCAAACGGTCCGTTTATTGCTGGAACCCTGGGTACAAGCTAGGCATGTAGGGTGACAACGGAGCAAGGTACGTACAAGCTAAGGGATCCTAGCCTACTCGAGCTCCCCGAGGGGCTCTGCCATGGTGAAGCAATCCCCCAGAGCCATGTCGGCGTCAGGGGTACGCACGGGGGTGTGGGGGGCAGGGAAGGCTTCTAACCTTTCCCAGGTAAGCCAGGGCCTGCGCCCGTTGGAGTGTCACTGACCATCGCTGACGAAACTGATGGAGCAGCTTCGCCGCTTGGTAGGAGCCCGGGCCGCATTGAAGTGTCTTCTGGCCCCTGTGTCCGCCAGCAGTTTCAAGAAGGTAGGGACTTCGGCGCAGGGGCAGCCGTACGTCTCCACTGCAAGAGGGAAGAAGCCGGCATAAGGGGCCCTGTTGCGGTAGTGGTTTGTCGGCCTGCTCGCGGGCCGAGCCTATTTTTGAGGCGCCTCAAAAATAGACTCCTCACGCGGGCCATGTACCCGAGTCCCTTGCGTGCATTCGGGTCCGACACACGCCTCACACCCCCCTACCTCCCTCCTCCCCGTGCTGCAGGTTCCCCCACTGGACATATTCAGTGAGTTTTCTCCCATGCCCACCACTGCTGCTGCGGCTGCAGCTAGTCTTGAGGCGCCTCAAAACCACACGCCCCACGGCCACCTTCCCAACCCCTCCTCTCCCCCCCCTTCCCCATGCTACAGGTTCCCCCACCGGACATTTTCAGCGAGTTTCCTCCCATGCCCACCACTGCTGCTGCGGCTGCAGCTACTGCAGGGGGAGGGGAGGGCGCGGGGAGAGGGGGGGCAGCAGGGGGCGTGGCTGGGGGTGGGATTGGGGGCGTAGTGGCGTGGCAGAGGGTGGCAGTGGCAAGGGATGTGTGGACAGGTGAGAGTGTGACTATTTCGGGCAGGGATGACTGGGTTGGTGTGACTGGGGTGGTATGGGAATCAGGATGTTAATGCGAGGAATGGGGGATTGAGGTAGAATTTGAGGTTTGACAGGCAAGTGCCTGGCTCACCCCACTACTCTCTACTCTCTACTCTCTACTCTCAACTCTCTACTCTCTACTCTCTGCTCTCTGCTCTCTGCTCTTTGCTCTCTGCTCTCTGCTCTCTGCTCTCTGCTCTCTACTCTCTGCTCTCTGCTCTCTGCTCTCTGCTCTCTGCTCTCTGCTCTCTACTCTCTGCTCTCTACTCTCTACTCTCTACTCTCTGCTCTCTACTCTCTACTCTCTACTCTCTACTCTCTGCTCTCTGATCTCCACTGTTCCCCACTGTCTATTGTCCCATTGCTCTTGCATCACACTCGTCTCTGACACCCCACGACAAGAACGCAGCAACCTCAGCTCAACGTACGAGCTTTTGGCTGATACCCCTAGTTCCATATTCCATCCCCTTCCCCTCTCGTCCCTTCCCCACTGCCTCAGTAACCAGCAAACCCCCCTCCCTTCCTCCCTCCATTCCCCTCCTCTCCCCTCTCCCCGCCCCGCTGCCCCCTGCTGCCCTGCTGTTTCAGCGCCCCCAACCCCCCCTCGGATCCCAGCACATCCCTCCGTCACCACCGCTGTTCCAGCCACCATCCCATCTGCTCCCACTGCCAAGCCGGCTGCACCTGTCGTCAAACCAGCTGCTCCCATTGTGAAGCCAGCTGCGCCCGCCACCAAGCCGGCTGCACCTGTTGTCAAGCCAGCTGCTCCCCCCACCAAGCCGGCTCCCGTCACCAAGCCGTCTGCTCCCGCCATCAAGCCATCCGTGCGAGTTTCCGCCCCCACGCCTGCTGCCCCTGCCCCTGCTCCTTCCGCCCCACGCCCTACGGCTCGATCTCATGGGCCTGTGCCCGCTGCTGCGCCTGAGGGTGTCTCTAGTGACGAGGAGGAGGAGGGGAGGGGTGAGAGTGCTGCAGGGCTATCAAAGAAACAGAGGAAGAGGCTGAGGAAGAAGCAGCGGGAGGAGGAGAGGACGAGAGGGGAGGAAGAGAAGGGAGGGAGGGATGCGGATCGGGTGGTGGATGCTGGGGGTAAGAGGAAGGGTGTGGTTGAGGTGGGCTGTGAGGGGAAGGGGGAAGGGGGAGGGGGAGGAGAGGATGATCAGCAGAAGCTACTGCGAGAACGACAACTGCAGCAGCAACTGGAGCAACAACTGCAGCAACAGCAGGAGCAAGCGCAGCGGCGACTGCAACATGAGCAGGAACAGCAGCAACTGCAGTGGCAGCAGCAGCAGCAGCAGCAGCTTGAGCAACAGCAGTGGCAACGGCACCAGGAGCAGCAGCTGCAGCTGCAGCTGCAGCAACAGCAACAGCAGGAGGAGCAGCAGCAGCAGCAGCAGCATCAGCAGCAGCAACAGCAGCAGCAGCAGCATCAGCAGCAGCAGCAGGCTCGAGTGGAAGTGCAATGGTCAAGTGATCATGACATGAGTGTGCTCTTCCCACATCTCTTCCCCAAGGCATGTCGTCTCCTCCCACACCAAAACCACGCTCTTGACCATCCCGTCACCTCCCTTTCTATCTTTCCTCTGCACTAACTGATCGCCTCACACTCCCCCTACCCCCTCCTCTCACACCCCCCCCCCCCTACCAGCTTCTTTTACGCAAGTACCTAAGGAATACTCTTTCTTTATGTGTGACCTGCAGGCCCGATCCCCAGTGCCCTCTGCAGCATCCGTACCCTCCTCCTGCTCCTCCTCCTCCTCCTCCTCCGCATCTGCATCTGCATCTGCCTCAGCAGCATCAGCGAGCTCCCTCTCTCCCTCCCCTCCTCCCCTCGGTTCCTACCTCCCCTCTTCTTTCTCCTACCCACCTGCGCTCGTGCCTCTGCATGCTGCCCCTGCGTCCTCCTCCTCCACCACCCCATCGCCTCCACCCATCACGGCCTCGCCTCCTGCCTCTGCATGTGCAGCAACGTCCTTCCCGGCTGTTTTCCAGGTGAAGGGCTCTGAAGGTCTGAAGCCATGGTCGCTTAGAAACGACTTGCTGTCGTCCTCCCCCTAACCTTCCCCTTGTAATGAGTGCATGCCTGCACTGCTCTCTCGTTGTGGTGTTCGTCCACTGGCTTGACTCACTCTCTTATTGCCGGTGGATCACTCTGTCGTTTCCCTCATAGCCCTCTGCTTCTGCTTGTGTGCACATATGCATTGGCTCAACGCATGTGGCATCACCACTCCGCGTCCCATCCCATCCCATCCCATCCCATCAGGTGGCGTCCACCTCGCACCACCGAGTGCGCGCCCTGCCGCTGTCCTCTGCGCCCATTCTCGGCCTGCTGCGCCCCGCATCACTCGTTGTCGCCACCGCATGCCAAGGCACCTGGCTCAGGTGCTCTCCCCCTCCCTCACTTTTTCGTCCTCACATTCTTCCTCACATTTGTCCTCGCACTCACACTTCCCCTCGCACTCGCACTTCCCCTCGCATTGGTGGCACTGGCACTGGCACTGGCACCCACACTCTCCCTTCCACTGTTCTTCCCCGTCGCTCTCTCTGTGTCTCTCGCTGCCCATCTCTTCCCGTCCCTCCCTGTCCATGTCTCTTCCTCTCCCCATCGCCACCGCGCACCACAGGGTGGTTGTGCCAGGGCATGCCGAGGGCTGGTCGCTCGTGCAGAATGGCCCTGCTGCGTTTCTCGTGCCATGCAGTGCACCCATGGATGTGAGTGTGCCAACCCTTCCAGCATGAGTATTTGATGGGTGGTACTCTGTGTTTCGTACTTTGTGAATCGTACTCTGTGTATCATATTGCATTGCTGCCCCAGTGCAGTCCATACCAGTGCATACCAGTGCATACCAGTGCATACCCGTGCATACCTGTGCATATCAGTGCATACCAGTGCATACCAGTGCATACCAGTGCATACCAGTGCATACTTACATTCTGTTAATCCCGTGCAGAAGTCCACTCACCCTTGATGCTGCCCCTTCTCCTCTGCAGCTCACCTCTGTTGCGGAGGCCACCGTTCTTATGCCAGTGGTGCATCAGCAGCAGCAGCAGCAGCAGCAGCAGCAGCAACAACATCAGCAGCATCCAATGCAGCAGCAGCAGATGCAGCAACAGAATCAGAATCAGCTAAACCCTGGTTCAGCCAGGCCCCACACTTCGCTGCCTGGTTCTCTCCCTGCTGCTCCTGCCACAGCTACTGCTGCCACTACCGCTGTCCCTGCAGACCCAAACCCCGCGCAGCAGCGCCTCCCCCCTCCTTCCTCCTTCCCGCTGCCTCTCTCCCTCATGCTCGCACTGCAGTCCCGTATTTCCCCTACTGCCGCGTCCTCTCTCAACCCCACCTCAGCATCCGTCGTTCCTTGGGCACCTGGTGCTGTTACCAGGGCACCCACTGCGTTACCAGCAATGGGTGTGGAGCAGAGGCCGAGTGGGGGAGGAGGTGAAGTATCAGGGGTGGCGGGAGCAGCCGGGAGGAGTGGTGCTCACACCACTTTGAGGGCCAATACAGCCCCTTTTGCCCCCACTGCTGTCACCATCCCCACTACAGTCACTGCCGTTCCTCCCAACCTGCCTGCATCTATTGCACTCTCCAGCCCAAATGCGCCTTTCCTCAGTGCTGCTTCCACCGCATACCCAACTGCCCCATCTGTTCCATTCGGTGTGTCAGTGTCAGCCCTGTCAACAGCTGCAGCGTCCTACGCACCTCAGCATGGCCCGGCGATGCAGCATGCGCCAATTCCCCCACAGCAGCCCTACTCCGTGTGTGCTCCTCCACTTGCTGCCTCTGCTCCCCCCTTCTCAACTGGTGTCTCCGTTGGCCCATCTCCGCCCTCTCTTGGGGGAGCCATGGCCATGCATATGCATCCACAGGGTCAGCAGCATGTCCACGCGGCCCCGCACATGCACCCTTCCGCCCATGCGCACCTTCCTGACATCTGCCGCTGGTGCTTCGCCCGACGGTCCGAGTACCTCATTTTGGATTGCAGTGAGTGGGGGGGTTTGTAGTGAGTGGGGGGGTTGCAGTGAGTGGGGGGTTTGGAGTGAGTGGGGGGGTTGGAGTGAGTGGGGGGTTGCAGTGAGTGGGGGGGGTTGCAGTGAGTGGGGGGGGTTGCAGTGAGTGGGGGGTTGCAGTGAGTGGGGGGTTTGGAGTGAGTGGGAGGGTTGGAGTGAGTGGGGGGGTTTGCAGTGAGTGGGGGGGTTGCAGTGAGTGGGGGGGTTGCAGTGAGTGGGGGGGGGTTCTCTGAATCTCTCCCCTGGGCTTGCGTGCACCTGTCCTAGGGAGCGTGTTCGCTTCTCAGACCACTCACGTTACTCCCCTCTCGCCTGTGCATGTCCCCCCATATGTGACTGAGCAGGGCACCTCGGGCCCTGCACCACATGCCATGGCACGACACCATTTGATGGGGTGTGCCATCTGCCCACGTGTGGCAAGCCCATTGGTCGTCTTCATCGCATCTATCGCTAGCGCTTGTATCTAGTCCGGTCAACTCAGCAGGCAGCCTGATTCCTCCGAGTGAATGTACCTCGTTGGTCCTACTCTCCATGTTGCACCCACTGTACACAATGTTTCCTTCATGCTCTAACACTTGGCCTCTGCTTCAAGATTTTCCTAGAGCTTGCTCCTGGTCTTGAGGGAGCAGTGAAGGCACTCAACATTGTTGGTAATATCCAATCAAAGCAATTTGGCACAGTTTCCCCAATGAGCCAATAAGGCATCGGACCAATGTTACGCTCATGGACACCACGGTGAGCGAAGCATGGGCTTATAGTAAGAAATCACCAGCTCAGCAGCTCCCTGCCAACCTGCAGGGTAGAAGAGTGCTATAATTGATACTTAGCATTTCTGTAAGTCGATTAAGTGTAGTTAGTGTCGAATCTCACTGTAGAAGATAAGTCCGTAGGATGACGTCAGCAAATAGCGCTCGTCATAGGACAGTCGTTTTAGTCACGCGAACAGTTGCACCTCTTCATTATCATCTAGGGCGCATAGCGTGAGTGACGAAAATGTACATTAGCGAATAGGTACTTTTCGTAGAACTATAAATCTCTGTTAGGTCTTTTTCATTATTAACTTTGATTACTCACAAGTTCCCGTACTCAGGTTATTCAACCTTGACCTTTATTTTACAAGACTTCCGCTGTCTTACTAGTCTACCATTCCAGCAAAGATCCTGGACCAACACTTGTGAATTTGCCAAGTGTTCGTGTTTATAGTTTTATACTTAGTCTACTACAACACCAGACAATTTATTTGACTCCCCATGTTGCACCCGCTGTACACAATGTTTCCTTCATGCTCTAACACTTGGCCTTTGCTTCAAGATTTTCCTAGAGCTTGCTCCTGGTCTTGAGGGAGCAGTGAAGGCACTCAACATTGTTGGTAATATCCAATCAAAACAATTTGGTACAGTTTCCCCAATGAGCCAATAAGGCATCGGACCAATGTTACGCTCATGGACACCACGGTGAGCGAAGCATGGGCTTATAGTAAGAAATCACCAGCTCAGCAGCTCCCTGCCAACCTGCAGGGTAGAAGAGTGCTATCGTTGCTGCAAAGAAGGCAGGGCATCAGCGACATATGGGAGGGAAGTGGAGCCAGAGCTGCAAGGGGTGCAACAGACTAGTACAAACTCACCCTGTACCTCCCGTTCTTGTCAATTCGTTACTCTAAGGTGGTATCACGCTAGGTTAGGTCCTCCCCGCTCACCCGCGCTTCCGCCCTACTCCTAGTCCTAGCCCTAGCCGCCTGTTGCTAGCCGCCCGTCGCTAGCCGTCCGTTGCTAGCCGCCCGTAGCCGCCCGCTAGCCGACCGGAACCACAAGTAGCCCCGCGCCCGCTAGCCCTGCGATCTCCAGACCCGCACCCGCTGGCCCCGAGCTCGCCAGCCCCGCGCCCGCGGGCCCTGCATTCGACAGCCCTGCGCTCGCTGGCCCCGCGCCTGCTGGCCCCGCGCCCGCCTGCCCTGCGCTCACCAGCCCCGTGCTGGCTGGCCCCGCGCCTGGCCACCCCGTTGCCCTGGCCTTGCACTCACGCCGGCCCCCACTTTGCAGAGTTTTTTGCTATACCGGGAGCTTCTGCGGAAGTGCCTGACGCAGATAGAGCCCTCTAGCTCAGTCATTCTCTAAGGAGAAAGTAAGGTACACAAGGCAAACACTAGTACTACCCCATTGAACCTCATTGAACACGGCAAGAACGTTCGCACAAGAACGTTTACGTAACTACTCTAAGCTGCGCTTAGCCAAGTCAGCAATGGCAGGTGAAAATTACAGCACATGCTTAGTTGGTAATTTTTACCCACTTAGAAGTAGTTCTTCTAACTGTTTCAGATATGAAACTGTCAGATGTTACACACATTTCGGCAGTTACGAAATGTGCGTCACGTGTTCAATTTCTCAATGTCGCAGGTAGATTTTGCCGTTTTCGGTCAAGATCGGTTCTGAGGTTAACTTACGAAATCGCAAATTTCTTGCGATTTCGGAACGAAACCTTCATAAGAAAAACTAGGTCCTCGTTTTTCTGTCGAAGGGGTCGCTCGCAGAAGCGAAGTCCGAGATGACTCTCTGCCGTGCAGACTTTGTTGATATGCCGCTTCAGCAGACTTCTGCAATCTTCGCAGGATCAAGGCTACTCTCAACACACTTTGCCGGGCCCAGCTCCGCCGCCCGCAGCTCCACCAGTCCCATCCCACCCCGGCCCTTGCTACCGCCGAGCCGCGCTAACCCGCCGGCCTTGGCTCCCCTTTGAGCCGGCGCTCCTGTCGGTAGACTCCACCGCTCTCCACCGCACTCCACCACTCTCCACCGCACTCTACCACTCTCCACTGCCCTCCTCCGCTCTCCTCCTCCCCCCATCAACGGCAGTCAGCAGCTGCAGCCGTGGTGATGGTTGTCTCAGTGCTCCACCTGGACGCGGAGGGTCGGGCCGTTGATTTTGAGGCGTGGCTCGTCGACCTCCGCTGCCAGCTGACCGGTCAGCGCCAGGACGGCTACTCCCTGGCCATCCATGTCGACGGTAAGCTCCACTACCCCGCCATGCCCGCTGACATCCTTGACGCCCCCACGTCTGCTGAGAGGAAACGGATGAGAGCAGTGGAGTATGGTGAACAGCGGTGGAGTGCGGTGTAGTGCGGTGGAGTGGGGTAGAGAGTGGTGGAGTGCGATGTAGTGCAGTGGAGTGTGGTATAGTGCAGTGGAGTGTGGTGGAGAGTGGTGGAGAGCGGTGGAGAGCGGTGGAGATAGCCGGCAGGGGAGTCGGTGTTTAAGGGAGCCAGAGCCGACTGGTCGGCGCTGTGACTCGACGACCCAGCTGGTGGCCGCTGAAGCGGGGGCCGGCTAGGCTGGAGCCGGCTGGTTGGGCGGCTGGCTGGGCGGCTGGCTTGCTAGGGCCGACGGGGCGCACGGGGCTGACGGGGGCTGACGGGGCCGGTAGGGCGTCAACGGGGCCGGCGGGACGCTAACAGGCCGGCGGGGCGAGCAGGGCCAGATGGGCGCACGGGCCGGACGGGGCGCTAACGGGGCCGGTAGGACGCGAACAGGCCGGTAGGGCGCTAACGGGCCGGTGGGGCAAGCGGGGCCAGAGGGGCGCACTGGGCCGACGGAGCGCGAACGGGGCCATCAGGGCGCTAACGGGCCGGTGGGGCGCTAACGGGCCGGCGAGGCACTAACGGGCCGGCGGGGCGAGCAGGGCCAGTAGGGCGCACGGGACCGACGGGGCGCTAAGGGGGCCGGTAGGGCGCTAACGGGCCGGCGGGGCGCTAACGGGCCGGCGGGGCGACCAGGGCCAGAGGGGCGCACGGGGCCAACGGGGCGCATGGGGCCACAGGGCGCGAACGGGGCCGGAAGGGTGCTAACAGATCGGCAGGGCGCTAACGGGCCAGAGGGGGCGCACGGGGTCGGCGGGGCGTTAAAAGGGGCTGGAAGGGTGCTAAAAGGGACCGGAAGGGCTCTAACGGGCCTACGGGACGAACGGGGTCAGATGGGGCACACGGGGCCGGCGGGGCGCTAAGGGGCGGCTAGGAACGGGCGGCTAAGAAGAGGCTGCTATGGCTAGGACGAGAGCGGAAGCGCGGGTGGGCGGGGAGGACTTAACCTAATGCGTTATTCCATCTCAGAGTAGAAAAGTTAACTAGAATGAGGCATATATGTTGATTTTTTTCAAGTGGTTGTACCCTTTTAGAGCATGCACCTATCTAGCATATTATAACATTTACAAATATGTTTGACACTTTGACCATCGATTTCAGGTCAACCTTAAGACCTCGTCCGGCCGGCGTAATCGATACGCTCGTCACATTGCTGAAGACTTACAGTCACTTAGGGGATTAAATTAGATAAAGGTTCGACCTTGATATGGAGAGTGCCTTCCTTTAGAAGGTGAGAGAGTGTAAGGAATTACGATTCCTTACTGGGGCTCGCCACAGCGAGTACACGCGAACAGTTCGCGTCCGCAGGCTCGGCCCTCAAGTTACAAGCCAAACCAGCCCCCGTCGACCTCGTCGGCCCCAACCTCATCCCGAGTCGCCCCAAACCCATTTTGACCCCGTCACCCTCGGGACTATTGAGCCCTTGACTGGTCCAACCCTTGACATTCAACCCTGGTCAATTGCCCTATATATTGCCTAGGCCTCATTTCTATCGAGAGTGTGTAATCACGCTATACTCACATCCCATCCATATACTGTAACAGTTGGTTGCGATGTATGTAATGATTCGCAATCCCATGTCTGAAAGGTTCTGCATACACTACAGCGAAATCTTCGGGGACTTTGTGTGGCTTATAATTGAGGTGGCTTTTCGAGGATTGTTTCAGGGGTTTTCTGTGCTGGCTTGCGAGGGAGCGGCTTGGGTGTTTGGCATAACAAATATGCGAAATGTTCTGGGTAGGGAAAGATCGACACCGCTACTTTCGAGCTGTGCTGTTCGTGTCGGGTCCTGCAATTGGGTTCCATAACTAAAAGTTGCATTTGGCTGCGCACTGCTCGCCCGTCGCCGAGGCCGCAGTTGGAGAGGCTATTGTCAAGCGTTTTGGTACAGTCATCCAACTTCTGTTTTCGCTAGAAATACCCATTGAAGGTTCGCAAGTTTTTCTTTAATCCGCTCCCTTCTGGACCCCTAGCTTCGGAAGCGGTGATCCTCCATTACATTTCGTCATCCCATCCCATCCCAACCCACCAACGCACTTTCAACTTTTCTACCTGCCAATTGCATTTCTCGTGGGACTTTCTCCAGATTCCAGGCCTCCTTATCCCGAAAGAGTTTGTTTAGAAACGCCGTGAAAAAAGCAAGGACCCTGTAAAATTAATGGAAGTCGTTGACGCATCCATCCACTTGGATCACGCGGGCGGTGTCCAGCCTGTAAGCGTTCTGATGACTCATTGGATTGGAGCCGTCTTTCCTGTTGCTCCAGTGGATGTTCATTGAACGTGCCAGGAAAACGATCTTGGGTCAAAACGCAGGTGAAGTGCAACCTCGCTCTCAGCCACATATCTGTCGTGTGGACTCACGCTCCGAGGGATGACACCATCCCCTCGTGTGCGCAGTAGCATGGCAGCTTCCATGCCCTTCTGCTGACGTGTCGATACGTTCCGCGTGGCTAGGATCTGTTCTTCACGCGGGTCAGCCGCGTGTATTGCGGGCTGTCGTGAAACATTTCCTTTTGATAACCACTTGATGCGATATCATAGGCTATCGAGCCCGATTTCCTCGTGACATTCCTGCTGCTCATATCTTCAGGGACCCGGTCCCTGTCCCCCCACCTAGTGCATCTCTGCGTGGGCTGTGTGGCAGCAGTCACGGCATCATGGACCACGTGGTCCTGATTCCTGAGCTCAGCAGCTTTCAGCGTACTGTACCACTGCAGTGTACTAGTCACAGTGACCTAGTACTGCGGCTTGCTCTCAAATCACCGTAAAAGACGCTGGCCTCATGTCTACTATCATCAGGTCACTCTGGATCCACTCCCGCGCCTTACGTAAGGTGGCACCTTACGCTCATTGGGGTTTGAATTGCTCGCCGAACATACAACGGAAATACTGCAGTCCAAGTAGTAGCACTACTACCTCTACTATTGCTGCTAGTGCTAGAACCGTACTCTCGGCTGCGGAAGAGGCAGAGTGAGGTGGTGCGAAACCTCTGGCCAGGAGTGCAGCCGGCGCCGCCGCCTGAGCTCGAGTCACCCGTCTATCTTTGCTGCTTATCTCGATGGTGACCGAACCCATGGCTCCCAGCATGACGTGCATGGTGAAGGCGCGCAGAGCGCACTCACGGCCGCAATACCTCTCCAGATGGCGTCCCGAGGTTTGTTCTGCGGCCAGTGGCACTGCGTCTTGTCATTTGGGTGATGGCCACCTGCCACACTCATGTGTCCCTTCGCCCTGCTGAGATCCTGGCAGTTGACCTTTGTTTTTCTTGTTCTAATTTTACCTTGAAACCTGGGCCTTCTGCAGTGAAATCCCCACTATTCTCGCTCGGGGGTCCCATGGATCTGATCTCATGGTACTGCAGTCGTTCCAACGACTCATCCCATTGGCCATTACCCTTCTCCCCCCCACACCCCCCCCTTTCTCCGCCCTCGTTCCCTGCCGGCCCCCCTCTCCAGGAGGACTCTATTCTGCTGGATCACGTGATGGAGCACGGCACGACGCAGTGGGGCCTGCTGCAGCGCAGCGGGTTGCTCCCAGGCCGGGACAACAAGGCGTGCTGCAACCGATTCATCCTCCTCAGGAGGTAGTACTACTACCCACATCATCATGCTCCTCACGCATCCCATGCTTCCACCGTCCGGTGTTCTCTCTCTAGCCGTGTGCCCACTTAGTCTCCTGATATTGCCCCACCAACGTTGCTTGCTGATGCGGTGCAGGAAGTTTATGCGGCAGAAGAGGTTCCGTGGCTCCGCAGTTCTCGCTGCAGAGGCAGAGGCAGCTGAGATCCCCGACCCTGCAGACAGTCATGGATCCACCGGCAGTGGCAGCGGCGGCAGAGGTGGCAGCTCCCAGTCAACTACAGCTCCGCCTGTTCTTCAGGACTCCTCCTCGCCCCTGCGCCCCCCGCTTCAACTCCAGCTCCCTCGGTCTGCTTCCTTTCCAAGCGTGCAATCCGCTCTGCCGCAACCTTCCCCACGGAATGAAGGTGCCACCGGCATGCAGCCCAACTTAGGTCCTATGTCGGCCGGCGTACACTCGACGCAGATTGGCATGTTGCAGTGGAGCCCACTTCCAACGGCGTGTTATCCTGCCACCATGGCGGACAGCTCATCGCGTGCATACCTGTCGAACCCCCTGTCTGGTGGCCAACCCATGCCCTCGGCTGTGCCGCTCGCGATGGGTCAGCAGCAGGACACCTCGAATTCAGTGCACCGGAATGCATTTGGATCATCCCAGCCCATGCAGCAGCAACTTTTGCTGCCGCGTGGCTTGTTGCCGTCACTTCGTGAAGGCCCTCCCCACCAGTACTCGCTCGAGAAGGATATCCCAGCAACAACAGGTGGAACTGGCAGCAGCATCCGTGGCAGTGGCAGCTGCAGCAGCAGCGTCAAGAAGGAAGGAGTGCTTCTTCCTGTATATAGCATATCCGACCAACTGGCCCAAGCAGTGCCTACCACTAAAATACCATCAAGCTCAGCCGCCCATTTTCCACTTACAGACTTGGAAATGCTCCTTGCGCACCTGTCTGCTGCACGTGTGCCCACAGCTCTTGAAAGGCCAACCTGTCCGACCTCACTCCATTTACCGGTGCCATCCATGCATCCACCACAGCAGCCCCCCCGCCAGATGGGAACTTACCATGCCAATCCGGTGGGAATGGCGGGTTCGTTTTCTAGAGGTCCTGCTTTTCTTCAAATGAACCAGGAGCTCAGGTTTGAAGGTTCAAACGCTCTGGCCGTCTATGAAGCACCAGCAGTGCAGAATAATGGGAGTTAAGAAATCTCTGGTACAGGAAGAATTCAGCCAGTTATCTGGCCAGACCAGGTATTTGAAGGAATTACTGGAGGGAAGTTGAATTTCTGTGCTTTAGAAATGTCTAGAGCCATTTGAAACCACACTCGGCGTGTACATCATTGTGTGATAGAAGTGCCGTCACTAACTAAATGATTTTGATTCTCGACTTGCCTATGGGTGTGATGAGTGTTGTGTTAGAATACAAGAATGACTAGAAGCAAGTGAGAACAAAGGAGATATAGGGTTGGAGTTGTACCCTCTACGAACAGACACCTATCTAGCAGGGTCTCAGATATCAGACGAAATCCGTCTGATGGTCTGAAAATCTGACCTGTTTTTTTGCTTTCATCTGATTTTTTGACGGGGTGAATTATTTCGTCTGATTGTCCATCTCAGTCATAAGATTTCGTCTGAAAGTTCAGACTTGGTGTACTTTTTCGTCTGAAATGTCAGATAGCGCGTATAATTTCGTCTGACAGCAATCGCCCATTATCCCACTGCGCCAATGGGTCACCTGCCCACTGGCCCACACTCTGCCATCTTGGTCATGGTCGGTGGGCAGGTGCATTCATTTTCACGCGCACCGCGACGGCCAGCGCATAGTCACGAAATGAAATCGGCAGCAACCTGACTCAGGTTGCTGCCAATCGCTCGTCCGATAGTGCGTCACTTGCACGGCTGCCAGCTTCCTTGCATCTTGAAGCTGGCAGCAATGTGCCAGCGCACAGTGGTGCGGCCAGGAAAGCCACCCACCGCGAGCCAGCAATGCAGAGCTGTTTCGTAGCCATGCAGCAACCTCGCTCGCCATGCTGCAGCTCAGCGAGGCGCCTGGTCGTAAAGGCACCAAGGGAAAAGCCTCGTAGCCACTTGTCCTGCTCCACCTCGTTCTTCCAGCCCCCTCAGCATGGCTCCAATCTTGCTCGGCTCACACCCTGCCTAGACGCCCTCTAGCTCTGTGGCTAGGCAGCGATGGCGTCAGAGAGAGCGCAGTCGATCCCCTCCCCAGTTAGGCAGTCAGTAGTAGGCTTGGAGCCCCCTGGCTCAACCCCTCCGCTTGTTAGTGGTCTAGATCTCCTCACTGGCGCGCTGAACCGAGCCGTCAGCGGCGATGCTCCGGTTGCAGCCGTGGGTGAAGCACCTCCGTCGCCTCTCCCACCGTTAGACGACGAGCCGTGGGTTTTCTTTGACAAAGAAAACTCTACATGTGATGCTCCAATGTCTCCTAACCCGAGTTCAACACCTGGCTGCTCAACCGTGTGAGCCGTCTCCCCTTCACGCGTGACGCGCGGTCCTGTCCTACCGGTTCGCGCTCCTGGCAAGAAGTATCGACAGCGCAAGCTTACGTTTGGCCGACCAGCGGTGGCTCAGTCTACACCCTCTGTCCAGGTGCAATCCCGGTCTTCCGAAGCATGTCCTGCCGACTCCGACGACGACGATGGTCCCTTTCCCCTCACAGTCGCCGAGCTCCAGTTGAAAGCCAAGGAGCAGTGGCAGCGGTATTTCCCATGGCTGCTGATTTCCGAGACCTCTGAGGGGCGTCCATGCATGAAGTGTAGCATCTGTATGGGGTAGTATGGGCGCAACGGCGAAGGCGGCATCGACATACAGAAGCAGACGATGCGCAAGCACCACCACAGTCAAAAGCACGAGGCGGCGATGGCACAGAAGGAGCAGAAGGATGGCAAGAATGCGAAGCAGAAGTACATCGTCGACTTCGAGAACGGGAACGATGAGGCACAGCGACTGAAGCGACTCATGGCGATTGTGATGTTCCTCTGCAAATCTGACGCCCCCATTGTGTTGTTTGTGTCACTTGTCCAGTTCATGGCAGAGCAGGGAACACCAAACCTACCCGTGAAGGACAACGGTACCTACCAGAGCGAGTAAGTGTTTTACGTGATACCAACCCGATATACTGTTGATTTGTTACGTGCATTCGAGAAGGCTGACACTGTACTATTATGCATGCGCAGGTACGGTTTCAATAAGGTGGTCGACAACATCGTCACTTACCTAAGCGCCAAGCAAATGACCCACATCATGGCTTCACCATTCTTGGGCATCCAACTCGACGAGTCAACCGATCGCCGGCGGGGTAAACATATGATTGTTTACCTTACCTTCCTCCGCGATACGACGGTGGTGACAGAGTTCTTCGGGCATCTCACCGTCGAGAAGTGCGACGCCGCATCTCTGCAGGCCGTTCTACTCACCCACCTCGAGTCTCAGGGCGTCGAGCTCAACAAGATTTGCGGCATCAGCACCGATGGAGCCAGTGTGATGACAGGTGCGCAAGCAGGCCTCGTGGCTAGGCTGCGCACCCGTATTCTACACCTGGTTTCCTGCCACTGCATCGCGCATAGGTGATTCTGAAATTCCAGAAAATTGCATATTTTAAAAGATCATTCCGAGACTAATAAAGTCTCTGTTAATCTGCAGGGAGGCTCTTGCTGCCAAGGACACTGCAGATGATTTCCCGGACTTAGGCATCGTCGACAAGGTCGTGCGGTCACTGGCCGAGGTGCTCGGCCGGTCCATCATCGTCCACAACCGTTTCAAGGAGCTGCAAGAAGTCGTCACTGAAACTAACCTCGAAATGCAAGGCATCCACCATATACGTTGGCTTAGTCGCGGTGAGGCTATCCAGCGGCTTGTTGATGTGTTTCCCGCGGCCATTCTCCTGCTGTACGAGTACGATAGGAAAATGTATCACGTAGTTATCTCGTTGAAGTTTCATTTCTTGCTGTACTTTCTGGCGGATGTACTGCGGGAGCTGAACACGCTCAACCTCAAGTTCTAGCGTCGACCGGTAAGCCAGTTGGTGTCATGTCGTCGGTTTTAGGGGAGTGATGATTAACGAGCAAAACCACCTCCCCTTTCTGTCTGTGTATGGCAGGTCGACGTCACCCAGGTTCTTCGGATGGTCAACAACACCGTCGTTACACTGCGCGCACGCTACGTCAATTACAGCACACAGCTCGGCCCACCTGACGGGGACTTCGCCGACTATCTGCATCTGTACAAGGGGGGCGAGGACGTGACGATCGAGGGGATTGACGCACTCGGGGCGTCGACTGTGCACACATACACTCTACACACAAAGCCGTTAGATGGGCAGCGGAGCAACCGGGATCTGAAGTCGTTACAGCAGCTCGCCACGGACGTCGTCAACGGTGTCATCAACCACCTGCAGGGACGCCTCAAGGATCTATCGAAGCTCAACGGCACAAGACTTTTCAAGCAGATGATGTACCCGAAGTCCACTGCGAGGCACCAGCGGAAGTTTCTCGAATGGCTCCAGTCTCTGCGCGGCCTCTACAAGCGTGATGCGTCGGCGCCCGACACTCTACCGGGTGAGTTCCAGGGGGTTGTTAGTGTCTCCATGGCTCGGGGGTGTGTTCTGGTTGTTGAGACCTTTAACGAAGGCTTCTGTGCCTCTATTTCACCCCCCCTTCAGGTGTCCACTGGGGCAAGGCGAAGGCCGAGCTCGTCAGTTTCACCACCATCATGTCGACACACAACGACGAGCTGGGCTTCCATGATGCGCTGAAGAACGTGCTCTCCACGCCGGACTGGATGACTGCCTACCCCAATTTGGCTCTCATCTGGATTGCCTGCGCCGTGCTGCCGCTCAGCACAGTGGAGTGTGAGCTCGGGTTCAGCCGCCAGAACGTCATCAAAAGCTGGCAGCGCAGCAATCTCGGTGATGCGAAGCTAGGTCACTTGATGACGGTGTCGCTGCTCGACTACCCGATGGACTGGGGGAGTATGGTGGCTAGCTGGCGTGGAACGAAGAAGCGGCGACCTGGCAAGGAAGTTGTCATGGATCAGGCCGCACGGCAGGTGAAGTGGCCCAAGACGTCGGCGGCATTGAAGGCGGCAAAGGCAGCAGCAAAGGCAGCAGCAGAAGTAGCCAGGCAGGCAGAAGCGCTAGCAGCAGCAGAAGCAACCAGAGTGTTTAAAGAGGATGGTGCGGCTGGCCCAATCTGGAGGAGGAAAAGCAAGGGCAAGAAGGTCCAAGTATCAGACACCGACAGTGATGATGACATCGAGGAGGTCGGAAGTGATAGTTCAGACTCCGAGTAGGCAGATGGCGGTATGGCACAGCATGGTCTAGTATGAGGCTAATTCCTAATGTAGGCTGTAGTAGTGGAGCATCAGTAGCACTATGTTTTTTCCAGCTATTCTTAGCATATAGATGCAGTTTCAATGGATTCTAACGACGTGTAATAGTTGTTTGTGTAGCAGTATAATGTAGCACATTCGGCATTGATATACAGTGACGGAAATAAGTGGGCTTATTAATCCACTGCAGTACATAGACTTTGTGATTTTGGCATGATATGTTGTTATAACCCAACCATAACATATTGCAAACTGTGCCCCTTGACGTCAGCTACTCAATGCGCTTGGGTGTTGTAGCTTTTATCAATTTTATTGTAAAGAGTACAATAATAAGCATTCGTTACTCGATGCGGACACTTTAGGCCCACTTCGCGTCCAGATCTATTTCCTGCCTGCATTACGCGACCTCGCAACCTACGCTGCCATTTTTCTCTCGATAGTCCAGCGGCAACTACGCCAAGCCCCCAGCGACGATGCGACCGCTTCTTTCGAGCCAGAAAGATAGGATCGCGGCACTTATTAGACAGGGCCAGAGTATTCGACAAATCGCTAAAGCGTTAGGAATAGGAAAAAGCACAGTACAGAAATATGCTCACGAAGCCTCCCAGCGCTCGAGCAGCCTAGCGGTAAGGCCGAATGTTGCTAGGAACGGCCGACCGTGCATACTCTCGGTTCGTGATAGGCGCTCTCTGGTCCGAGCCGTCACTTCTGGCTGAGCGAATACTAGCATAGAAGCCGCGAAACTTCTAGAATCGGAGCGTGGCATCAAGATATGCCCTAGAACCGTGCGCAACGCCATGAAGAACTCCGGTTTAGTAGCCGTACAGAAACCGAAGAAGCTGCAACTTTCTGCCAGAAATATCAGAGACCGACTCGATTTTGCCAGGGCGCATCTTGACTGGACCATTGAAGACTGGAAGCGGGTTATCTGGTCCGACGAGACCAAGATCAACCGCTTTTCTAGTGATGGCCGCAAGTACGCGTGGATACGCGACGGGGCGGCCCTGCAACGTCACCACATTCAGCAA